TATATATATATAGAGAGAGAGAGAGAGAGAGAGAGACCGTTAAAAATGAGCTATCCCGGATTTCTCTATTATGTCCTTTTCTTTAAAGAGTTTTTCCTCACAATAATGCAGTTTCAACTCTGTTTACGAAGTTAGATAGCCGAAGGTGTTCGTTCAGTAATGTTTTCCTTTATTAAGCTTGTAAAATTTGCTAAATGAAGAGTTTATCTAAGACCCACTGTTTACTGCGTCTACTTTAGGCAGGCATGTATATATATAGATTCCTCTCTATGACTAAACTAATATATAAGCCATATAGCAACCCTCTTTTTTCAAACGGATTAAAACACGTCTTAACTAGACAATGTCGCTTAATGCGGCGACTTGAAGCGGAAGCTAATAAAAAGCGCCCGATCATCACTCTGTTTTTGTAGAAGTGGTACTTGAGACCATAAAGACATTAAAATATGCCAACATTGCGATATACTTTAAGTGAATAATTCGGAAGCCAAATTTTATTGAACCCAAATAAGATAGGCTACTTTTATCACCAGTATCGTAGCTCTCTATGTGACAACACGTATTAGATAATCATGAGCATGAAATAATTGAACTTTGTTATCAGTTTATATTAAGCCCTTTTAACTGATCCAGATCTACTATATCAGATACCTTTTAAACCAAATACTCAACCTAGGTATGTATCGGGTTATTATGGATAATGTTCGTCTGCCCTGTTTTGAGTACGGCTCGGTAATATCGCACAATAACTGCTTAGCAAATCAACGAGTTATTGACAACGCGGCAGACGCTTAAATTATTGTAGTTTAAACTCCGGATAGCTTCAACTGCAATTATAGTTTCTGATTCGCATATAAGCTATAATATCGGTACAAATAATCACTGAAATTGAACAGTTTGATCACTTAGTGATCAATTGAAAGATGTGTCAGCGGAGATTTTCGGTATCTACCCCTGATTAAGCTGCCGAATTAGAGGAAGTTTCCGATTAAATCAGGTGCTTCTAGTTTTGGCAGTAAATTTCGTTTGAACTCCGTCAAATCAGCTACCATTGTCAATGTTTGTCTATTTGTCTAAGTCGTTGTTAAACTGGCAGCATGATCTACTTGAGCTTAACGTTAGTCAAACAAGTCTTCTGCTAGAGAACGAAATTAATCTCTTGAAAGAAAACCTGTGAGTTCTCCATGTATGACTGCGACACTCCAGAACTGCTAAACCAAGTTGTACGTTTCCTTCAAAAGCCATAAAGGCTTATTATTGAAATGAAGCAACGGCATTTCGCTACTCAAACCATCTTATTACTACTTATTGGTCATCAGAAAACCATCAAGTGAGCAGTAGTAAATCAAATGTTTCGAGTTTTACGTCTAATGCCGCTATTAGGGATTACATCAGAGAGCCGAATTCCAGCACTAAACGAACTGTATCCACGCCCAGGCTCAGCCCCAGACCACCATGTGCCCCTTAAACTCATGGGGCAAACATGCTACCCATTACGCCATCACGGGGACAAGCAGGCCTTGCAGTAAGTAAGCAATACCAAAAACAAACTAGTTAGAAGAGTCTTCAAAAGCTTGACCGCGCAAGACCGTTCGTTTCAAACCTGACTGGAAGGGTTGACTGCTATGATAGTCATTATTTCCTGTTTGGTGCGGTACTCAAGGGAAACGCAATCTTTGAAGATTCTAAATGCCTCAAGTGTACATGAGATGCGTGAAACTGTTCAGTGAAGTCGTTCGCTGCGGGAAATTGGTAAGAAGGACTGTAATAGAATGAGGTTCTACCTTATAGCATAATAAGGTGACATCACTTGAGTGTGTTCTTTTTCTGAGATCTAGTGCACAAAGAAGTGTTTATAGGGCATACAACAATAAATCTGCTGATCGGGGGGATTAACCTGCTCTGCTCCACCAAGCGTGGGAACTCCAGCTACAACGATGCAATGTCAAGCCCTAAGGTGAATACCATAAACAATGAAAAGAAGCTGGCGGTTACCTATCTATTATTTCATAGGAATCGACGATAATTTTAGATTAGATTTTTAGACTGTCTTGTTGCCGCCAGTACTATCCTTAACGCTCTTTAATAAAAGAAAAAATTATCCCATTTACTTTGTCAACAATGAGACGATAGCACGCTATAGGTGGGCGAGCGTCCATTGCAGCACTCGTGTGGTTTAACATAATGTAAGAGATACACACCACTTCATACCCCCGAGACCAGTGCTAACTCACAGATGTGCGCACTTTTTCACATTTGTCTTAATTTTCTGCTTTGGTACGTTTTACCATAGTTTGTGTGTTAGAGCAAAACGTAGCAATTGACGTGTACCGACGTAATAATGGCACTAGCGTCGAACAATGCTTCAAACGAAGCACAAAAACAAATAAATCACTAACAAGTACAGCAATTTTTCAGAGACCAGTGCATCTTTAAATGTGAAACCAAGTTTTGCCGACGACAAGCTCTAAACTGCGACATATGGGTGCCCAAACGGTTTATATTTGCAGGTCGGCCAGTGAAACTCTTGATTTTCTTTTTATAATATAATTACATAGTTTTCTCTTAACGCTATTATTGCAATTTGTGTCGGCGATTCAATATGTGGTAGTTGAGTATATCGTAATGTACCGAGGAGCAATCCGCCACAGAGCGATTTTGTAGGCCATAGCAAGTGTGATAGCAGCCACTTATTGCAAGGAATTAGGCCGCGTCACTTGCTTTACACACAAGATATGTCGACTTCTATCGGTGTGTTTTCTATTTATACGTAATACGTCACGTAAAGGCTGCGTTCAGTAATAATTGTCCACCGAATATTATACCGTTCTCTATGCTAGAAGTACTCGGTATCTGTTTCTAATAAATGAATAAGCATCAAGGCTGCGTCGCTAGTTCATTCAAATAGAACGCAATACGGTGCAGGTTTTCTAGAAGTTCACCCTCAGCGACCTTATGCAGAACATTTTATGCAATTATATTCTTGATCTTCTCCATTGGCAAAATTGCCGCTAGCAGACCGCGTTACGTAACCTTCTTACTTTGTATATAAAACTGGAGTTTGTAAAACCTGGTCCACTAAGAAGGCACGCGAAATGTTTGATTCAGTGTACGAAGGAACCCGGTTACGCTACTGTATTCGCTAATAATAATCGATATGTACCACATGAGTTCTATTTGGTTAACAACGAGCTTTTGTATACTTCGCTTGCTTTGTGACCATGCCGATGGTCCCTTTCTGATGATCAGTCTTAACTGCCTACCGCCTACGGAGGCAGTAGGCACCACATATTATTCTCACTCGCCGGTCGCCCTCGCATAAGATATATATATATATATTACAAGCACTTGTTTCTTGTTATAGCGATATCTTATCTCGCCAAACGCTGACAGTTTGACGCTAGTGAGTTGTACTACTTATATACTCGAGTCAGTGCTGGATGCGTACAAGCGTGGCAATGTTCGCGAACTGGCGTTTCGCTGGAGTCGCCCGAGATAGATAATAAGATCTGTGTACTTCACATGAATCGATAAGGATCACAGAGGCTTTACTCATTACTGAATATAACAACTAAGCAACGCGAAAACATATGTAACATAAAGCATATTAGAAAAGAAATGCAGATTATGGGACGTATGAAATAAATGCATATAGCTAACCTGATTATATGAAGAAAGAAACATTGAGGGAAGGTGAAGTTTTAATATTCTTTAGTTTTACATGAGAGAATTCCTGTTTTACTATTCTACATACAAGTGATCAAGTTCGTAACGATTTTGCGAAATCTACAAGACCGGCTCAGATATGCTTTCTTCATTTAAAGAAAGATCAGCTTGAAGAATTTTTTTTTTCATTATATGCATAAAAGAAATTAATCATTTTACAAACTGACGAATACGTATAACTTGCGTAATATTTTTTCCTGCACTATCTTAACGAACAACTTTTGGAACTTTTCTAGGTTTTTGGAAAAACTTTTATGAACGCTGAAATAAGGCAGTTTTTCTAACGAAATTAAACTACTTGTGTTTCATTTGAATTTATTCAGATTAGTCTTTTTTGAAATGAACGTATTTTTCCGGAATTTATTAGGTTTTATGGAAGTGATGGTTTTAGAATATATTGAACGCGTGTTGAAAATTAGTAGTAGAAAAGTTCTTTTCGTTTACATCAGTCGCTTAATATTTTAATTCGGTCAAACATGTTTGGGAAGGTATTTATAAAATACAGAAACAATTCAAGTAGGCTGAAATGATTGGAAAGAAAACATGCTGTCCTTTATTATATGTCTATATACTGGAACAAATGTTTCCTTGATTCGAACTGCTTCTTATTACTTGTTCATTTTCATGGTGTGTCAGAAAAACACGGTAAATGGCGACATACGTCAGCGCTCCAATTAAGCAAGCTTTACAGAAGCAATGCGCATTATTATATTTAACGTTTTTACTCTTTTGTTGTTCACACTTCAAAGGAACAGCAGTAGCCGTATAGCGTCACGTGAGAGGCCAATTATCGAAATTCATAACAACAGCGTCTACTTTCAATGATTTATCTTTATTTGTTTATGTTTTAGACTGCCAGGACATAAGCAAGCGGCCGTACTCGTTGAAGTTAATAATTTTTAGGGCCTTGTGGCCCATCCTCAATTCAGTTATTGGCTAAACTAAGAGTAACACAGCTAGAGGATCAGACATTGGCTCTCCGCGAAGAGAGTACGTTCCGGAAATAAATGAAGTTCCACATATGAAAAATGTTTTTTCTTAATTTTTGAAAAGTTCTTATTTGCTGCTTTTATGCAGTAGCCTTGAAATCTATCCAAGATTGTACGAATAATATGGAAGTAAATTTTGACTTTGCCTATGTGCATTTTCCATGGTTACCATATATATATATATATATATATATATAGCCTTAACAAATTCGAATTGATGTTTGTGTACTTCTCATTACACGGACGTAACGATATTTTATTAATCGAGATCTAAAAATCTCATACAGATTTTTGTGAGCTGAAAGAAATCTCCTCGCTCGATCAGACACATAATATTTCTGTCACTATTGTCATCTAGCTATTTTTTTATTCTAAGATTCCTAGATATTAGTCAACGGTCATTGTCACCAAAATACTAGTTACTGACAGAATTTTGACATTACTTATGATGATACTCGACTGTTTTGCGACCAGCTTTTTGAGCATCACTGTCATGAAACCCAACACAAGTTTTCATCACTAATTTGAACCATCGCGCGGGACCAATACTAAAATGAAGTTGTTCTATAAAAGCGAACGACGATGGGAGCAACGTCATCATTGTATAATGCGCGGAGCATTAGATAAAAAAAGCTCTTTACTGATTGCACATACACAAAGAACCGACCAGTTTATTAGACTTATTTTTCTACATATTTGATTTACACCTACACATGATATTCTGATTTTTTCTTCTTAACAATATAGAAGTTGCAACATTAAGAAATGCAAAATTCTTCAAAATAAAATCCTCAAAAAAGAGTTTTTGCAGGCGTCATGTTCAGATCGAATGAGTTCGTTCTCACTAGACGTGTCGTCTGCAAACTACCTTTTTTGTTTACGTTCTTTCCTTCAGTTTCTCACGTTCTTCTCTGTGTGTGCGTGTGAATGTACTTTAGCCACAGGCTAGGTGGTTCTTTGCTCTAACTAACCACGCATGTACAGACAAGCACGACACCACTGAGACACCAGCAGGCAGCCAAAAAGAGAGAGCGGATCGACGATCGCGCCCCGCTCGACCAGCGGCCGCTCTGAGAATTACGCCCAGTGGTTCTTTAGCTGCAAAGTAGAGTCAGTTGAGGCGCAGACTACAGCCAGGAGCTTTGTGCTACGGGACATATCAGTCAAAGCAATACAACTACGCGCAGTGTGCGTTATAGGTAGCGAACAGCCATATAAATTTGTGTATGGGCGTTCAGTACTAAGTGCGAATCTGCAATCGACCTTGCCGCTTCTGGTATCCTCTATGGACCCCATAATTCTAGTGGCAAATCCTAGTTAAATCATGGAACCAGTAGTTTTTGAACCGTTGTGGTCGTGACGTGTTTGTGGCATAGGTCGACGAGCAAAACGGTCAGATCAATAGCACTAAATCCTCGTACAGCAACGCTGGCAGAGCGTTCCCATAGAACAACACTGCCATTGGACACCACTGCAAGAGCTATCGCAGGGTCGTCTCAAGATGGCGACCATTTCGACAGGCTGCAACTGCTGCTAGTAATTTGTGACGGGCAATTGTGTGTGTAGTTGATTGTGGAGAGCGGGTGTGCAGTCGATTTGTCTGTCCTGTCCTCGTCGTGGTGCTGCGCCTGTTGGTTAGAAGCCGTTAGGAGAGCAGTTTCTACTGCACGACGGCCATCATTGGCCTTACAGGATTGCGAACTGGGGCTGTGCGTGTGTGTGTGAGTGCGCGCGTGTATTGGCGAGTTTTCTATCGTTCCCTGTTTCAGCCCAGCAATTTCGTGGGTGTAGTTATCTGCTAGATACAGGACAAGAAGCAGCAGTGAGGCGCGCCAATGTTTAAAGTGCTCGTTTAGGGATTTCGTTTGCTGATCAGCCGCCGCGAACTCGGCAGTCAGAAGAATCCGTCGAGTAAACGAGGTTGACGCACGAGGCTGGGCCATACAAAACCTTTGAAGCGATTCTGAGGGTAGGTGGTTCATCCTCTGAAGAGACAGTAGATTTTCTAAAAGAGTGTAAAGGCTCAGAAAGAAAAGTCTTAAAGGGAGGTGTTGAGAGTAATGATTAGTTTCTACCGTGACTCGAAGGATGTCACGTAATTACACGGTGCTTCGTAATCGGATATAGTATGTGGTCGAGTAATATGCGGATGAAGTGGAATAGGCATTGAAACAACTACGTTGCGTATTGGACGCTTTAGCTGGTACTGATCTTATAACTGTTGAAACAAAGCGTACGTACGTGTTTTGGCTAAGTGTACAAAATTTACCTATCTTGGAAATATATTTCTTTTGTTTTTGGTAGTCAATTTCTGTTTATGAACTTAACGAGGAGAAATGCAGTTTAAATATGAAAAGAAGTTCTAAGTCACATCATATGGACAGATAATTGCACAGAAGAAGTGTGAGTGGTAACTACACTTCCCCAAACAGGACGTGCTCAGGCACGACGTATATATATATATATATATATATATATATATATATATATATATACACATAACACTGCTGAGCAGCTGCGAATGTTTTTTGAGTCATCTATCAACTTCTTATTACAGAATGCACGACTATTGTTTCTGCTCTATGACGTTACCGGCGTGAAACCTGCGAACAAAGTACAGTTCGCGCATGAATTACTAAGATCGCATTAATCACGGACCGCAGCACAACTGGCTTTGAACATTATAAATAGAGATATGAAGTGGCACCACTAAAAGTTGTAGTTCGCCTGCATTCATACCATCATATGACAGTAAGTGAACAATGTTTGCAAGTCGGAACATAATGTGATGCTGAGTAGCTGGAATGTGCGTCATCCTAATGCTTCGGCGTTTAAGCGTAACATTGGTTGCAATAATAAAATAGGTAATCTCGGTTGCATAGATTCGATTAGCAAATCGGATTTGATATCTTGTTAATGTGACTTACGCTCGTAGTGTAAGTGCCGTGAAGATGTGAGTGAAATTGATGCCGATGTTATCTCGCAAACGTCGGCAGCCTTTTTGTTCATCATTTTCTCCCCTAAAGATAACAAAACGGGTCAAGTGTAATTGGCACTATCGTAGTTATCTCGGGTCTGTGTTAAGGTAAAAAGAAATAAATTATTTTCTTTTCCCGTTTTTATATCTACAAGAAAATATAATGCTGAAAACGGCATATTTAGAGTGTCAGTTTTAAACTAAAAAGTACAAATAAATTTCAGTTGGACATTTTCTAAGATATAAATGGATCCTCAAAAAAGTGACTTTTATTTTTGCGTAGAGTTAAACATGGCATATAAATAATATATATATATATATATATATATATAGTACCATTATATTTGTTAAACCATATTTGAAGTTAACACTAGTTCTACTTAAGATAATGGCATATACGTTGGAGTAATAAGATAATTTAACTTGAGTAAGTAGTAACAGGGTGACAGGTTAATTGTCAAGCTTATTGTTAGTGAATGTTACTACCATATAATCAGATGTTGCTATTCATCCTTGGCTTGATGAACATCGAAAAACACATTTGTTTTTTTTTTGTATAGTTCAGTCTAGATTCAGAGAACGGTGGCCCCCTAAACCGGAAGTTTTAATCACAGTTGTTTTAATTACTACGTACATAAACATACTATAGCGTACATGCATCCAGCTTAGTGTATTCCGTAAGAAAATCATCATTGAATGTGATAATCATCGTTAATTACTTACTGTTTCATATTTTTCCATTTTGCTTTGCAGATGACCAGTATTACAACAAGCTCACATCTATTGAACTGCGTTGAAATAAGGTTATATCAGCGAATCGCTGCATCAAATTACTAAAAAAAGCCGAGATTGCAAAACGGACCTTGCTTGGCTTCGGAGTTTGGCTACAAAGACTAACAACGTCTCAATCCACAAAGCTGAAAGACTTCCACGACTGAAAGAACAACTCTAGCGCATAGTAAGCTGTATACACTGTAGAGAAGACACACCAAAATGGAAACTGTAGTACAAACACCGCCATCGTACACAAGAAGCGGTACCGGCCACCGGAATCCGAGTCAGCCTGGCCCCAGCGGGTTTTCGTCTCACCAGCGACGAGGTCAGGTGGCGTCAGCAACTTCTGCTGGATACGGCCGTGGCCGGAATGTATCATCCGAAGGTGGAGGCTGGGCTCCACGTAAACGTCGCGGGTCATTCGGAATGAATTCTGGAGCCGGAGGAAACGGTCCTGGGGTCGGCTGGGGCGGGAGTAATGGAGGTGGTGACAGTAACAACAATACGAGCCATAACAACAATTCCAACAATACCAACAATAATACAAATAACAGTAATAATAATAATAGTAATAATAGTTCAAATAACAGATTTAAGAGGCGAAAACGTCAGCATCCTGATATTGTATTGCCGACAAAGTTCATGCTCGGGGGTAGTATTACTGATCCTCTGAACCTGCGTAGTCTTGAAAACGAAGAGGTAAACCGGCTTGCGAATCAGACCCCTGTAGCGTCACCTGCGCCGGCTGCAGGTGGCGGCAGTGAGCGCGTGGAAGTGATTATTCCGCGCGACATTAAGGACCCGCTCAATCTGAACGCACCTGAACCGCCTGCAATGGAGGCTAGCTCCGAACAACGCTCCCAACAGCTAAATACTAGTACGAGTGCAAACGATGGCAAGCGAAACAGAGATAACAGTACCAACAGCAAATCTTCAAATAGTCAGTTGCAGACGAAAAAGAATCGCCGACGACGTAACCGAAACCATCATCAACATGGAAGATTTACGGGAAGTGGATTAAGTTGGCGAGCAGGTGCTGGGCCTTCTGGTTCGAATAACTGGTCCCCAACAGGCCCTGCTGGTGGTTATGATATTGCGGATAAATACCAAAGCGCTCATAGCGGACGAGGTCGAGGAGTTCGGAGCAACAAAAACAATATTAATAGCAACGACAATGTTGGACAAAACAAATCATTAGCCAAAACAACAACTGCAGAAGATAAAACGGACAACACAAACAACAGTGGTGGTTGTAGCAGTAGCAATAACGGAAAAAATACCACAGCGGCGTCGACAGGGGCCAACGTTCAGAATAATGCCAATGTTAGTGACAGTAGCAATAATAATAATAATAACAATTCTAATAGCACCACCAAGAACAATGTAAGCGGCGATGGCAAAAAATCTTCTGCTAACCAACGGTTTCGCTACGGCAATTACAATCGATACTACGGTTATCGAAACGGGACGGAAGCAGATTCGAGACTGTCGCTGCTAAAGCGGAAGTGGTTCGAAAACAAGGTCTGCCTCGACATTGGATGCAATGTTGGTCACGTAACATTGAGCGTGGCACGGGACTACGGTCCCCGTGAGATCATTGGCATGGATATTGATCAGACATTGATTCGCATTGCAAGAAAGAACGTTCGCCATTACGTGCATGAAGAAAACGTGCAGGGCAGTTGGTTTCCTGAATCCTGCGCTATCACTTTTGGGCCTATTGCAATAGCACCTGTGCGCGTTGGTGCTAGCGGCGGTGGGACGTCATACAGAAGTACAAATATGCCAGAAGTTGATGGAGGAAGTGCGAACCATAGGCGAGGCGGAGGACCTGGAGCTTCCAACCGAGATGGAGCTGCTTCGACAAACAGCAGTTACACAGGCCTACCCGTACCATTCCCGTACAACATATTTTTCACCCGAGGTAATTACGTTCTCGACACCGATGAGCTACTCGAGACACAGCGGGAAGAGTTTGATACGATCATGTGCCTTTCAACGAGCAAATGGATACAGCTAAACTTTGGCGATGAGGGGCTAAAGCGCACGTTTAAACGAGTGTTTCGCCAGCTTCGTCCCGGCGGACGTTTTCTGTTCGAACCGCAACCGCTATCGTCCTACCACAAGTTCTGCGCACCCGAACATCGTGAGAACTTCCGGCAGATGCAATTGAAACCGGACGAATTTCCTGATTACTTGACACGCGAGGTTGGTTTCGCGTCATGCAGAATTCTCGGCGTTGGCAACCATGGGGCAAAGAACTTCCAGCGGCCGCTCTACCTATTACGCAAAGCCAAAACCGAGAAGACGCCGATGCAGGGAAATAGTGACAATGGTCAAAGTAGAAATACGCCAAATAGTAGCCCAGCTGGACAAGGCAATAAAACTAGCGAAAGAACAGATCCATTTAAAGACGAACGTAATAAAGATCCATCAATATCGCGAAGTTTCGAAGCTCCCCCCAGCCAGCCTTCTCTGCCAAGGCCTTCACCAGCGCATGAGTGTGATACAACCACGGCATCGATTTAATCATTGTTCATCTTCAATTACTTTACAGAAGCGCGCAGCACTAAGTAAATGAGCCCACCGTAACGAGGAACTAGCTGTATCTGAGGTCACCAAGAGAGAAGTGAATTTCACCCTCAAAGTCACAAACGAAATGTGTCACTTGGCGGCATCCGCACATGCACATAAGACTTTATCGGTTAGAACTATCAACGACTTTCTTTTTCGGGTGAATATTTGAAGATCGTTGCGCGTGAGAATCTCCAAACAACTAATTTACCCTCCGTAGCAATTGAACACTGATGAAATCGTAAAATTGGACATAATTGTTTTGAGCATGGCTAAGAGCAGTTTGTTGTCGCCTGGGAACGTTCATCGGACGTTTGTTCGCCACTGCTCCTGAGATAAAGATGGTAGTCTGCACTCGGAGTCTACTGAACAGCATCGTTAGAACGTGCCTCTCTTGACGATCGTTTATTGCCTGGGTGAGGTTGACTCCTGTTAAATTTTTCCCATCTCTGACATATCTACAGATATTTAGGCCACTGTTGGATGGCAGGCGTATTCTTCAGTGGAACCGTGATGCCTGGAGGAGATATAAATCAAGCAAAACAGAAGTTTGACGTCTGCGAAATAACTGATGTGACTGCAAAAAGCGTGTATTACTAATCCATCGCTATAATCATTGTTAAGTAATATTGCTTGTAGGGATAGGGGGTAGAGGAACGTAATGCAGATACTTTGATTTTCCTGTACAAAGATCTCTAGGTAGGTGGCGAATAGAAGTGCGAAGAAAATTGGATTGCCAATTCGCCACGTCGCAAATGGCCTAACCTCTAGTCGAAATCTTTGGAATTCCATTTCATGCACATATATACAAGATTAAGACGACGAATATGTAGTACCAATGCGTATGTTTGAGTTTCGGTACTGCGCATTGAAAAGTTGTTGTGCTATATGAGTCGAACGGTATGGCGCGTTCAACACCAACAGATTAAAGAATTTTTGGTCATCTAAGAAGCTCGTAGTATTTTTCGTAGTAGTTGAAAGATACTGTCGGAGCAGGAATTTGCAAGCTTTCAGTAGGATAGATTCACTGTTATGCATCGAAATCAATTTTCACCTGCAAATTCTTATTTTACGTATTTATTGAATACGGCTTCAGCAATTTTTCCGTGTTGAACATGTTTAATGTGACCCGGTAGAACTGTTTACCGAATATTTCAGTGGCTAAAACGTTGCGTTGAACTATTATTAATTGTTGGTTTATGCAAATGGCATGTGCGTGCTTGCTTATCGAAACAAGGATACGAAAGATTAGGTATAATCTAACAGGTAACTGTTATGAAATTCTTTAATAATAAACGACAATAACAATATGAGCAATAACGACGACTAATCAGAGCCTAACTCTATAGGCACGAAGGGACCATTGCGTTATTTAGTTCGCACTGGTGATCGATTCATTTTAGGGTTTTGTATTCCAGTATATACTTAACATCACATTCTATTCAAATATTAGCGTTTATAGCCGTCGCCAAGAAAGTACTTGATTGGACGTAGATAAGTTCTACTTTAAAGGCGGCTACTGTTCCGTTCTTCAAGGTATGAGGTTTTCGGAGTGCTTAGCCTTAACAAAACATACATAAATCAATGAAATTGCTATGAATTACACGGCATAATAAATCATTATCATATTGCTAGTGGGTATTACCAATAAAAAATTTATGTAAGATAATTGTATAGTGGTGGTTCAAAGTGAAGGCGAAAGAGAATAACATGGCTTTCCTTTAATATACATAGCTCTGGGAAAATAGTAATAAGACACATATTACTAATGTTACTATATTATTATTATTAGCTTTGTACGCTCTCAGATGTCTGTTTGAATGGCAATCTGGTAACAAATGGAACCATTAATGATTAAATCAATGATAAACGTTTGGCCAAGCCTTCAAGGCCTGACTATGTCAGCAGTTAATTTGAACCATCTGTATTCTAAGTTAAAATGGATTTGTATGGTGCCAGCGATGGCGCGGGTTCACGGCCCCCAAAATACTTTGCAGGGTGGCAGAATGCGTGAGGGTAAAAGTATAGTATAAAAGTGTGCTAATGCCTCTAGCTTTCAGCAAAAGTACGATTGGAATAAATCTAATTCATCTAGCCATTTTAACGTTAACGAACGCGTTAGCGACTTCCTGCATCTTATGTTCTTTCGGAGTGTAAATCTACACACTTGTCGAAATATTTGTATGAATTTGTATGCAAGGTGTATGTGTAATAATAATAATACATTTCGTGCATGTGGGAATCTAGACAGAGCGTACAGAAATAAATATAAAGAAACGTACCTATTTAGCTTTGAAATAATCTGATTATAATATATATATATATATATATTCAGGTTGCTATCTTTTAGAATCTTGAGTAGCAGATAAATGCATGGCTGCTTTGGCAAGGATCTAGGCCAAACTTATTTCAATTTGTCGCAAATACGTCAGGTATATACATACGGTGTCCCGCCGTTCGGTCCGAAATTGTGTTTTCAAGTGCAAACCACAGCAAGCGTGCACACCCGCCATTTTGGCGGCAATTTAACGATTCGAAAACCCTAATACGTTTCCAGCAGAGATAGATTTAAGGTGCATTAGTAGTAACGTTACACGACAAAAGCTGGTCAAGTGGCCAAACATTTGATGGTGATCATATGGTGGCAGTTGAAAAGTGACAGTTTTGTATGCAAATCATGTTCTTTCTAAGGCAATTCAATATGATTATAACTTTAATCACAAACTTACGAAGCCATTTCGCCGACACGGTATTTCCCATACAAGCTAGAAGCGCTTAGCATGAGAGCAAAGCGAAACTCAGCTCAACCGGCTCGTGGCCTGGGCAGTGGGACATCATAAATATATATATATATATATATATATAGTTAAAAGAAGATCTGCGATTGTTACATATGAGAGGAAAAACGCTGGAATAGAGGGAAGAACGTGTAAAAGAAAAAGATGGCGATCGTGCGAAAACGATGATAATGATACTGACCTTATAATAATTTGTTTATACTACGAGTGGAGGTTATTTTAGACATAAAAATTAGTCAATTGAAGATGACAAATACCGTACGGGTGAACAAAACGAAACTGAAAAATCGATGCCCCGGTCGACGTCGGTGAATGAATACGAGAGTGTAAACAGCAAATAAACTTTTAAAAAAGTTTAAAAATAGTATTGCTTGAAAATACACAACAGATGAAACTAATAATTACGCTGTCTTTTTCTTTACTCATTATGCGAAGGTTTCGGTGTTTGCTTTTACTTCTAAATCACTCCTAGTTACCTAAAGCACACCATAGTCGTATAGAAGATATAGTAATTATTCTAATAATTCTACCAATCTTTCGATTTATAGGAATACTAGAAACTTGTAACTAAATAAATGTATAGTAGTAAATTTGCATTAAAAGGTAGATGTCTTAAGCCGCGCTGGCTCCCAGGTTACCTTTCTGCTTATCACTTTGCACTTTAGATACGATTATTGGTTCAAGTTTTGTGAACGAACAATTAGAAGAAGACAGTATTAACGTTATAAACCTTGTTTGTTTTTTAACTGTCATGTTGTCCTTTATATGTAAGGTGAAAGATACGGGACGAATAGTCCTCTCTTCTATTACGAAGAAGTACCCTACTAATGTATACTGGAGTAGCACTTACGGATTCGAGGTATTTCACGAAACGAGGTTACCAAAAATGCATTTCGAGCGCGCGCTATTGAAATAAAAGAGACAAATTCAGGCTAAAGTGAAGAATATATAGTAAATAGCTTGTTTCTAATAAATTTATAGCCGGCTAGCCGGTCTCCAAGGAGTAATGTAAACCGCGGTATATATACCTTTCTAAATATTATCCAGGACAGAAGTCATATAAATGTAAATAAGGTTTTGTTTAAAAAAATAACTCTTATTGCTTACACATCGCCAAACATTATTCGTTTAGGAGGCAACGGGCAACCCACATTTATTAACGTTGTAATATATCTCTGCCAGTTATTGCGGTTATCTAAACACTAAGCCTACAGTGAGTGTTACGCATATCACATACGCATTCAAGAAGCGCAGTACTTATGACTCCTGGTATTCCTGGACTTCTGGCACTGCATTACACCTTACGTATTTAATAAACCTTAATCAGTTTCCAATGTCCTTAAAATCCTTGCTCTAACCTATATTTAATAAATTTGAATCGAATTCAAAGCTAATCTAGTGTAGAGAAAATGACGAAGAAGTTTCCTTTGATAAAAAACCTGTTCGCAGAGACTATGATGCCTTGTTGGGAGTCATAGTCAACTTTCATAGTCGAAAAGAAGCATATGGAACTATAAGTGGAGCTCTCAATCTGCCAAATTCTACCGTCTACTATACAGCTGCGCCCCCATCTGCGTAAACCACTTACGAAGATAAATAAAAACGAATAAATGTATGCAACCATTAAGCAATAGTTACAATATAATTGAAACTAGCCTTTTTTTTTCTTAACATATAAAACCTCCTTTTATTCAAGGTCTCCATATAAGTTAGGTTCCTCATTAACCTTTTATTTTTACATATATACTAATCATGGTAGTTGCCAAAGTAATGGCGTATCTGTGGTGAGCAAGACAAGTCGGCCTCTTCTACTCACTATATCAGCTTTAATGTTTTCTGCAAAAAGAAACTTTTTTTTTATCGTTTGAACGTGAAACCTTATTTGAAACTTCATTTGCTTGGTTCGTTTAGGATGAACAATTGGCATGACTACTCTCACCCCCTTTTTTTGTCAAGGCAGCAAATCTTCTAGATGCGGCCTATGGTCAGCTGTGTTTTGCGTATGTTGTAATTTTGATTGCTTGTTTATAATCATTCTTTTAGCGCCATAACTATGATTTCATGTCGGTTGCGATCAAATTGGCGTGGCTGCCACCAAAAACAGACAGGTGACTTTATATTTACAGCTGCACGGGCTCCCTTCAATCAGCCTGCACTACTGAGGGTAATTGCTATTATAGGATTTGACTCTGTATATGCATCATCGAAAAGATGCATATACAGAGTTGGTATGTTGTCGAACTAATATTAATAGTCCTAAAAGAACTGATCGTGTTTCGATCCTTGAAGTACATTTAGAAAGGTAAGACCCTACCAAGGGATCACAACACGACCAAATGGATGTTAAGAGCCCAAGTCTTCAATCATAATAAACCATCGGTGTTTAATTTCTTAGTAGACCAACAAAACCACAAACAATATTAACCATAAATTATGTTATGCACTCGCAAGTGCATAAGAACACGGTACAGTGAAAGCAACGAAACGACGATGCCACTAGTGATAGCAATGGCGTCATAGAAACATTATCCTCAATAGAGCAGACTGATTGAAGGGAGCCCGTGCAGCCGTAAGTATAAAGTCACCTGTTTGTCTTTGGTGGCAGCCACGCCAATTTGACCGCAACCGACACGAAGTTATTGTTATGGTTCCAAACGAATAATCATAAACTAGCAATCAAAAATACAACATAAGCAAAACACAGCTGACCATAGGCCGCATCGGTCACCAGTCTAGGGGATTTGGTGCCTTAGACAAAAAAAAGGTGAGCGTAGTCATGCTAGTTGTTCATCGTAAACGAACCAAGCAAATGAGGTTTCAAATAAGATTTCACATTCAAACAATAAAAGAAGAAGTTTTTTTTTTGCAGAAAACATTAAAGCTGATATAGTGAATGGAGAAGGCCGACTTGACTTGCTCACTACAGATACGCCATTATTTTAGCAACTATCACGATTTGTATATATGTAAAAATAAAAGGTTAATGAGGAAGCTAACTTATATGGAGACCTTGAATAAAAAAAGGTTTTATTTGTTAAGAAAAAAGGCTAGTTTCAATTATACTATAACTGTTGTTTAATGCTTGCATTCATGACTTTATTCTTACAGCTGCACGGGCTCCCTTCAATCAGCCTGCTTTGTTGAGGGTAATGTTTGTATGACGCCATTAGTACAATTAGTGGCATCGTCGTTTTGTTGCTTTCACTGTACCATATTCTTATGTAGTTTGAGTGCGTAACATTATTTATGGCTAATATTATTTGTGGCTTTGTTGGCCAACTGAGAAATTGAACACCGATGGTTTATTATGATTGAAAACTTGGGCTGTTAATATTCATCTGACCGTGTTGATACTTGGTAGGACATTACTTAAATACACTTCAAGTATCGAACAACGGATCAATGCTGTTAAAACTATTCATATTAGTTTGATAACATACCAACTCTGTATATGCATCATGATGCATAGATTGTATTAAGTATAATTTTGATTTCGGTGAGAGGTACTTTAAAAGGGGATGATTGACAGCATCGTATTACGTTATGATGATCCTCGGCTTGTAAACCAAAATTCATACTTTTTCTCCTAAAACGCAGACTCAAATAGTTCCAGCACCCAACTGTTCTTGGCGACACGCTTTGCTTTATCCTGTCTACTTCATAAGGGCCTTAACAACTGCTTTTGGATTGAGAGCTTTAAGGTCAACATAGGTTTGCCCCGTACCGACAAAAACGATTGGTTGTCCGGTGATATAACTCATGGACACAGCGGCTCCAACTTTGTCGTCAATGGTGTCAAACTTGGACAGCACGATGCCATCTATGAGACGTGGATGACCCTGCATTTTGCTGTGATCCGCAAGGGCTATGTTGAAACGAGTTAGCTGGTCCACTGCCTCATTACCAACGAGGGCTTCACCAACGAAGAGTAGAAGATCGGGACGGTTGACAACAACAAGCTTAGCCAAGGCGCGCATCAGTGGTTCGTTATCCTAAAACAATAAAAAATAACGGGTAGCACATTTCAACTATTTATTCTATCCTATACCCTTCCAGAAGGAAATGTTCATACTTGAATAGAACTCATATCTAGACCGTGTCAAAAAAAAGGCTCGAATGGTTTTTGTGGTTTTTTATATATAGGTCTGGCTTTATGAGAAAGCTTCGAGGGAAAAGTTATATTTCTGGTGAAAGCTGCGTTAAAAAATAAGTCTTTTTCATAAAGCTAAACTACGCTAAACTTCATTACAGCCACATTGACATTCCAGTGTTGCTATACTTCAAGGCGGCTATACATCCAGTGGCACCATCCACTCAGTTTTGGTTCCAGGTCTAAGCTGCATTATTATAAAATATTATAACAGATAATTGCCTTTATACGGTTAGCTAGAAAGGCGAATGTGAGCCTTTGATTTCAATGTCTACTCGAAAAGGCCTGGGCCGTTTAAAAAATTTCGTGGAGCGCTGAGGGTTACGCTAGATTAGCATTCAAATGCTCATCAAAATCTAGGATAAACTGCCTCACCTGCATTCGCCCTGCCGTGTCGATCAAAACGACATCAAAACGCGCCTCCCTTGCGAAGCTAATCGCCTCAGAGGCTATTCCAGCAGCATCTTTGCCGTACCTGGTTACATGAATATGACAAAATGTGTTAATAAATTTCAGCCGAAATACAAACAGTACTCAAATGATTTATATTCGAAGTCCCTTAACTTTCCTATTAACTATGAGTCAGCTAATTATAACTGCTGTCCAAGTATTAGATACCGTCAAGTAAACAAAAAAGATATAATAATTTATGATTATTGATCATTCTTTCGCGTCGTTCTTACGCATTCTAGAAATACAAGAAAAAACAACTTTGTGGAAGATAAATACATAACGACACTATAAATATATAGTTTGCTTACCCCCTCTCGTACAGCTGCACCTTGTCCTTGTGCAGTGTGTCTAGATGACGTACATGTGTACGCAGCTGTTCAACCGCACCAGCTCGGAAAGTATCACACGCAGCGATTAACACTCGACAGTCATTTTCCATTAGCCAGAAACAGATCTTGGCGAGATTGGTTGACTTGCCAACACCGTTGACACCACAGAAAGCGATCACGTAGGGACGATTGTCACGACGGCATTCTAGCACATCACGAAGAAGATCCATTCGCCGTTTAGGTGACAACACCTGTTATTTGGGAAACAAACATCCTACATTGAAATAATCTAACAGGCATCAGCTGAATATTTAACAAAGCAGAATAACAACAGAAAGCTACCACTAGGAAGGCCACTTCCTAGAAAACCATATAATAACTTCAGCAAATGTGTTTTTTAAAACCCAAGTCGATCTCATTCTGTACGCGTAGAAAGGGAATAAACTTTAATTATGCCGTCTACGTATTAGAAAGACATGAATCAGGGATGTGATGAATATTTCAATTGCAGTTCAAGGTATTGTACGTTTCATTTGATCCCCATTGGGAACTTACGGATTGAGTCGAGTAATCCGAATAACGGCTACTATTGGTTGTAAGTTTACCTGCACAAGAGCGTCTGACAGCGTCTCACGAATGACCGATGCCACTCTCTGAAATGAGCCCAATATTTGGCCTTCCATCTGAACGGCAACACTCTTGCACAATTGTGTGGCCACCTCTGCGGCTACGTTCTTGGTAATAAGATGTTCTCGCAACTTGTCTAGCACGGGATCAACCTCCGCTCGAGTTAGTGCCTAGAATAATAATCCCATTGGATTACAGTCCGCGTGTTACTAAACCTCAGCTAAATGTACATGATTAAAAACAAATTAAATCTGACATTAGAATGTGCACCTAATCACAACACTAAAAAAAAGAGTTGTCTTTTTTCAAAAACTCAGAGCTTCCTTAAATTTTGTTAATAATTCAATACCTCGTGTGTGTAATATTTTTTCAATTGACCGAAACAATGAAATTTTGCGGATGAATAAATTTTTATTTGCTATCGACCTCTTCCTTCACCTTTTTCTGCCATGTTCTCTATAGTTCTGCGTACATACCTTTTGTCCAACGAGTCCTTTGAACATTCCGAATAAGCCTCCCTTGACAATGGCCTTATGACCGGCAGCGTCGCCGTCGTCACAATCATCGTCAGATGAATCGTCGAAACCTATATCGCGAATGTCACCTTTAGCCTGTCCTACCCAAGACGTTTGAAACTGGAAGCGACTGCGCTCCTCAAGAACACCATTTCCAGACTATGCAAAACCGGAAAAACGAAAACAGTGCTGAATCTTCAACCCAAGGGTAGCCCCTACATCCTAATACAATATTTGATATAAGCTTTAAAGAAGTACACAGAAATGGTTTCTGATTTAGCAACGGAAAAAACTTGTAGGCAAGATAATCGAACAAAGTCCCAGCGATCTGGCGTATTTGACAGTCATATATGCCAACCATGTGTGACTTCTAACTCCTATACGTAGTGACTCATAAGCGAACACCTTGGGCCCTACCACTATCTTGAATCAATAAACAGAAAGCACGCACGTATACACAATAACCACGAGAAAGCTGTCTAAACTTACCGGTGCTGAAGGAGCCTCGGAGTAATCAAGCCCCGCAGTCGAATGACCCTGATTATCCCAAACACGGGCTTTCTTGCCTTTTCCACTCTCTTTGTTTATGGGCGGACTTTTCTTATTATCTGCACCGCCCTTGCTACCTTTTTTGTTCATTCGTTCAAACATCTTCTGACGGTTACGAGTCACATCTTCCAAATCTTCGTCCAAAGCTGCTGCTACAATTGGTCGAGTATCCTTTTTTGATTCTACCTCCTGAAACGCCTCACATGCACAATAACAGAATAGGAGTGATCACGCTCGACATTAGTCATATTTTATCGGAATCATAACCATACTTATGTTTAACATTATTATTATTTCTGCTATTGTAGTTTGAAAATAATAATAATGCTAAAAATAATAATAAGGCTAATTTTAGAATAGGTAGACTACACCGAACTACCGCGTAGTAACATACCTTAGGTGCGTCTTTTGTTTTATTATTTTCGATAAGGGCTGCAATTGTTTTTTTCGACTTATGGCTTTCTTGGAAGGTCCGCATTTTTGGAACCCGATTTTCTTTGCTTGCCTCTTCAGCCCTTCTTAGAATCTTAGGAAATTCGCCACTCATTGAATAGTTTGCGAAGTAATTACGGCTCTCGAGATCCTGTCTGCAATATGATGCCGTTAAGAAGTGTGGAATAAAGAGCTGAACTTATGGGAATCGCGATAAAAATAAAGAGTTAGAAAGGAAGGAATGAGGAAACCAGTTACTAAAACCAGTTACCAGATACTGGTTTCCTCATTCCTGTCGACTAAAGCTGCAATAACAATAATGCATTCATAACAGATGCGCGTCGTGTGTTCCCATGAAAATTGTAATTTTCAGAAAGGTATCTCCAGAGTTTACTTTTTTGAATAGGATATTACCTACATATACATAAAACCAATAAAACACCTGTTTCAATATGGAAGATGCTTCGGCGCACATTTGGATTATTTAACTTCGTTCCGCGATTTTGCAAAGGTGTATTTATCTGTTTTTAAATTAAAAGACCTTAATGCGTAAAATATAGTAGAAATCAGAAATTACTACTATTCACTTTGCATAATACCTAAAGCAAAGAGTACAGAAAGGAATGCTATGTAGGTATCATCTCACAGAGCTGCTGAAGCGCATAGCAGCCTCTGAGCCTTAAATACGGGTTTCTATCTACGAGAGTAGATAAATGCCTGGGTGGGCAAAAAACAGGCGCATTACGCTTAACGAACCTGTATTTATCTCGGAACTCGAGTTGTATATCATCAAGAAATTTGTCAACATACGACAGCTGAAGAATTTTCTGATAGGCTGTCACGAACACGAGATCAAACTCGTTGTCCATTCGGAACCTGTAAAACACAACAAATGTAGCAATTAGCAACGCCCCAAATTATCGTAATGCACCACCTTTCAGGGCTGTTTATACAAGCATAAATATATCCACAAACTATTGTACACTGTATCCCTTATGTGAAAAAAACTTGCTGGATTGGACTCATCTAGACTTCTTTTCGTTCCGCTAAAGGGATATCTTACTAATCTGTAACTGGGAAAATGCCTAGAAAACGCTACCGGAGTGACAGCTGGTTGTGCTGAAACTCTTCTTTGTGTGAGCGCCCTTGGAGGATCACCTCACGGATCAGCGCGTTAACCGCTGATGCGAACGCATCTCCGGTTGACTGGAAACACCAAAGGACGAGTCCGCTTTTGGAAAATATGGCAAATAAATCTAGCATGACTGTTGTCTATTGTTAGAACAGGGTCTTCTGAAAGGGGAAAAGCATGAAAATAAAAAGTATAGTTACAAAAGCAGGCAAGGCGTTAATAAAATGTAAACATCTCTACTGTTTTTGTAGTATCGGTTTTACTACAATAATTTAACAATGTACCCGACCTGCTTAAAAAAAACCTTAAAAAAAAGTTACTCGTCGTAATAAATTGTTGGCGTGCTAGTAGTAATCCTATCACAGGCGCGCAATATAACGTAAAAAAAACCACTGGCATTGTTTTCTCAGACCCGCCTACATTTGGTCGAAAAACACACTATTCAAAACAGCAGGTATAGGATTGCAATGGGACATGCAACAACAGTCTGCAGCGCGAGCTACTGCAGGACTTCAGTTTTAACGCATTGAACATGCTTGATACTCTATATTTTATATAGCCAATAATTATCTGTGATTTGTGTGACTAAAAAAATTTTTATTTTTATATTATCTAATCCTGAACGTGTCTCCAAGCAACAAACCAAATAACGAAAGAAGGAAGAACGCACCGGAGTGACACTGGCCTAACCTAGACAACCAAGTTTAGTCGGACGACAATCAATATTATAAACCAATGTTTTTTGTTTTACGTTCGATACTTTAATATTACTTCAGACGACTGGTTTCTGCCAATACGAAACGAAATCTGTCCACGCTTGAATTAGAACCTAGACTGTTACGTGTCCGTAGGTTCAAACACGTTACTAACTGCGCTATTACGAGGACACATTCTATATTATATGCAAACAAGCAGATTTCGTACTTCAGTGCGTCAGCTAGCACATGATACGGTCACGTTGTTACCATCGTCGCAGTCGACGAATATGGCCTTGAATCGGAACTGGTCAAAAGACTGCACGGAGTGGCTGCTCGTGTCTAACGCTCTCTACGAATGCCTACTTTTCCAATTTTTTTAGTGTTCTTTGATAGCACATTCGAAATCCAGAGGAGTCTAAACTTTAATAAATCTGCGTGTTAGTTTTTGTCAGGGACACCTTTTTCTGTAGAAAACCTTTTTTTTTTTTACTATAGAACACTAGTGATACGTTGCTTCGCACACATTTCGCAAGTGTATACAATCTGTGTTCGACAATAAACTAGAAAGATCTCATTCATAAAATTACCACGTGCCTGTGTACAGACAGGAAGTTGCATAATACGTACATCCCTTAACTTGTTTTGTCAAGTGCAGCTATTTCAATCTACAGCTGTGTCTGTAATAAGATCTTAGATGGAAAAGGTACGATCGATTCATTGCATAACCAAAACATGTGGATGTATAGCAGGAATCGTGGAACGCCAACTCTGTTTTAATCGAACGCATTCGTTATACACCATACGTAACCCATACACTAACACAAGATCAAACAATGGACCGCTTTTGGGCTTAATTATCGTTCCTTAGATTATGGCAAGGGAATAGAAACTTGATAATTTATACCGATCGTAGAGACATTCATCAAGAATGAGATAATCTTGGCAGTCATGCCAGTTAACATGCCAAAACCGAGTCTACACACCTGTATCAGCTGCTTGCTTCATAGATCCGGTCCACAGTAGTTCTTTGTATGGAAAATGGTGTCTAACCAAGCTACTACTGCCTTCATTCTTCAATAATAATTGATGGTCAATTATCCTATTCAGTGGCCTATTAGCATTCCGCTATGCAAAAAATACAAATGACCATGGACAGCTGACATTCAGAGACACCTGCTTCCAGCCACGACCCATGTCTTTCGCAGCACACACGCATAGTGAGCCTTGTAAGGTAAATTTCACTAAGAATCTATGAACTTGACTAGTCCAGCTGCCTTATGAATGAAATCGAGCGCTGCCAATTAACAAAAATTTAACCATTTTCATCCGCAAATATCACTCACAAAAACCAGCTTGTACTTCTTCGCTTCCTGCATAGGACAATGTTGTTAATCGCATATAACCGCCACCGGTCGGGATTGCCGAAAACATCAACACACAACGCCGCCAGGGCTCACAACTATAATTGCTTGCGTTCATACGAGCGCAACGCAAATCTGCACACACGAGATGTTGGTCAAATCGAACGCGACTGCTATACTGCACAAATCTCCAGTACTTACGGGCGGCTACTTCACGCTCTCGCGCAGTTGTTTAGCCCCGACATACACCCAGGATCGAAACCATAGACAGCCAAATTCAGTATTACGTTTCCTCCCAACTTACCGCAGGGAACTTGCCCAACGCACCCACTGTGATGACAACAACTAGCAGTTCTCCGGCTGAAATTATGGCCTCTGTGGCTACTCAACAGACGACGTAACAGCTGTGTTAAAATTCGAACGTGTGACGTTGCAAGCACCACTAGAGACCAGCAACAGTCGAAAGGAGCGCGCCCGCTAAATCTAGCGGGAAGGTGGTTTTTGTAAATCTGGAAAGGGCGAATGCGGGCTGCGCAGTGTGACGCCATGTGGGTGAGGGATGGGTTCAGTACTGATTATGACGTGCAATTAATGTCTGTGACGTCAATGATGATGACGACCGAGCAAGGCAGCCAAAGGAGTTAATTCGTTGGCTGAAGAATAGGCTGAATGTGCTATATGAGCTTCCTGGTGTCCATTGTTGACGCTAAGGACAGGAAAGCGCAGGGACACACTAGCGAAATCTACTGTCTGGGTAGCTCGGACTCGCGAAATTATATTTTAGCCACGTGAATTAAGTATTTGTTAGTAGATAATTATTATCAGCTCTCGGTGTATTAGCTTAAGTTTAATTACAATTAGCTAGCGGATGCAAGCGACGTTCACCGGAACCGGCAGAAAATGTTGTTTTGCCAAGAAACTGAGTCGAAAATTTGACCGAGGTTCATCTTTTGTTAGAAAAACGATTATACTGAGGCTCAATATTTATCCTAAACAACACACAACATTCATCCTATATATTTAAGAACCTTTTTGCACGGCTTAGTGCGAAGGTTTGAAATGATTGTATCTGCCTGCTATTTTATGAGTTGAGTACTCACTGGGACTCCTACGGAATACCTCGTTAATGAAAATGATGGGGACATGCTGAGAAATCTGAACGCCTTTGTTTTCTGTTAGTATCAACAGTTAGGCCTGTCTTACGATCTTATTTGGTGTGTGCTAGATGCAGGCCTCACTGTTCAGTTCTACAGGATCCGTTAACCGATAAGCTTGAGTTTAATAGTAAAGAATATAAGATGCAGGCCTCACTGTTCAGTTCTACAGAATCCGTTAACCGATAAGCTTGGGTTTAATAGTAAATGATATAAAAGCAGGTAATATCAAGAATTCCATGTTCTGCATGGGCCGAAGAGCAACTGCAGTGCAATCCCAATTTTGTGTCAAAAATAATTTTGCATTTCTATTGGTCTGGACAACTGGGAAAACAAAACTGTTATACACGAGCATACAAGAACCCTCACTTCAGTTACGATCAACCACTTTATGGATCTTAGGTAACCGCATGGCAACCACGGGCCGGAGGCTTCATCGGATGGATTTTGCTTACTGAGGTGTTAATGGCTATCGTTACACATAACCAGTAAAGTTTTTATTTTGAAAGAAATTTGGTGAACGCACAGTTTCCATGGAGAACCCATATTATCGCCGTGCCTACCCTATTCGTACAGCCTAACATTGCTGATTTTTCTACGGGTCTTTAAAAGGCACAGTCTTTAGAACCAGCCTTTCTAGAAATGGAAAGCTATAATCATATCGTATATGACGTTTTTTAAGCAAATCAGACTCTATAAAATGGTTTTTTAAAAATTATGTGCAACCTTATTATCAGTCAGTGAATAAAAATACGTTTGTTTTTGATCTACCATATTAAAGATCTTTCTTAATGTTCCTCACATTCATGATATTTATAGCCCGTGATGTATATTATATAGATTGCGTTACTTTAAAAAATCTTTACGACCTAAGAGAGCATAGATGTTCAGTAGAAAGCAGCTAGAAGTATCTAGTTAATTAACATCAAATTTTATACTATGTTATATATTTGGCATGAAAGGAGTATGTGAACGAAACGCACTGTTAACCTAAAAATTGCCGTAATCCGCAAGGAGTTCACGTAGGTTTCCAAAAGGCCACTCTTCTTATTAAAACCTATTAATATAGTCTTTGCGTTAATATGCAATCACTAACCTGTATAGTAAAATGAGCAAGAAAATTAATTTTTAGAAAACTTAATTATTTTCACATATTTCGCATTCTGGCTGTGTTATTTTACTCTACCAAAATTTGATTTTGTTTCTCTCAAAGGCCCTGTTAACATGTAAGAACTAATGACGTTTAGCCTGGATTAAATTTGATAGGGGATCGATAGCGTTTGTCGAGGTCAAATTTCGTTTGAACTGCAGTGAATATCGAGTAGTTGTACAAATGATTAATAGCCATTTCCGTGGCCTCTTGGTAGTCTGATAAACGGCGCCGCTGTCTCTCGTGGATGACATCACGATTTGAATCTTGCGTAGTACTTACGGTTTTAATCAACATAGAGTGGTAGACGAGGCGAATTGCGTTGACAGAACAGGACAAACTTTATTCGGACTATCTATGCCGTTCACGAGGTACTGTGATGTTCCTCATCATTCTATTGGATGGTTTTACCTAATGTTGATTCGAACGTTTTGTTAGGACTGTTTGGTCAAATATAGTGTAATCCAATTCGATTGTACCTTTTGAAGAGGCGTACGTGTCATTGGCGTGTTTTAGCACCAATGCGTATGCGGTACGGCACGTACTCATAGCTATTCTCAGCCATTCGCATTGTAAAATAGATAACCTCCAGTGCATACAACTAAAAAAGTATACAGGCTTTAAAACGGTGTCATCAATACATTCAAATATTACACTAGTAATTTTTACATTGAAGATGCGTGATCAGGCCCGATCCTAGTTTGCCAATCCTCTCCTCTAGAACGGAGTTCCGCCTCCATTAAGTACTTTGTTGTATATATAACGAGCACTGTCTTGCTGTTTTGAAATCTCAATAACAATATACACACTAAACTGTCCTTTGATCGATACTCACCAAATGACACACAGCATTATGTATTGAAAACTAAAGTAGCAAATAACTTTCCTGTTAAGCATAGTTGTAATATTCGCTAGCTTTTCAACGTTAAACGTATTAAACGTACCTCTTGTTTTACTAAAAAAACATGTTTTACTTTACTGTGTCTATCGTGCATTCACATAAATAGTACTATAGATTATTCATTGACCAATTACGTCGTACAAGATTTTCTGCAGATTCGTATGTCCTCTCAGCTATTTTTCTGCATTTACCTAACTTCAGAGCAATTTTTTACTCTACGACGAGTTTCTACGACGAGTAGCCTATGGCGATTCTAATGGAGCGAAATAGCCATGGTTAGGTTATACTGGTTGCTAAGAGACGCCTAGGTGCCTTGGCTAGTTACTCGGTTGAGAATATAACGATTGACCTGATTAAAGCCAGCGGTGTTCCGTCTGACAACAGGGTCCAGAGCGGCTTATGTTCTATGTATTTGGGGTGAAAAAGGGATTGTCTACGAAGCGATAATACAATACGCAACTTGTCGAATCTCCTGACGGCCTAATGAGCGACGATACTGCCTTGTACACAGAAGGTTCACCATTTAAATCATCCGTCACGCATTATGGTTGCGAAGGCCAAGTGTTTGCATGTGCAATAAGTCCGTTAAAAAATCATGTCACATATATCCGGATTATGTTACATTTAAATGGTATATCTAATGTATCCAGATATTGTGTTCTCTTACAGAAGAAAGAAAAGCGTTGAATAGTGTTTTTTAACGAACGTATCTAGCGTAACATGTTATGTTTATAAAATTTTGGGACTTTCGAAACGAACTCAAACCCACATGAAGGCTAATAGTTAGTTGATGCGAGGGTCTAAGTTCTAAATCTTAAGTGAGGAATTGCCGAACTTGAATGACGCGCACTAGGTGATAATTCTGTGCAAACACTTTTACAATTTTTTTTTCGGATGAATAGAATTTTTTTTATTTCCGAAGAAATATTTTATCTGATAATTGATTTGATTACGACGAATATAAACTGATTTCTATGGTCGAATTCAACCTACTGCTATATAGCATTGATAACAATAATAATAATAATGAGGATATTCACATTTCTACTCTTAAATACTTAGTAATTTCAAGTAACTGCAAATTACCATATATCAGTGGGAAAATATCAGACATCGGTCGCATTTTATTTTTACCTTAAATAACATCAGACAAGACCAGTATCACTGGAGTTATTTCCGCATGCTGCACAACATTTTGATAGCAATAATCTGACTGTTTATACTCTCGAAAAAACCGCATAAGGCGTCCGCCTTATTTATATTATCACCAAACGTGTTCCTCACACACAAGTAATACAGCACAGGTATAGAATTTCATTTGATTCTTTGTACCACTTCCTAGTGTTTAGCATCGCTACGTAGAGATTAGATTCCTCAATTCCGCTAGACTCCAGGCAAGACCCTGATGCGTCTTAAGTGACGATCCAAGCTAAGGCTTGTGTAAAGGTTGAAGTGGGCTTACACAAGGAGTAAATTTCTTCATTACATAAGAGAATAAAGTTAGCAAATTTTATTTCAACTGCTCCTCAGTTGAGCTAGCACGTCAGGAAAGCCAACGTTAATCTACGAGGGTAAGGCTGGCAACGATGGCGTCGGTGTAAGACTATCAATTTTGAGTTTTTCGATAGTTGCGACCACAAAGTTCTTCAACATCCGTTGTCAAGGTACAGTGAGATCTGACCTAATGAGCCAATAATCAGGTGGCCCTGAGAAAGATAATTTAACGTATTTGGGTAACGTATAATTAAACGTACTCAATAATAATCAGTCATACTGAACTGTTTTGCAACTGATCAAATTACGATTGCCCGTGTTTTCAACTACTTTTGCCTATACTTTGACAATTTAAATTTCGGAAGCTAATAGTTCCTACTGGAGAGGTCAGTTATCTCCAATACAGTAATCAGTCAAACGAAAACGTTCAGATTTTCAGGCTCTTCCTATTAATTGTTAATAAAAGTCAGACTGCCATCCTTTCACTAAATTCAAACTTCCGTCTTGACAAAAACATTTTAGCTCCGTAGCGAGCGAAAAGCTCAATATACTAGCAAGCATCTTTTGAAATGTGAAATATATATGCGTTCAGCATTACGAAAACGTAAATTATTATATGCTATTAAATTGTTAAATATTTTAGGTGCGTATATAAATATTTTTACACACATGACATAACGTTATGTGTCTTGTTCGACCGGTCAGAAGGATGGATTTATATAAGAACTAAAATGAATGAACCAATTCTGAATTCGAATATATGTTAAATCTATTTTTCTGGCTGTATAGTATGCTATGTGTAGTACAACTTATCAGTTTACAGAATTGAATAGACGTGAATATCTCTAATATAGTAAGTTCTCTTATTACAACGCCTACATACCCCCGTTTATAATGAGAATTTTCAAAATAATGTGCGAATTCTCATGCGTTTTGGACACGGTAACTGGTAACTGGTTGCCCAAGCTGAGAATAGGCTAATGAAATCGCCGTTGCTGACATTTGATGTGAATTCATCCAATACATTCTCATGCCACCAATTAGCACATCATGTCAGCAACAACAAGTGTTTACGTCAGATTGGTAGCAAATAAACCCTTTAAATTAACGCTTACGTTTTCTCATTCAAGGAACTACAGGTAGGAAGATACACTATATGGAGGGTGACCGCATCAGGTGATATCGACTTTTCTGCGTAATGAGCGTTCAACTTAGATTCGACTTGAGATTTTTTCTATTAATGAGTCAAAGGTACAGTACACGCATATTGACAACCGCATAAACGAATCGAAATAATAGACGACAGAAACCAATGCAAACGAAGGCAACAGCTTCATAGAGATAGTGTTACAAAAATAGCTCTGGTTTACAGTCAATCTGGGTAATAGGCAACATATGACTGTTTGATTGATCAGTGCATTTTAATAAAGTTCTCAAACTCTTCCATGGTTGATTTGGCCACCTTTGTGACGAATATCTCATCCGATGTTGTCGCGATCTGGATCGGCGTTACGAATGCTGGCAGCTTCGGATTGAATTGTGCACGATCAAGATGCCGGAGAAATTCTAGCCTTTGCTTGAGCCGAAAATCCCGACAAAACAGAACCTGCTCAAAGGGATACAAATGTGAAACAGTGAGAGGTAATCAGTTCGGGTAAGTAAAGCCTAAATCATACGACGATTAAAAGATCGGTGGTTTAATTGTATTAATGTATCCGACTAAGTTATTGCCAGTTTTATATTACGATGATAGACGTTAACGTCTGTCATAGAAGCAGGTGGTGTTCCGCAAAGGATGGATCAGTTCGAAGCCGACAACTTCAAATGCCGGATACGAATGAAATATTGTTGATATGCGATATAATACAAATTTATTGTTCTTAACTACAATATAGAACTATTTGTAAAGCAAAAACCAAAAATAATAACTATGTGCGTAACCTTGCTATGTCACTGTATCGGCCTGATCTGTCACCGGGTCAACGAGTTGGATATTATGCATTTCTGCAGACTCAAAAGGTTCAACCTTAATATCTTGTCGTCTTGATCGTGTCGCTAGCCGCAACATAGCGGAAATCGATATTGTCGTCGAGTTCTAAACAAGGACATGCCGTCCTTCGGTTATAGACCAACAGGATGTGTCGCATACAAAGTTTGTCATAGAAAGAAGGCTTCTACGGTAGAACCCGTCGTTGGCTAAATGACTCAAAGTAATCATCACATCCAAGTTGATTCGACACGTTCGTTCAAACGTCGCTGGTAAATCTACTAAGCAAATAACCACCAACTTAATATCAACCTAAAAACCTTCAGGTTATGGAGCGAGTTCTGTACAGTTCTTTCACCGCTGAACTCAAATCAACCCTTTACAAGGTCTGTAAACCATAGGGCTTGAAAACGATAAAATGGGCAGGTTAATTAACGGTCTAATAGGATTACCTTTGGAACAGTGGCGATCATTTCATGATCATAGCCGATCTCGCCATGGAGAATATCGAAACGGAGTAGAAGGTGCTGCTTATTCATGGTGAAAAGTTTTGGCGCCGTCATTAGAACGTTCTGTATTTCGTGGAACTTGAAGCCGAACTCATCGGACATTGAGAGCTTGTTCAAAATGAGCATACGGAGATTAGCTGTAATAACCTGAAAATGCGCATAACCGTTGGACCAAACAAATAAAACATGCCTCGTTAAATCTATAATTCGTTGCTCCAGTAAAGGAAGACACATTTTTTTTATTTAATAAATTTAAGTCGTATTATATAATACGACTATATATATATATAATATATATATATATATTTATTTATATATATAATCGTGGTATTCTACATCTACTATTGAGCGTAAATTAATAAAGTAATTGTTATAAATACATTCTATAAGGTACTGAGAATCACTCACTTTGGGGTAGATGGTCATAAGTTTTTTGAGCATGTTTTTATCTAGTTTGAACTGATTTTTGAAGAAATCCAGTCGATTCTCCAGGCGCTCCACGGAGAATGATAACCAAAACGGATCCTTTGTTATTATTCTACCAATCTCGTTCGACTTCATCCCCCAGCCGCCTTCGTTCTGCCAGAAAATAATAGTTATTTGCGCGTTTAAAATAGTCTAACCCATGAATGTTCGCAGTAATACGGACGGCCAATGCATCGATTTAGAACTTTGCTTGGGTCAGGGCGCAGGAGCATATAGTTAGAAATAAACTAACAGAAACTCGCGCGCGAGACGTCACTAATAGACCATTTGAGTACTTATTTATTCAAAAATCTGTGAAGCCTGTATCGCTGCTGTATTCTCTGCGTACCCATTTAGCAGATATTTCAGCCTGAAGATATTTGATCCGCGTGTCGAGAAGCTGAAATTCCTCACAGAGGAGTAGCGGGTTTTTTGTCAAAATGATTGACAGATCCTGAAATTCATAATTAAGTCAAAAGTAGCAACTAACTGACGTATCACGACAAAGAGAACAAGACAAACCGCATCAACAAGCATAGCCGAAGCAGTCAAATTGTACTCTTGAATTGGCTATTTAGTTGGTACCGTTAGCTAATACTTGTTATATAAATGATCTGTAACAAACGGCTATGTAGCAATTCGAACGGAACACATATTATATAGAAATAAGTAATTCCCTCTGAGTTGTACGTGAATAACTGCTACCCCGCTTGTAAATTAAGCCAAAACTATAGCTTAGCTTAGCGTTTTTAGTAGCCGAGCCTTTAACTTATTTCAATTACATGAAAAAACTATGATCTACATAAAATGTACTCGGCATGTACGCTCTATCTCATCACGTTTTTCCACCATCAAAAAGACAATAGTACTTCTAGACATTTTTTCCTAGTTGCAGAGAGAGTACACAATATAGCTCAGCTTTTAGTCTCATTTTTTCAACTTAAAATGAGCAGAATACCACAGGTTTACGTACTGAGTCATTTCGTTGCATAGATAACAACCAACAGTTGTTGAGATCGAAAGCTTAAAAGATCAAAAGTCAGCTATAGTTTCCTAAATAGTACATTTTGATTATCAATATGTATTTTTTCAAGTTAATATGCGCCTGGGTATATAACAAGTACTGCGACAGTGTTTCTTAAGCTATAAACAACATTAATTTGAAGCACAGTAAATAAACTGGGCTGCGTATAAACAGGCCCGCAAAACAATTTTAACATTTGTCCGAGGCGAAACCGTTCTAGGCAAAATACCGAGGAGGAGCTCTGTACACAGGATCGCTCTTTAAAACCATGACCACAAGGCGCGAAAGACTACATATGTTAACCAGCTGAAATTTTGCATAATGAAGTTGACTTCAACAATGTGTGGCTTCGAAAAACTTACAGCGGGGTCCACTCCACCATGATTTACCAGTAACTCAATACGTGGCTCGCAATCACGATTCCAATCGAGTTTGATTATGTTCTGGGTAATGTGAGGCTTCTTATCCCATTCGTACATTGAGACGCCGAGATGAATCAATTTCTGGATGACTTCCACCTAATGAAACAGGCAAGAGACAAAGCGATTTAGTAGAAACCTATCGAAACGTTTGCTCGGAGCTTTTAATAACAATAACAGTACTCAAGCGCTTGAAGAGATATCACGAGATTTTGCAGGCTTGCCTTGTCAGCAAGTGCGGCAACATTGTATACGGGCCTTATTCCAGGCCCCACGGTATCTAGGAATGCCGCATCGAACTGACTAATCCTATAATCTTGCAGTGCATCTTCTTTACCGATCTCGGCAACCTCGTCAAACTTTGCCTGCTCATCTTCTCTGTACTCCTACTCAAAAATACAAAGCAGAAAAATTAAATAGGTATCCTTTAGTAACGTTTAAAGTGTGTAATTTTTTAGCTAATATCGTGTAGGAGATAGCCCTATAGTTAATTTTAGATGCTATACTGTTTTCTGGCCTGTCACTCTGTTGCTGTACATTGCTATGCTGCAATTAGTCGTTGAAAATTTAAATTATATGCTGGGGACTAGACACTCTGAAGACCAAGCGTTGTTTGAAAAATAATAGGATATGACTGAACTCTTCTTTAAAGAAGCGCTCAGCCACCATAAAGAATAGCATGAGGCACAGTTTTCATCAAGCAGGCCAAAAATCAGGGCATCAAGTCTTCCCTCGGAAGTATTTACAAAGCAAACGCAAAAAGCTGAGACAGCCTGTTTGCTGAGATCACTAATTTAAACATTGAAGATACCGTAAGCATTGCCTTTTTGTTTACCTTACCTTCTTCTTTGAATTCTCTCTGAGTTTTTCGGACCTAACAAGGTCAATCATCGGAAGCGGTTCTCTTAACGAGCGCGTTTGTCTTATAGGGTACTTTTCGAATTTTTCTTCGATTATTTTCCCCATGATAGGCCGACCTGCCTTTGAGGTTCGCCAATTCGGTTGTCCAGCGCCGATTGCACTGTCACTATCATTATCATTAACTTCAGTCATCGGCGGCGCGCCACGTAAAGTCCGAAGCTGGGGTGCCAATACGACGCTTGAGCACTGTGCTGTCGCACGTTTCACCAATACACTAAGCATCGTTATGGCAGCTTAAAATGCAAATAAAAACGTAAAAGGAGACAAAAAGCTTTTTTTTAGAGAAAAATATTTTTCTAAAATGGAGGTTTAATTGCTTGTCTTTAAAGCAAAGCCACTAAGCCTTTTATGACCGCATTCAAAAACGTGAGAATGATTTGCCTTAAGTAAATTTTTATGAAGGTAGAAAAACTGAAATAGTAAAAACATACCTAAAGCAGATATATATCAACCCAATAGTCGAATTCACTCAGCAATTGCAGTTAAGTTGCTAAAGATAATCTGAAAGTTAGGTTAACTTTTAAATAATAATAAATTGTATTAAAATCTACTACCGTAGCTAGCATACAACATCTTTTCTTAATTTTTCGATAAATAAAGTTTGACTGCGTCAACCTAGTATATACCAAAACCAGCTTAAGAAAAATCGTACTTAGACTTATTCTTACAGAAAGAGTATTATAGTACAACAGATGAAACTAGGGAAATCAACTTTTTTGTTCTTGTAAACGCTTTTTCTATATTTATTGAAGCCATAGTTATTGAATCTCTTCTTCTTTTTTCATTACTTCTTTTTGAATGTGAAATTCGAACACCATAAATTTCGTTAGAAACACAGACTACATCTGGAATCAAACATATCGACTGATACATGATTTGTTGTATTGGACCTTCTTAGGAAATTATAGGTGGCTCATTTGCACTTTAACTTTTTGTAATTAGTCACCGAAATTAGGTGAAACTGATTTAGCGTGTCACACATATTTGCTTAACTTCATGAAAGTGCCATCAGATTATATAATATACTACTGAAAAATTATTCTTATTATAATATATAATTACTAATGAAATATTATTATTATTATAGAAGCGTTATTTAATGTTTGCATGTGATAAGCATACAAGATGAATGCACTGCTAAAAAATTCTAAGAACGATATCTAATTGACAAGACATTTATGATTTCGTAATGTATGGCATATTGGAAAACTTGTACAATGAAATTTTCAAAGTCGTTTTTAAAAAGCCATATATATTGCGATGTAAGCGATTGTTACTAATTACTATTAATAAGATCGCTTAATCACTTTTGCATGCTGGACGAATTTGTTCACCATTTTCTACACAAGGTTACCGATCAGGTAACTTGGTTATCCTTAAACTCCTTAAGCAATCGCAGCGTAAATCAATTATTTTCTCGCTTAAAGATCTAGTAGTGGTTAGGTTCAAAGTTAGAAGATAAGTTTACCTTTTCGTTTGCTAAATTATAGTCTTTATTTTGCAAACGATTTCGAAAGTTTCATCATCCAAGTACTCTAAATAAGTAATCTAATGATTCTAATAGTCCTAAACAACTAGTTACGTAAAGTACCCTTTCAAATTTTCTAAAGGTACTCATACATTTCATTAAATAACTATACTTTTTTGGTTATCGACCGAATCGGCATGTCAGTCCTGCGATAGACATCTCATTTAAAAAAAAGTAATTCCTTCTATAAGTTATTCTTTATGCTACCAAATAGAATATGAAATGAAAGCGATCATAAACAAATAAACTTGAGCATACTGGTTTAGCACTTGAACAACAATTTGCAGGCACTCACACGCTTAGGCACTTTTCGCGCACCGTGAAGTTAAGAACAGCTGTTCATTAGTACAAGGATTGTTGCACCCGGAACTTGTTGGCCTAAAGTTGGAACCACATATTCACACCAATTCTTGCAGCTCGAAAAAAACGATAGGATCTAAACGATCGCTATTGTTTGCTCATTTCATGGGAAAATCATAAATAAAATGCATTCGAAAAACAAAAGGTCACTTAAGAAATAAAGTGGCAAAAAAATTCGCTTGACATCTTAATATAGTTAACGAAATGCACTTCCGGGTGCAGCCCAAAATTCGAATCAGCTGATTCCGTCAATTACAACTGTCTATTCTAGAGCCGTTAAGCGTTCGAATCGAATATCGTTGTCATTGTGAGTGTACTTCTAGAACACGTATGTAAAACGCCAGCGCTGATACTCTATCGCCGTGGCCGGTTGGCGACATAGCTACGTGTTGAATGGCAGACACCATCAATAATATGGACTGTCACTATGTGGAGATTTTCGCTTGATACCGCTTTTGCTAAACCGAGTCATTGGTTTGCAGCAAGTGGCCGGGAACCTGATATTATTCTTGCAAAAAGGTGTTACATTGACAAAAGAAACTTGCGCCTTACGCAGACCAAGGCTAGCGCAATATTAATGTACTAATATATATATATATATATATATATATATATATATATATATATATATATATGTGTGTGTGTGTATGTATATATATATAGATACATGTAAGTGTGACGTAAGCTCGAGTACAATGGAATGACAATGATTTACCAGACCTTTGTGATCGATATCGATAATAGCGCGTTAATAGAATCGATAATAGAATTCGCTTGCATCTATTTCGAGACACAAAGAATATAGCAAAAGTATTTCTGGTGAGAAAATGACAAATACGGATTATCCTTGTCGAAGGCTTTTGAGAATCCATGGATTTGTATTACCGGTGATCTTTGTGAGCATTTTGCTATCTGATGAAGTCTGCGCCGTTAGCCGGAAACAGCTGGATGACTACAGGTAAGATAAAAGAATAAGCTGTTAAAACATAAAAATACAGTCTAAATATAATTTTTTTCATGAAAATAAAAAACTGATTTGTCTTTACCTTATAACGCATACATTATGCTCTATATACTGTTTGCCTATACGTTTGTTGGCTTTTGCTTTGACCTATAATACGTTCCGGTTCTTAACACAGTTGATTCTTTGCTTGAATGGAAAAAAACAAGGTTTATATAATATCAGTTGAAACCGTAAATAAGAGGTCTATTAGTAGATTATGAAAAGTCTGCCCGAGCATTTTTTGAAGTATTCAGCTATTGTTTCGAAGTAAAAAAGAAAAGTCGAATTTAGCCGTCATATTGCACAAAAATATATCGAAAAAATAATGTAATGACACGCAGTTTTTGGGATTTTATTGTTCTAACTTCTTAGTAATTACAACCCGTTCGGTGATTTTAAAATGGCATTTGATATGGCGCTCCGAGACGGGACTTTAGTAAAGGCTCGATGCGGAACATACTGCCCCTGATCAGGACGATCCTGGTAGTAGATTAGATGACCGTTTGTCTGATCAACTGGCCTAGCGTAAAGTGATACCTGTGCCCAGCACTTCGTTCCGGTTACTGAACGATCTGCCCCCTGTGTTCAAAGTCCAGCGAAATACATGAAAATGCTGCTTTTTTTCCGACGGTATTGTCATTATTTCAAGGACTCCGTCTCATGTCTGGGATACCCTCGCATGACTCTCGCTATATTCAGATGAAGCGGAACTTATAATACTAACAAGACAAAAGTCAAAGTTCCGTTGCCGAAATTGCCTCACAGAAAACCCTCCACATAGACAGAACGACCTTGAAAAACTTTATCAGCCTCAAGTACCTGAATGCGGTTTTACTTACGAACGGTCGAGCACGGACAGAAGACGACGAGCGATGGTGGCAAGTGTGGATAGGCAGACTTACTCTGAACTTTCCCTATGAACATCGCTGCCGTGTTCGAAATCCGAGTAGCCCTGGTAGCTTCCTACGGAATTAAAGCAGCATAGGAGCATCTCTCGTCGGACAATACAGCTATGCTTCACGTCTGTATCGCTGCGCTAAGAAAATCTCGTCGTAATAAACATGAGCCAATGGGCAACAACCGTACCTTTGTGTACTTATCGCATACAAGTAGGCAAACAGATTAGCCACTCATGAGCAGTAACTCGTTGTGGAAATTACCTGAATCGAACAACACTTATCGCAACTACTTTTCTTCGCCGCGTGCTCAATCTGCATTACTTAAAAATCTCATAATTTTGTCTAAGTCTTCGTTAACTCATTAATCAATAGAAATGTATTATCATTGTTGTTTAATAATATTGTCTAAGCGTTCAGTCTTTTTTCACACTTGCTCTAGTACAATCTGGTGCCCTATATACATCTTAACATTTATTATTATCGTTTTTCACTGCGTACGTTTCTAAATGCGTAACTTCCTTTTTCGCCTTTCAACGGATATTCAATTTGTCGCCACTTTATAAGCTTAGCAAATTTAATAATAATAATAATCAGATATTTGCGCTGCAAATGATGTCAAGGTGAACTGTACTGCATAGTTCTAGCATCTCTCTATACAAATTCCGTGTAGTTTCAAAGAAGTTCTGCTCTGAGTTGGCACATAAAAGGTGATTATGGAACGCGCCTGCTCTAACGAAATGCCTGCTTTCAATGAGCTTGGCTGGGAGAAAGACCCTCTGTTTGAAAAAAGCTAGCCGAAGAGGCGAATAAAAATCTATCGCGTACAGAGATAATATCTGCTAAGCCGAATATCACCTCCATAACATCTGAACATGGCCAGCTATTGTTGCGTGGGCAACGCCAACACCACCGGCGTTTATTTCATCCATTCGTCCGATCTAAACATATGGTTGAAAGGAAACATGAGCGACGAAACGTTGTTCATCATTGGCGCTGTGCTTGTGCATGCTAATCATTGTTGTATATTACATGCAACCTTTATACGACACAAATCTCTGTGCCAACAGAGAGATTAAACGGTTCAAAAACGTGGGTCTAAATGCATGCGAAGAGAAAATGCCCCCGTTTGAGTCACTCATGATGTGGAGATAACATAGCATGTAACCAAATTAACCAAGTACGATGTCGCTTCTATGGGAACATGTTCGCATGGCGACTGCTTTAAGTAAATGTCCCTGTTTATTACAGTTTTATCCACTCAGGTATACAAATCGAGCATCAGAGGTGTAACAAAACTGTGCAATAATTAAATCAAACGATAAATGAAAATAGCATTAGATATTGGCACAAAAAAGGTGATATTTTCAAGAAGTCAGTTCTCTTAAGAGGGTATCTGGATTAGTTTTCAAATCGTCAAGACCTCTTTGATCCATTAATGTTTTCTTACGGGGCTGTATGATTTTACGGTTGAAACAAGTTCAGTCATATACTATTTGGGTGTTCCAGTAGTTACTAGTAGTATTAGTAGTTGGAACAGGAACGTGTGCTTCTTTTTCTCATAATGGATCTGATTTGATGAAAAATCTTAGAAAGATACCAGAAAAGTTTGGTGTAAACGATATGGCCATCATAGATAGATCTTGACGTGTAGCGATTATTGTAGCCCATAAACAATTGTCCACTGTACGCTAATGCAACCGTCATATTTAAGCATTGGTCGTATTCCACTGGAAAATATTGCTCTTTGGCGAAAGCCATGTTCTTCAAAAAATCACAATATTGACCAAAACTTTCATGAAACTTTACCTCAACTTTGAAAGCAACTCAAAAAGCTGAGCTTTTTACCAAAACTTTAAGTGTCATTCACTCCACTGCGTTGCCACGAGTCAGCTTTTTGCTATCAACAGGTACAACGGAAGTGAATTTACCTGGCACAAAATCATCAGTGTATTTCATATTACCGCCAGATATGCCTCTACAGGTTAAGCCAGACGAGAGGTCGTGACCGTTGAACGACGATTATAAGCAATATAACGAAACTAGCAACATCAATTTTCCGATAAGTGTGTACGAATAATGTTAGGTTGAAAGTACCGGACAAGCTACAATGTTGCATACTGCTAGCGTTAATGGGGGATGGGATGTACAGTACGTATTGCATTGGATTCAAATAGGCACTCTGTTCTGTTTACTGTCATTAAAACATTGAGATGGGTCTCGTTTAGCTACTGTTTACAGTTTACAATTTGGTTAACGCAATTACGCTTAATGCTACGTCAGGTTTGGCGGCGACAGATTGCGTCAGAGCTGCATCCTCTGGGGACTGCCCAAGAGAATTGTGAATGCAATGCGGCTCGTCACTGTTCTCAATCTTGGAAATTTTGTAAGTTTTACATTTCATGAATGCATGTATATATATATATATGCATTTATGAAATGTAAGCTTACAATGTGTTTGCTTAGGCATGTAACCATGACGGCTAACATAGGAGTAGACAGAATTTCATGTTTATTGTCCTTAAAGATTTCAATAAAGGATCCACGCAAATAAAGGCGATTTTAATTCAGATTTTGTTCGATTTATTCACACAAGGTTTATACAAACGCTCGAATCCGAATGTGTTTTGACTATACCGCGCTCACGTGTTCTGTCGCTGATCGATTGCTAGCCATCGAATAAACCTATTTGTGTCGGGCTATACGTGTTAGCTTTGAAAACGACTTTTACAAAATGATGAGAAATAACATCAGAATTCGTTTTCCTAGCATTAAATAGCAAAATCATATGTAAGTGTTTATGGACAAAAGCATTTTCTCAGAAGATAACACGTTGTGCACTTGAATAATTGATTTGAGTACTTCTTACAGCTGTGCCACTTACGTAGCAGCTCGAGACTCTGCTGCGTTGTATCAGTCTTGTAGGAAAATAGCACACCAATATCAGTAACACTAAGCGCTTTTTTATGACATTTGTTACTTCATCATTTCATTTTGCAGAGAACGTGTCCGAACGACGTTTACGCACGCGTATGACTCGTATATGAGACACGCGTTTCCTCTCGATGAATTACGACCGCTCTCGTGCGATGGATTCAATACGTGGGGCAGCAACTCTCTTACACTGATCGGTCAGTGAACATTGGTCATTGATTTTGTTATGAATCTTCTCCGGCTCATACCACTCTGTCCTAACAGTTGCTTAGGTTCGAGTTTTGCTTACGGATTGTCGCAGGTCAATCACTTATGCAAAATTATATCATCTTTTTGTTCGGTTTTAACGGATCTTTTTCAATCCAAATAAAAATGTACAAGTGCGATTTAAACCTATGACAGAATTGTGTTCATTTTGATGAATTTTTTTTTTTTTCGATTTCCACTGGTCGCTATATCGACCATTGACATGTTTGAATTTTATATATGAGATTAAAGATAGAAATATACAAACTGAGGTCCAATTATAATGAATATAAAAGGTTTGTCAGTTTTCAATCCACTGCACAGTTTTTACAGAAAATCAGCTAATTGATGTGCTTGATGTAATAACCTTTAGATGCCTTGGATACGTTGGTGGTTATGGGTAACTACTCCGAGTTTCGGCGAGCAGCTAAACTTGTTTTAGAGAATACAGATTTTGACAAGGACCTCAATGTGTCCGTCTTTGAGACGAACATTCGAGGTGAGTTAGTTAAAGTCAAAAGGTTGGAAAGCTTTGATAGTTAAAACAAATTATCCCCTGTAGGACAGGTTACACGAGCTTCTAGTTGCTTCTAGTAGCTTAATAATTATGTTATTTTTCTTAAAGCTAAAAGTCACAATGAACAAGATCAGTATCCTCCACTATAGTTAAAAGGAACCAGTTTTGTTGACATCTGTTGGTTTGTCCTACCATGGAGCTAACAAGTATTGGTCATTTTAGTGGTTGGTGGCTTGATCTCTGCGCACCTTCTCTCAAAGAAAGCCGGTATGGACCTAGAACAAGGCTGGCCCTGTGAAGGTCCATTCCTCCGTTTAGCTGTTGATGTTGCCAAACGGCTATTGCCTGGTAAGCGTTCCATACCTCTTCGTTTGATTCGAGCTGGCACTAAATCACGAGTCCGTTTCAACAATATATACATTTACAAATATTTAGTTTATCTTCGTAGCAATGCGATGTTACGGCTTTTCTGCTATCTACTAGAGGAACCTTTTAGGTAAGACAAGGCATGTTGGTTTTTCATGTTGGTTTTTTTTTGCAAAAAACAAACAAAACGCCACTTGTCACATCATTCAATTGTCGGAGATCGGATTGTATTCAAACATAGTATTTATAATTTTTCTTTTTATCATAGCATTTGACACGGCAACGGGAATGCCATACGGCACGGTCAACCTTCGTGAAGGCGTTCCCGTGGGGGAAACGACGGTGACATGTACTGCGGGGGTTGGGACCTTCATCGTAGAGTTTGCTAGTTTAACGCGCCTTACTGGTGATCCTCGGTACGAGGAAGTGGCTGTCCGAGCCCTGCGAGCTTTATGGGCTACACGTTCAAAAGTTGATCTTGTAGGAAACCATCTTGGTAAGTTGCACGTGCATATATGTATGTTATATATGTTGTAATTTTAGCGTGTGCGATTAAAACTGCATAAAGTGAATAATCCTTTTTCAGATCTATATAAAACTCTGACGCCATTTGTCAACATTCGGAAACTGTCCTTCCGAAGTTATAGCGACCTTTTACACAAAAATGTATAGCTCCGGCTTGGATATTGGCTAGATAAAAACGTTTACTTGAAAAGTACTGACAGAGTGTCATTGTTGCCATTACGTAGCTTCCAATTTCTCCACAGTTATGGCTTTTCCTTTTACATTCCGTGTCTTGTTGTGCAGCATTATTACCTATTATATATTTCGCAGCGATATCCGTTTTTTAAGTGATTTACTAAGGAACATTCTGCTTTCTGTGTCCTTTTCGAAAGTGTCTTTTCCTCCGAACTCATCTTGATCGTTGCGTGAGGCAAAATTTTTTCGAATTGTTTGTTACAAACAAACGCAGTCATACTGAGCGCAAGCGTTACATAGTACCAGCTTTAGGGAATGGACGTTTTCAGATGTTTGCCTCTACTGTACTCGTAAGTTGTAAGTCGATTCGGTTTATGAAATCCTGTATTCGCACCCATTATTGCAGATATAGAAAACGGAAAGTGGACAGCGACCGATGCATCGATCGGTGCTGGCGTCGATTCATACTTTGAGTATTTGGCTAAAGGGGCTTTCATTCTACGTGAGTCGTGGCTTCTACATCATCTTGAAGTCTATCGCGCTGCCATAAATAAATACATGCGGCGAGACGATTGGTTTTTGTCCGTTCGTATGCAAACCGGCGAACCCACGATGCCATATTTCCAAAGTTTGGAGAGCTTCTGGCCAGGAACTCTGGTTAGTAAAACTCTATAATACCGAAAATCGTACAGCATTAGATATTATGATTATTATTAGTAGTAGTATAGTCTAGAAGGGCTTTTTAACCGAAGCTGGTAGAGCAACGAACGTTTGGAATGTCATTTAATTGCTTGCTGAACATTCACACGGGAGACGCGAAAAATCTCATGGATCTATATTAGACGCAGAAGCAGCACATAAATGAGCGTCTGCTGAAAAATCACAGATCCACTTACGGCTGGGACGTTGGGGACAAGAACGACTTCTAGCTAACTACAGATTTAGGAGGAAGCCATTCGAGCTCAAGGTGAAGCCTCACTTAACAGCTTTTCTTAACCGAAGGCTATCTCTAAAGCTTAAGAGAACAACTGCAAAATTAATAAAGATGAAACTTTTTTATAATTATAAAAATTATAATGATTTCGATTTTGGGATCAACAATTACGTATTATTACGTAATAATGGAGTAACTATAGAACACTTAATTGTCTTAACAACCGTTCTTACGTTTACGTTTGATAATTATAAGTTAATGTCATTGCACTGTTGAAGTACATAATAAATAGGCTATCAAATGCGTAATTGATTACCTGTTAAATGGCTAAAAATACGGATGAATTATTTGTTGTATCTAAACCAATTCTAGAGTCTGCTTGGCTACATCGAGGATGCGCGTCGCTCATTATACAATTATCATCAAGTGTGGAAGCAACTGGGTTTCATTCCCGAGTTTTACGATATTTCGCGCACGCAGCCGCAAGACAAACGGGAGAGTTATCCACTTCGGCCAGGTAGGTTCTTGAGACTACGGCTGGAAACCGTTCGCGATCTTGGCGTAGCACATATATACATCAAAATTCGATCGACGTTTGCAATCTTAATAAGTTTGAGGGCTATATATATATGTTTGTCGCGTGATTTAGAAAAACGAATTCACTGTGTTTTACTATAAGTAAACAAATCTAGAGTGACAAGCCGATTGTGTTTATAGTAAGGCTCTTGGTAATTGGCAGAATCATAATTAATGTTTCGTTATTTTGTGGTCCTGCAGAATTTATCGAGAGCGTGATGTACCTATACCAATCGACAAAGGACCCTCATTTTCTGCAAATAGGTGTCGATGTTCTTACCTCAATTGAGTATTCCGCCAGGACAGAGTGCGGTTACGCGACGGTACGTATCAGTGGAGCGCAGTTTTTGAATTGTTGCTACTTCGCTAATGTTGGCTGGTCCTGTAGCGGCTGTTGATGCAAGCACTCATTCAAGCAAAAGACAACATCCACCGTAAAAAGTTACTTGAAATGCACCATTACCTGAAATATTCTAAGTATTTTACAATAAAATTATATAGCCTGTATAGCTTGCAGCTGAGGGGCTCGTATCATGGCATGCTGGTTCCAGATTATTAAGCAGGCTTTAGGCCGATACATTTCCAAGAAGCTGGTATTGCTAAGTGTTTTATCATAATTATTTATTGTCTTCATTAGGTGAAGAATGTGGCTACTCATTTACTAGAAAATCGTATGGAGTCTTTTTTCTTGGCCGAGACGACGAAGTACCTGTATCTTTTATTTGATGTGGACAACTTTGTGCATAATCCTTTTGCTAACTACGATTCACGTAACGTGACTACGCGCGACGGCCTGACAAGGGAATGTATCTTCGATGCCGGTAAGTATTTCGATTATCCTAGGCTAACTTAATCTTTTCTAAACAGCCATTTAGAAAAAGGAAACAGAGTCCAAAAGAACAGCCTTTTTGTTGAGTAAGAGATAAGCCTGTAATTATTATAGAAAAAAAAAGATTTTTACATAATACGAAAAAGTACCTTGACGGTTCGATTAATTGCTGCCTAAACTATCATGTGCTTTTTCGAAATGTGATTTTTTCTTATCTCGACTTACGATGCGCCTATTGTCGCCTACCACTTTTTTTCATATAAGAAGGTTTCACAACCTACATGATTCTGGCAGTTAATACAAGTATGAGATCAGTTCCTTTAGTACGCAAATTAGGGCGTGGTGGTTCAACGTGCAGGTCGTCGATAACTGATTTAATATAATCTTTGCTCATTGACAAACGTATGATTAATATAATTTTCAGGGGTGCTTGTAAGGTACCAAGGTAGCGTATTGCAGCTATAAGCATATATTGCTAATTAATGTTATTCATTGCGCGTTACGTTTTAAGGCGGCTACATATTCAACACAGAAGCTCATTTAGTCGACCTGGCACTGCTGGACTGCTGTCGGCCGGACTACCTTGCCTACGATATTCAGGCTCGATCAGCAAAGGCTTTTTTGGCGGCTAGTCGAACAACAACAAAGGACGCTCCAGGATCTGCCAACACGTTAAAAGAACGCCAGAGGATGCTCGACACTTTCACTGAGTACGTTACTTACGTTACACTAAGAAATGCCTGTAACGGAGACATCTGTCATTTAATAGTCTCACATCATCAGGCGTTACAATATGTTAGACAATGAGTTTTAAGTTTTTCTAAGTTTTTATATTGTTCTTTTTTTTTATTATTTATTCAATCTTTTGTCGTTAGCATATTCATAACATAATTTTTACCATTATGTCCCTTGCCAAGTGTACTCGAAATTTTATTATGTCGACATAAGCAATTTATACTGAAAGATTTTGTCAATGCACGGTGCCAAACTCCTAAAAATTATTTTCCATATTTAGCAGTATTTATATATTACATACAGGTTCATGTCAATCAGATTCACCGTGTACTTGCAGTTGTCCTATTTAACATACATTTTTTGTCTTTTCTAACATGTTTTCAACACACTGACAAAGCGTACTTGATCATCTTAACAATTAACAACACATAATCGTCTTGGTAACTGTTCCCTAGACCAAGCTTGTCTGTTGAACACTTAATTACAGAAAAATGCAAACTCTCCCAAAAATGACTTCATTACTACCTTTATAGGAATAAAATTTCAAATTATCATTTTACAATACTCAAATATTATTCTTTTCCCATTTTTATCGTTGCAGAATACCGACTTCCGTAAACGACTCAACAGCCAACGAGTTGGCATTGCAGTGCTTTAGAGGGCCTCTGCACGGAGCACATCACTCAAATATTCATAACCAAAATTCTAGCTACTACGCAAAATTTGCTCATCGATCAGGCGAGGCACCAGCCAAAAATTATGACGCTCTAGAAAATCGAGATGACTTCCAGGAGTGGTTCTCCTGTACGGCATTGCCGACCTTGAGTCAGTTTGCCTTACGCGGACACATCGTCGATTCCGTTGGCTGACGCGTCTCAATACATCACGTCGAAGCTTTTATAAATGTCTATGGAAAGAGTTTGTCGATTTGGGAGATATTATAAGAAGTTGACTAGCACCCGTAGATATTCCGGCGCCACGAAGAACTCGAACAAGTGTAGCAGAATATTTACTCTTCTGAGACAGTTTAGATCACTGAAAGATGAGCGAAAAGAAGAGGGGGCCGGGGGAGCAGGGGAAAAAAACTAACAGAGGGAACGATTTAGGCGAATATAAAAATGTAGTGCGAAGATAGTGATGTCAATAGTCAGAGTAGTTGTGTGTGTACAGTCGTGAATTGCATTTGAGAATGAAAAAATATTTTTGCTGTTTTTTTATAAAAGCTGGGCTTATGAATGGCACAAACCATGTGAGAAAAAGGTTATACGTTAGATGATGAGTTATTTATTATACGAACGTAACGTGTAATCAAGGTAATATATATAGAAATTAAAATAGTAGGTCGTAAGTGAAACTTTTTTTCATAGGAATAGCCGTTAGACCTGGTTTCCACATTAGCAGTGTAAAACTCAGCTTTGAGAGACGTTGTTAGTATAATCATTTTGGCATTACTTGCAGTTTACGTTATTTTCGGGGGTGAAACGGGGTGAAAAATCTGTCTGAAACAGCGCGTAATGACCCATCCATAAATTATTTTCAACCTTAAGAAAAAATCTACTAAATTTATCGTTCGAGAAGTGCTATCAGTCTTTATTCAGCCATATTTTGTCATTTATAGCGTGTCGACATAGCAGAGAAGCGGCTTACTGTATTCGGAAGTAAAACCCAGAGAGAACTGGTTCGTGTGCACGATAGTTGAAAAAATCATCGGACTGCCAGAGCGCCGCAGGAGGTTGAGGTTTAACATACATCATAAAGAAATCTTGCCTTGTAACCTGGCGAACTTGACTATTAGGGGTCTATTCACCTGCTGTGGCTATATGGCTCTACTGTATAGAGCAACATTTTCTATAATTCAGCAGATCACTGGATAAAGTCGAAGTAGTAGCAACTGCCAGCATAAGATCGAACGAGACCAAACTTAGCTTCTGAAAAGAGGTAAGCTAGACACAATGTGGCTGACTGAACGATACGAAATGCGTTACTTGACTCGGTTTTAAGTAATGGATAATTCTAACTGTTTCTGAAAAACAACCGAAACAAACCAGTGAAACACTGTGACATATCGGCAGTTAGTTCACTGTTTCGCGGCCATATTATACGAATAAAATTTCAAACTTGTGGTGTTGCCGTGGTGAATGATACATAAACGTAAGTAATACGTACGTAACGTAAAAATTATCATTCAGGAGGATCTATCGCATCGAAATGGCGAGTAACTATCTCCACAGAAGCACAAAGGCATTTGCAAACAAACAAAACAAAAAAGTACAAGTTCTACTTTCGATATTTGAGCAATGTATTGACCGGCGACTAAAAATAACACAAAGGAAAAACGAAATTATAGATTGTGATAAATATATATAAAAGAAACTATAAAATCACAATGAAGCGGACATATCAATCCTCAATCAATATCTACCGGCCGTTCAGAACATTATTGAGATGCTTAGTATCTTTCGCTTAAGAAACAAGCATGAAAATCAGAGAGAGAATTAAAGGTGAGCACCGCATATAATATTGGCATAAGGTTTTTAGAAATAGATGTTACTTAAATTTAACAAAGTTGAATGACGTTACCGACCACAGTTTGGGCATCCTTTCCGCTACGGATGCGTCTGAGTGAGATAAATGGATTTATATTATTAAGTGAATAAAGGACGTATGTAAATGATGATTTTTCTATCTTATTAGTACATGAGAGTTAGTTGCTTTTTAGGTAAAAATCGTTTATTTGGATTAAATTTGTCCCCTTTAGGCACGAGTTTTCTATTCCTAATTACGGTTACGTTTGCTGAAAAGAGATCACTGTTAAAGGCATCACACAAAGCCAACACTTTCACCCATCGCCCGTGTTGCACAATCCAACTTCAGAGTGATTATTATGGCAATGCGGGGTTTCCACCTAATTATTCTCACATGTTGTTTGCCCCTGATGAAACGACAGATACATCCACTGGTGAGCGTTAAATGTTATTTGTTTTAAATTTTTTTGACGGTCTCAAGCCAGCAAAGCGTTTTTAGATTCTATATCTAAAAACGCTTTCGAAATGTTTTTCTTTCATTTCAATTATGCAGTTACATAAATAAGAAAAGTTATTTATCATTGCAATAAATCTTGTGGATCTAGTAATTATGCGCAGATCATTTTGTGATAAACTAAAAAACAATCCTGCGCCTAACCTATAGCAACATAAACATAGAATGTTTTTTTCTTACGTGTTTGTCGTTTTCGTCGTATTACGAAGGCTATGTAAAATGAGCATGACGTGGACACAAAAAATTTCGAGATCTAGTTTTAGAAACAATGCAAAACCACCGCATCTTATAATGTAACAGCATTGATAGCTCTAGCGTCAATTGTGCAAAGAGTATTAGAAAGATTCTAACTTGATACAAGGTTTTGCTTAAAAACGTTCCATACATATTTTGAAAGAACTGAATCGCTTTAATTAACACGTCTTATCTCATATCACTAATATTTTTCAGTGGTATTGCCAGATAGGGCTTACAAGTGCGCCCCTCAATATATTGCATTTCTAGAGTTTAAGACAAACGATTTAAGGGGCGGCATAGTCTGGATGGTTGATGCGCATCTCTGAGCTTCCAAAATAAACATGAACGTACGGCCATTTTCAGCATTGGCATATTCTTACTATGACATGCTGCTATATGGCCGTTTTATAAGAACCTTAAAGAAATGCCCAGATAAGTCAAGCGACCTCTGTTTAAAATAACGCCTAGCGACGTAAATTGTGGAGGAAAAATAATATCAAGAAGGTTCTTCTTAATGTGTACTACAAAGTGTTCCTTACAGGGAAGGAACACTTTCAACTTACAACTTTTTATGTAATTAAAATAGTATTTAATTAAGTAAATTAGTTCAATTAAACAATTTTGAGATGTTCCTAAAGAATTCACGAAAATGACAATCCGTGACGAAGTGACGCTTTAATTAAGACAATATTTATTGAATATTGCCCTAAATATTTATATTTATTCCTTGGTATTTTTCTCAGTTCCCAAATTTGAAAACACATTCGACATTTTTTTACGAAAACGTTCTGCATGCATTACAAATAACGATTTACAAAGCTATTCATGCGATAATCGTTTCTACATAGCTTTAATATGTCTTAATTCTACTTCTAATTGCACGATAACGGCAACCATTCCTCTTTCATAACTGTTGTAAAAACTACGTCATGATAACTCCAAATAAACATAGAGCAAAATTATTTACTTGGGCCTATAATGGATTATTTATAAAAACATAACTGTTGTAACAAATATGTTATGGTATTTTTTGCTTTTGCGGAATAAGGGTGTTAATACTTAGCGTATCAGTATACTATAGAAAAGGGGAATAATCACATGTCGAGGTCAATATGATCGACGCTTCATAAGTGTTTTATGGATCGACAACATTGTGGAGAAATGTTATAAGTCTAGATATTATTGGGCAAAACGGCCAATAAATGTAGCATACAACGCAAGTTCACAGTTACCATATTTTCGGTCACTAGTTGAAGTAATAGGATATGATAAAGGGGCAAACATTTTAACGATTTGCGTGCTCTTTTGCTAAGATAGTTATATATTAGAAATATAGATCAAATATACGCTCGTGTGACGATTTGACGGAGACGTCATTGAATGCTCATTTTCTCCACGTTCGAATTTGGCGTAGACTTACTTTAGTTTTCCGCCGAAAATTCAGTCAATATAGTAATATCTTTTCCAGAACGACTCGCCAGTTTACTCGTACCGAATGCTTGTTACCTTGAGAGTTGAGAGCTTGAAGTTGTGCCACAGAAAGCTGTTGTAGAAGCGGCAGTTGAGTCAACCGTATAAAAGTTTCTCTGATAGAATGCACAAACTAATTAACTAATCGTTTGTTTTTCTCTAAGGTCAGGCTGTAGAAAAAGGACTATAAGAATGAAAGTTTTACGCCAACTTATCATGTACTTAGGGCAAACAGCACATCAGTATGTGTTTACCAACTTCTGTACTTTCTATTTTGGTAATCCTTGAAAAAATATCGTTGTTATAGTGTTAGACACTAATAGTAATATTTGATTGACAGGAATATGACTTTAACATTCGTAATGGTGATGTTTCAAATTGTTAAGGAACGCTTGCTCTGCTCTGATCCTTCACATGCTGGTAACGATCTTATGCTCGTATTGTAACCGAATTTGATAAATATCGCTCTACAGTGATTTTATCCTAGATATAGCAACTACGGTGCCGGAAGCTTTCTTACCGCCGCCATTACTTCGTTTTGCTCAAACCGCGTTTCTTTGATAATTACTCATTAATATTCAATTCAGATTCTCCAACTCGATACGCATATTATATTTTTGAACATAGTTTGCTCTAGATTTAGTATTTGTGTAATAGATGAGATGTTAATTTTAAATGCCGAATTCGTTTCCGCTTTCGAAATATTTACCTACTACTAATTCCGGTTAAGTACCGAAAATAGAGTTCTAAATCCATTTTATTCTATATACGCCTGAATAGTTAGCCGAAAATACTCAAAAAACAACCTGTTAATATTTTTCGGTATTTTCAGACATTTGTTCCGTTCTTATAGGCAATGGTTATTTGACCATCATAGTGAGCAATGGTTACGCTCAAAATATCATTTTTATCAATGCTATATTTTGGTAATTTTATACGGCTATTTTCCATTCCAGGATTTCGCAACAGAAGTTGTTCCAAAATTTTAAAGGAAAATCTTTTGTAAGTAGGATTTTCTAAGCGTAATAGTTGACAAGAAAGTAGTCTCAGCTATAAATCGCACATGTTATTTAGCGGCGTATTCGGCTTTTACTACTGTGATTTCGCCATCGTGGGACTACTCATATAAATTGTATCGTTGTCTTGATAGATTGTGGGAATGGTTCGCTAGGCGTCCATGCATAGATTAGACAACTGTTGCCAAATTTGTAAAGTTGACGCCGTTCAAAACAACATGGAATGCTATTGCGTAATCAATGTTTTCAAGCTCAACCAACGAGCCGTAATTACGTAGTTAGTGGAAATTGAACCTTGTTTTTTTCGATCATAAAAGCTGGCTTATGTGTGTCATTATCTCACTTACACAATGAGTTGCCAATACTAGCCAACGAGTTATTAAGATCGTACAAATATGATGTTCTTAATGTAATTAAAATGAATTAAATTTTTTTTTCAATATTTTGTTGTTCCATACTTATAAAAATATGTTTTAAATCCCAACTTTCTTATAGCATCCTTTTTAATAACGTTTGGATGATTTTACCTGACGTAATAGTTCTGTCTCGTTTTTACTTTTGGTTTTTTCATATTCACGCTAAACGAATAGTGGTTTACAAAACGTAGCTACTGGATGCATGTATACACTCCGGAAAACCCCGGTTTTAATAAAGACATTTACAATTATTGGCAATATCAAAAATTAGAGACAAGTCTCGTATTTTTTTTTTGAACAACTTTAGACCTACTGCCGGCGGTTTCTTCTGCTTATTAGTATATAGGAAATGCATCGGAGAGTATTTGAAGACCTAATGTAGTTTTGTTAAACGTGATTATACAGGGTCTTCAACGCCGATTGTCAGAACGAGATTATCGCTAAATAACAATATTTTGATCTGATCGCTAAGTAATAACCGAGACAACTGTAATAACAGCTAACCAAACGCGCAATTCATAATTATTAGCTGCTAAATTGAATATAATTCTGAGACAATTGAGATAACTCAATATTTTTATTATTAATAATATCCTCATTAACAGCGCTTCACATGCTTATTGTTATAGTTCCGACCCTATCGTGTCGTAAGGAGTTGAAAAACTTTTATACAGAATATATAATCACTATGTTGGGTTGCACACACAGGCGTCGCACAGAGGAGCGCGCACTCTCGAATGCACGAGAAGCCTCAATAGCTCAGTGTAGTCGAGGTCATTTTCGAATCGAGTCACCGACAAAACCAAACTTTTGCTTTTTTTTTATAGCCACTCGCCCACTTCAGTCGCCACGGTTATACTGACGAGATCAAACTGAAAAGAATAGAAGGCTCTGGCGAATCGTTGCGTTACGTTTACGTTGGAGCGAACGAGAAGCCTATATATCGATAATTACACTCTACAACTATCATTTGTGCATAATACAATATATAAATATACATATGTTATAATTACATTCGCAATACACTTATCTGCATCCATGACACTGGCGATTTCGGCACTTTTAGACAAAACTCTTTTTCATTGAGTTATATTTTTGACAATAATCTATATAACGGCACTAGTTTTTTGCTTGCTGCGAAACATGGACTCCGTATATAGAAATTTTATTACAGATTGTTGTTACTGCTATAGGTCGAACTTACCCAGCTAAATCGGCTCGACAAATGTTTGAGGGCGTTAATTACTGGAATGCAGCGCCGTAACAAAGAGCGCAGCAACCAAGCGACCGTATAGCATAGAAATTGTAATTATGGAGGACGGAGAATAAAAAAATGAAACTCAAAAGAAACTAATTAGAATTACGACAATTGTAAAGAGGGATTTAAGAACTGCTCTAAGACACATGTTTTTGGTTTCATGTGATTTATTTGGGAATAGCTTTACACGCTCGTTATTTTACACAAGTTATAGGCTAGTACAAAGTTTTGATTCTGTTATTTCTTTCCTTGTCAAGAAAACCAAAAAAATTCTTGCAAGCAAAGAAACGGCGGTTAAATTTCGGCCACTTATGAATTCATTTGAAAATATAAGAAAGGAAAAGATACGAAAGATACAGCCATTTCTCGTCGTAGATAAACCAGATTCTGCAAATTCCACCTGTAAACTATTCGTATTTCCTGCAAGCAAAAATGGCCTTAAACACCAAAGACACCATATTCTTTTACAAAAAGCAATTCAATTTTAAGTCTACAACAAGAAGCGCACTATTTTGTTTTTCAAAACCCTTCTAGCACATAAAAAAATCTATGTCTAATCACTTGAAACTCGAACATCAACGTATTCACCATTATGATTATGGCTAAATATTGCTAAGATTACTTTTTTTTGTGTCTTCGTCCACTGATGCCGTCACACTCATCCTTCAGGTAAGAGGTATCCTTTTATCTAAATCTGTTTTCGCAAACATCTGAGTCATATACATTCCTGCCGTCATCATATGGTTCCTTCGACGAACGCACATTCTAATTGATGCTGCTTTCGACCCTGGATAGTAATGGCACGAAAGAAAAATCAAACAAAGAAAGGTCATCGCCATTTTCTATCAGTATCAGTCGACCAGTCATCCCAGATTTACAGATCAACCGCTTGATATAGGCAGGAAATGCTTACATGGTTAGACCGCGGGTACATAACTTAAAGGATAGACTAATAATAGTATAAAAATAATCATAAAAAAGAGATAGATAAAGTAAATGAATAATGCCTCTTGCACTTGATCTTTTCTTATGTAATCCTATAGAGTTGCTTTGTTTCTCAATGTCGTTCCGGGTCCCTCGGTTGCCTATGTTTTCTTGTGTGAAGAAAAATCTCTGACCATCGAAACTGGTTAACAGGTTTCCTCTTCAACATTTGCATACACGCAATTGCTACGTTGCAACATTCACAATTCATCGATGCGTATTCTATGCGTTATTACTCTGCACTTAATGCTACATTATGTCCTCTTTGTCGTCACTGCCATTAACTAATTTTCAAACCAACATCTTTTAGAAACGCCCACTTTTTTCACTGTGGCAACATTCAGTCTTACAATCGTACGTGTTTTCACTTAGGATGAATAGAAGCAGTAATAATGATACAAGATAATGCTTTTTTTTTGATGTAGATATTTGCTGTTTATATCCCTACATTACTCCCTGCTTTTGTCTGTATACAATATACTGCAAGTCTGTGGGCACCAATCAATTGACACCAAGAATTCCTTGGATAAAAATAGTTATTGTATTCATGTATAGTATATATCCGTATTATAGCTCATGGTAGTATGAGTTGTATTTGAAATGTAGCCTAAAACCTTTTCCTGAAAATGCTAACCGTGCTTAGTTTTAGGCAGCTAATATTACCATATATCCAAATTGTTTTTCTAATTTTGTTTCATCCGCGATGTATCTCCTTATCTTGTACGTTCTTTACATTTTGCACGTAAGCACTCACATATTCGTACTTCCTCGGGCGTCATTAGTACTATTATTAATAATTATAGTGATAGAAAATAATGTAATTATTGGTAGATTCAGATTCCTATAGCTGATCTATTGTCAAAAAAAAATAGACTAAGCTCTTGCTCAGCCAGCTAATTAATAATAGCCGCTCATAAAATTAGTCAAAACTAAGCAATAAAAAAATTACAAAAAAAACTACTGAAACATCGACTACTACAAAAATCGGCTAAAATCACCATCTGATTCAATAACTACGCCTCGTAGTCGCGTCAACCAATTAATTGCTGATAAAGTCCGTAACTAATAATGTCTTCATAGTAATACAATAAAACAACGAAATATTGAGACGGATATTAATAACTATATAGACACATTATCTTAACGAAATACGTCATGATATATTGGAACGGCCTGCCCTCAAGCTAACTATTTATAATAACCTAACTTTACTCTCTGATTGACACCTGTCATATCAGCGCCGGTTTGGCTGCTCACGCCATAGGTAGTGTAGACCGGCACAATATGGTCTTAACCGCAATGGTCCATTATCTTTTGGATCGCTTATATATATATATAATCATTCTACTATTATAGATTTTGTCCAGTAGATATGCGCGGGCAGATCCTTGCCCTTCGGTTTCGCCTGTCACCTTCTACAGAAGTCCAGCCAAAAGTAGTTCTTTTCGCGTACCAAGAAATACAGACTTTTGATTCGATTGAAATAGTGACGAAGTTCTCCTTTTACAGTAATAGGAGAGAAACGACTTGGAACACATCGTTGCACGTCCATGTTATCGTCTCACGCTCCGACCACAGAAGTGAGTATAGACAAAGTACAGATTATCTGATTTTTGCCTGTTATGTTTGCAACTGCAAATATGTTATAGGCCTCCATCGACTGATGCAGGTCCACTACCCGAATCGCACCGCGATGTTGATGCGCCCTCATTGGTAGCTTGACGGCATTGTCGGTTTTGAGAGACGTCACTATTGGCAGGGGACCCATTATTGCTACTTGTCCCGGAGGATTCGCTGCTGCTATTGGCCGAACCCTGCTGATGCAGGTTTTGCTGCTGATACTGGTGATGCTGCTGCTGTTGTTGTTGTTGTTGTTTTTTTAGTTGACGAAAGTACTCCTCCTGCGATTCTGCTAAAACACGGGCCAAGACACTGTCGTCGTAATCTTCCAGACCTTTAATGACAAGCATATAAAAAACCGTGCTAATGCGAGATTATAAGTGAGTTTGTAGTACCATTCGTAAGAAAAAGGCACTGATTTGCATAAATACATATTTTCGAGTTTTGTGAATCTGCTAGTATTTTGAAAATAGGCGCACAACAAAAATAGTCAGCGTATGGAATATCAATATGCTAAGCCCAGCAATGCAATGCTTTTGGTCTACAAGTGCTATTATTCGGCACATCAACGGCGATACTTAAACGACGAAGTTAAACGTAGGGGGTTAACTACTAAACCAAATGTATATACAGATGAGACTATCTGTATCTTTAGTCTAGCCGTTCGAGTCCACACAGGCCCATATTACTACACTATTACTACATTTAGTACGAGCCTATGCGATAGATATTGAATCTATACGGAAGTCTTACCAAACATTTCCGGAGGAAAGTTATTATTGTTAACAATAGATGACGCGTTCTTTCCCATAGGCACTGCCATGGGAAAATGGTCTCTTGAGCTCGATGGCCGCGGGCTGTCACGTGGACTAGCCGGACTATGTCCACTAGGGGCGCAAGGATATTGTGACGAAGATGAACACGGCATGGGCGATTGTCTGCCGCCAGCGCCGTCCTCGCGCAATGACGCGAACCTCGGCGAATGGCGCGGCGACTGCTGTCCCCCTACTGTTACGTTGCTGTCGGCCGCTGTCGAAGCCGAAACGGATCCGCTTTGCGTAACCACCACACCGCCACATCCCTGCTGCTGTTGACTGCTACTGTTCGCTGCTGATTTTGGCGAACATCTCCCGCTGCCAGTGCTTCGCGGCGAAGATGATCCCCGAGGACTTTCATCGCCCCCAGCTGACAGGCTGGCAGTACTGGCAGTACTTCCACCACAGGTTCCAGCAGCATTTCGCCGTTTGCGGGTTCGCCGTTCGTTCTCACGAAGGTACTCTAAATAGCTCTCTTGGGCAACCTATTAGAAACATGGACAAAAATTTTTAAATCTTGTAATCTGAGGGTCAAAGCAAAAAATCAGGGCTAATTATAAGCTAGATAATCAACGTATACATTATCAAGGTTATAATTTTAATTGTAAATTTATTTCGAAATGCTTACGTTATACTAAGAAGATATTAGCGCTACTTTTTCTAACCTGTCGTTCAAGTGCCTCAGTAGTCGCCTCCCAGTCCGACGCTAGCAGTTTGTCTTTTAGCATCTGCCTTTCAAGTTCGGTCTGCTCTGAGGCGTGAATCGCATCGACTAACATCTCTTTGTCTGCTATACCGGGTTGAAAGCCAGGCAATCCTAGCCCTACACCAATTGTGGCTTTGTACGGATCTACAATTGAATTGTAATGCACGCCTCGATGGTAACTCAACCGAATTGGGTCATTATCGCTTTTGTGTAATCCATGAAAGATGTTAATAGGTTCTGGAAGCGTATTAAAATAGGACATACACAGCCCGTTGCATAAAAATCCATTATTAGTGTATAACGTATATAGATACGCGGTCCTTTCTTATTGTATTTCCGTAAATCACCATATGGAACCTAAAAATGTAAAAACTCACTGCAGTCCTATTGCAGCATCAATGACCCTGTAATTCCGCGTATATCCCAGTTTTTTTAGGAACCGGAATCATGGACCGAAGCAACATGAGAACCTTGCAATGAAGCAATCAGCTGCTCAAGCAAATATTCTAACGCTAAAAAAATATGTACGCAGGACGTGCTGTATATACCAATATATCGGTAAGAAATTTAAATACATACCTTCTGAGTAATGGTAGATCTCAATGGGTCTGTTAAACATTTCAGACAAAGCATGCATCTCGATGTGGTTTCCGTGTGCATTGGCACGACGTTTGCGTTCTACGTACTGATCGAAGGGCTCCGTAAGATAATGTGAAAAATAATCAGCGTTCTTGGTAATGTAATCCATACAAAGCTTCCGAACTACGCCGTGCATGCCTTGATCGCCATAAATTTGATCCGCTGAAAAATAGTTATCTTGTAATTAAGCGTTGAACGTAATCGCAAAGATAACCTTGATTAATTTTTTTAATCTAATGTCGTCAGAAATGTGATTCATTGACGTCATCTTTGTTTATTGTAAATGACCAATTTTTTTTTTTTTTTTTAGATTTCCATAGCTCTCTTAGATTACTAGACAGAGCCACGGAGTCAGTCAGTGTCCAGCACACCGTGTGAGTTTCCGATCAGTTGCTAAGTCATTTCTTCTGTGGCCTAAAGTTTGGTCCGTATGTCAAAGGTACTTAGGGTTATTTCCTAATCACTGTTATTATATTGAATTAGTTCTCTCTGAGAATGAATTACCATGGAACGATGGTCATCTGTATTCACGTATCTAAACATACGCTCCAAAAAAAAAATACAATGCGGCATGTTTTTCCCCGTATTGACAAATTAATGGGCCTTACAAGCGCTTTCAGATATAAACGATTTTTTATTTAATTATAAATCAAAGGATGCTATTTTTTTGCAAAGTCTGAAATATTCAAGCCTTATTCCCCTGAAAGCAGTCCTATTGCACTAAAAGAGTGACGGATAAAATTTCCTACCAACAGCACGGAAAAGACAGGCGCCATCTTCTTCCATTTTTTTGATTGTCAGTCCTTTTCCGCGGAGCAGCAGCTCGAATCGTAATTCTCTCTGCAATGATAATATATCTTCGTCATTTTTTGTTCGACGGAACGATATGACATACGATATTCTTTTACGTTATAACATAGATAATGGTCATCTGAAGTTTACTTTCTCCTTCCGGTCTTCAGAGGCATGTGTCATCTGATAAAATTCGAATACCTTGACCTTCACTTACCTCTGCCATCTCGCGTTCACTTAAAACGTTTGCATCATCCGGCCGATCATACTCATCGCCCGAATTATAAGCCGCAAATTCGTTGTCAGCGTCTCCCCGCGCGTTACTGGCCCCGGCCGCAAGAGAACTGGACAAATTACCCAAAGGAGACAACGACGAAAGATCATCAAGGGATGCGAGCGCTGGCAGAGGTGGTAACTGTGACTTCAACATGCCGGACACCTGAGGACACGAAGACATCACAGAGGAGCCGGCTACCAAGGGAGCTTGCGACGGACCGGGCTGGCATCCTGCCGAAGTGAGTGTTGCTGAGGGCGAGGCGAGTGAGGCACGTTTCCTTTAAAAGCCATATCAAATATGGTCGTGTGAATTGGACATGCGAAAATGGACCCAGATGGGAATGGGGGACGGTACTTAGAATTAGACCGAGAATTATTTAGGTCGTTCAAATTTACTTGTAGCCTCAGCAATTGCCAGTATTTTTAACTAATTAATATCAATCAAATTTGAGAAAAACGAGTTGTCGGTTTCTCGCTTAAGTGGATCCAAAGCTCAAAATGTTTTTAGTAAACAGCCGGCAATAAATAAGAATGTAAAATCGCAGCTTTTATACAATGGACTTCGCTAGTGTATAAATATTACACCATATCGCCTCAAACGATCATCATATATTTACCATTAAATGCTTTAATTACCAAACACGACGCAAATCCTGCAGATCAAAAATTAGCATGTGAAGACAATCGTTGTCAACATGTAAACCAAGCTTTTTGACTTGGAAACTACACTTCAGTCATTTATATTGGCATTTCCCTTCGCAGCCTGTGTAAAAATCATTTCTACCATTCTTTCTCACCCACTGGCGCACTACAACAATGTGAAAAAAGCCATTAGAAAAAAATGTTAGAATCGGTACAAACTGACCACCAACAGAAAACACGCTGCTAATCATAACCAATCATCCCCATAAAAGAATAAAACTACCTAGAAATTAAAAAATACAACAAACCTGTGTCGATGAGGTGACGTACGGTGTCTTCTCTTCTGGCCAGCGGTTGCTACGCCAAGCTGCTGGTGAGACGAGTCACGGTTTAGCGCTCCCTCACCTCGTGATGCCAATCCCCCGAGGCTGTTCCCTGGTTCCATTGAGGCTTGATTACCCTCAGACCCGCAAGCGGCTCCTTCCGGACCCCCACCACCCCCCTGCGCATTGGCCTGACTTGGCGCAGGCGTAGCCTCTTTTTTAACATGCTGCGGCCGGATAGTCATTGTAGTAAAGCGTAGTAGTATTTGTGATTCGCGCTATTCCAAACAGCGTCCTTTGGCCTTCCTCTTACGATCGCTATTGCTCAGCCCCAGATGATGTTATTGCTGTCGCTATTATCCGTTAAAGTGGTACCTACAAGGTTTTTGCACAACCAAGATCGCGAACGCATACGAAAAAAAGACGAATGGAACAGGAGCGACTGTTGACTCGCTGAACAGCCCTCTCCTTCTTCAACGACAAATTCACCGTCAGCTTGTCCCCACTGGCGCCACGACCCCAACCAGCTTTTACATGCACCTCCCCCCCCTCTGGACACGTTCACAAACTTACTATCCACGAATGACAATCAACGGACGATGCAAGTGCGACCCACCGATTTAACGCTGTCGCTGCAGCACTGCCGCAGCCCCTGCTGCTGCTACCAGCATTGGCTACACCAACCTCGTTGTCCACTGGCGCCAACTGCAATCAACAGTCAACTGCATCAACACCAACGTCTGCCCTGCGTAAAAGTCGACGACAATCAAAACAAAAAACACACACAAGGGCACGACCAGGAAATAGCGTTACTTGCGTATATATATGTATATATATACATATATATGTATATATATAATAGGCGGATGCAGCGTACCTTGTTAATTATTATCATGATAGTATATCGTTAATAATATGCACCTAAGATTTCTTCTATGCAATGTCGTCAGTTGATTGAGTTACACGAGTGACTGGGCACTTAGGGGGTGACGGATGAGCTTTACCTGTTGTTGTTGCTGTAGCCTTTACTGTACGAGAAATCGCATGATGTACCAAATAAGCATGTCGGTAGTGAATAACCTGGGAATTTCGGATGGGAATCAGGCACAGCTTGGAACTCAGAGCTGGGTCAGATAGTTGGAACAAGTCTAAACGGGAACAGATGAGTTACTAAGGCCGACACAATGATTTTCCGAAATATGGATAAAAAATAAAGCAGCACACTGTACGGTGCTACATACCGATACGATACAACGCTCTCCAACGCTAACAAATGCGCCCCACAATGTTTTACACTCACTAACAATAATTTCCTAGTCATTTGCAAATCACTACTGCCTGAGCTAGCCGTAAGGGGCGCTATTACCACATGATCTCATAGGAGTTCATTTAGACTAACAAAATGGAGGAGGATATTTCTTTCTGTGCGTTAGTCTGATACAACTACAGACAGTCACGCTGACTTATCACTCATCTGGTCGGACTGAAAAACGAGCATACCACAACCACATTACCGTCATGATCATCAGCACACGTAGATACACACCTAACCGGACACGGTAAGCGACCATGTTCAAGGGCATAGAGGAAAGACGGAGGCGACAAAGGTGGCAAGGAGCGCGGAGTTCGTGGGTTTTACAACTGTGAAGTTAATTTTTTTCATGCTCGCCTGCTTGCTCACTCATTCGATCTTTTTTTATAGAAGTCGCTCTGGAAGGCTATTGTACTGCACTGTATTAATTACTGCCACCCTCTCATCGATCATTCGATAATAATCTGGAATTGGAACCTGAGTTTTAACCTCGTGCTACTGCTGAACTCGATAGAGCTTTTGAATCTATCATATTAAATATTATAGGAGCTGCCGTACACAGGAACAGTTAAAACACAACTGTAGGCATTACGCATAATGATGTAATTCAGTCGAATTTTAATGTTTTGCTAGCACTTTTGGCCAGGATGACTAGTCACGTGAGTTAGAGAAAATATAGGAATCATTCTGTGTCAACAATTACTTTGAGCTAAAAATACGAAGATTGACGAATATCAGACCTAACTAATACAGTCAATTTTTGAGTTAGCTCTGTTCAAGAGCTTCGCTAACAAATAAAAAAAAACATCTCGCTTGTTTTTGTTTCTATTCCTGTGCCCAATTTGTTTTGCATTTGTTTTGCACCGTTATTTGTTCAACCTCCGCCACAAGAAACAGCCAATCGTATCTAATAATAATAATGTAGTTAGTTAGCGTTACCGTAGCTTTGAAAGCCATACGTATGCAACGCTAATTAGTTCAAATCAAATCGCTCTTGCATCAATAACGGTTTTATTAGCTAAACATAAAAGGGTTACGATTAGTTTCAACGTTAAAATAAAACAAAAAGGGCTGTCGTCCATTTAGCCATAGAGTTGGATATAGTCAATTGTGGCTACGCTATCACCAAGCGGTCAAAACAATTTCGATCAGCAGTAACTCACCACCATTGCAAAGCTGAATCACATTACCACCAAGTAGAGATCTAACTCGCCAGCATAATATTCACCAAATCGATAACACTTTTTCTACAACAATTCTATAATCGCAATCCCGCCTTTAACATGTCGACTTAAACATGACCATTTCCATAATCTTTCTACGACACACAAATCATACGAACCATATACGATCAGAAAGCATCACAATAAACCAGACTTAATCGGTTCTTTTTCTCGGTCTGGCTAACTGCCTGTGTATTCGTCGCCTCGGGACCATCATATGTACGACGACGGCGCTGGCACGTTCACCATGAAAACAGGTCCCTCCATTCGGTCGAACACTGTCAGCCTTCGTTGCTTCGTTTCAATGTTGGAAAGCTCCACCCTTGATCGTAACATAACCAAGGCCTGCCGCACAACAAACTGTTCCTATTTTTTTTTTCGACACCTGAACCAGCAGCGGCTGATTGGCGAGTAGGAATCGCAATTGCCCAGCACGTCCGTTTGTTGCCTGCTTGCTAGCACAGCAGTTACTGCTGCTGATACAGCTACGGCTGTCCTCCTCAAGATGGCGGACGTGGTCGTTGTCGTTTTGCTCATAGAAGGTTGTTGCCTATCACTGCTGTTCTCGACGACGTTCGTCGGCAGTCAGCTAGCCACCAGCTGGTCGTAGACCCGTTCCCCCGTCGCAGCCCTCCCCCCACTCTCCCCGTTAAGGCTCCCCGCTGTTTTCTCTGCTAGTGGCGCTAGTAGCAATGTTGTGTTGATTGGGATGCTGCTCGATTTGATTATCGTCAAGCAGAAGTATCAGCAGACCATAGACGATTGAACAGACAGAGGGTCGACAACAACGATCCGGAGTAGTTGTTACTGTATAGCGCAGCGATGGGTCTCTGTGTGCCGGTGGGTATGTATTTGGGTGTGTGAGTGTCGGTGGGTATGTATTTGGGCGTATGTGTGTGTACGTTACGTATTTTCTATGGAACTTTATCAACGCAGCTGCTTCCGATGAGAACGGTGATCCTCGGAAGCAACGGCTGCGTCTGCTGTTGGCGGGGAAAGGCGGAAGGCTCAAGGGACGGGGCATACATACAGGAATATTGAGGCACTTCCACTGGTTGGTTATGATGGTGCTGCTGCTGCATGGAAATGGTTCACGTCCTCGAAAGCATATATATATATATATACATATATATATATATATATATAAGCGATAAGACGTAATGTAGAAACGTAATTATTTCGTTAAAAGTTAATGGCTAATTAGGCATTCGAGACGTGTAAATAAAAAACCTATAATTCGCAGACCTAAAAAGAAAAAAGCTATAATAGTAATAATAAGTGAATAAGTAAGAACAATGATAATACGAATCATTGTTAGTAAACGAACATAGACAACAATAGTGCAGCCAATGAATACCAGCGCTAAAGAGCCAACAGTGAAGTAGGTGAGATCAACTTTATGCGTACACCACCGGAAAGTACAAGGCACTCAAAGTAATCTACATTACCATAGGATATTTATTATATATGATTTACCACATAGCATAAATGAGGTTTGCACGAGCACTTCGCTATCGTTATACTAACCAGCTTGATAACGTGAGGCGACAAACGACGCTCACCAGCTTGAGGCGCAGAAACTTGTGGAAAGCGCATACTAGACAAGTGTCTGCCGAACGCTAGGCCCTAAATGAGAGAGAAAGCGAGAAGGTGAGAGAGAGAGCGAGCTGCGAGGGAGAAAGCGAGAAGGTGTTCGATGGTACCTAAGACGTTAAATAAAACGAAAAAAAAAAGCGTTAAAAAAATCGCAGTGCGAAACAAAGTATACCTACGCTCGAATTTGAAGCTAGGCTAGCAGGTGTCCGTAAGTTGCCTAGTTGGTAAACACGTTTCCCATTGCGCTATCAGGGGCACAGGGCGGTGTATACATACATACATGCAAAAGCTGGTGGTCCGATCAGCTGAACCAAACTCGGCTGCTTATTGTGTCAGCTGACTGATTTGAATTTCCGCGCGTAATAGCAGCCGACGCCAATGGAGATGGAACGAAAACAGCAAAAAATATCCTGCGGCAAAGTTACAGCAAATACTATGGGTGAATACATAGAATCACAGGCAACAGAGTATTAAATGGCTATAGTCTGTATTTACATTGATCTGGGAAACAGTGGCGGATATTTGCAGAAATTTCTTGATGCAGGTGTCTTAAGTGAGAGCGCCAAAAACGAGTTACCTTTTGAACTGAAGGAAGATAGAACGGCGGACTGTAATATCAATGAAAGGAACAAGTACAAAGTAATTTGCCGTTTCATCTAGCAAAGGTTTTCTAAGTCTTCAAATATTTTAAAATTTATTATTATTGAGCTGGTCAACATAATAGGGCACTGTATGTATTATATTTTGCATTTGTACTTAAATTGGTATCACAGTTAGCACAAACAAAGGTTACTGGAACCTTGAAATAGTGCAACGATAACTGGCCATCTGCTGATTCAAGAGTATTCTAGATTGAAGTGCTTTATCAAAAAAATAAAATTTCTGCAAAAAACGAAATTCTGAGACCTTTATCATTTGAAAAAATCTTCATGACTGAGTAAAACATTTTCGTTTTTAACATTAGTAATCACCATTATAGGAATGTAACTAAGAATATGACTTCTCGAGGTGAGAAACTCCTTTTTAATGAAGAAGGTTTCTTCATGTAACATAACACTTAAAAAAACTAGCAAACTATGATCGTAAGCATTTCAAAATGAAATCGTATGCTATTCATTTGCTCGATCTTTTTTAGTCTACGTACTTTGAAACAAGTCAAGCTCAAGCCAAAGATTCTTTGCCACAAAGAGCACGTAAACACTGAACACAACTAAGATGAAATAATGTAATTATGTCATTTTGTCAAATCGAATATAAGTACAGCATATTTGAGTATTCTGTCCTAGTAACTAAAATTAGTAAGGTGGTTTTAACGATACAAGTTTCGATATAAATAGTAACTTGTCATAATGATCATCGTCAGCGAGTGGTAAGCGAATCAAAGTCCGATGCATAGTTCAGACATCGTCATTGTATTTCAGGTTTACCGTCGGTGTCAGGATGTTTAACCTAAAGCAGTGTTTGCACATGGTACAAATAGTAAGTTTTCCGCAATGGTATCTGCAGTGTGGTTTGCAATCTACTGAAGAGGTTTCCTATTTTGGAGGCTTCTACGCAATAATCAAAAATGTTAAAGAGCAAAAATTCTCTTTAACATCTTCTGTGGGTCCTCTCATGAGGCTCACAATAAGCTAGTGGATACAGCCCCAGCGAACGCTCTGTGATGAACACATTTTAGGCTACTAATAATTAAGTTGAGAAAAACAACGAAAAAGGCACAGGATGACGCTCACAAACGCTCAAGCTGGAAATGCGACAACAGATTTCAATCGAAATAACGAGATAATGAATCGAATGAAAAAGAGTTTGTGCTCCCTTTGCACTAAGTAAGGTTGAAGTTTGCACAATTTTCCAGACTTAGCATGTGCAGTAAATATAATAAAGTTCGTTAAGTAATAAAAGGAATTTCAATCCCTTCCCTTCTGACTTGTGTTCAACTTTAGTCATTTCTGAACAACTATTTTTGCAGAAAATTAACAAATCGCCGACAAAGTGTAAGGCACCTCTTTAATATAATATGGTCCAAGAGTGGGCTCAGTATAAGAGTAGAAAGATCATATTTAATTGCATAGTTTTGACTTTTTTAAGCAGTTGTCAAATAATGCTAGGCAAACGGATGCATTGATTATTTTCGAGAGTAATAGATGCCTAATGTCGTGGATATGCAGCTATTTTAATAACTTTTTCTTTATTAGAGCTTTCTTTGTTAAATTTAACAATTGTTTTAATGGAAGTAATGCTTTTAGGCCCACTGGATGTCCCCCAGGGCTTTCTTTTATCAACCCACGGTATAAAAGGTGTGATTCAAACAAAAAATTTATTGAAATAGTCCTATACTATGCTGTCCGTCTAATAACCCAGATATGATCATTTCGATCACCATAGGATGCTGAATCCTGCTCAAGTATTTCAACCCGTGTCCAAATAACTCTAGCATAAGAATCTCAAAATTTCGAGGGATAAATGGCTAAAATACTCGTTGATACAGTCAGGATCAAAAAGAATATATCATATATTCACGCAGCATATATTTAGCTCACTTAAAAAGTAAAGCGGAATACATTTATTGTATGCGCTAGGTCTAGGCTAAATATTTATGATCAATTTGTACATAATAACTGTTTTTGCTTTGTAAAGTTAATAAATAAAAAAATTTAGTAAATGGTAAAATTAAATTGGCGGAGTGTTACTGATACGACTGCATAAACGATAACACGTTTTTCTTTCCTTCAGGTTTAAGTTTGTGCATTAATCTAGGTGTTTAAGTAGCGGCTTAAGTAGCAGTAAACGTAAAACACGAAAACCGTACAAAGGGGTCTACGAAATATCTGTGTTTTATAAAGCTAGAAGAACGGTGAGACGTGAATTACATGTTAATCTAAAGAGGCATGTGCAATAGGTTAGAAAAAAATTAACCTTTCTTCGGGTGTCGTAAGTTATTTGAAGCCTAATTTACACCCTGGCACATTATACACAGCATATTTAACTCCATCGCTAGTTAAATTAAGACGCCTGATTTTGTTTTACTTTTTTTGTACATTTTACATTTGCAAGAACGTCTAGAAAACTCGAACCTCACCTTATTATTACTTCAACACGGCTATTGTATCCTCTTACGCAACACCAGGAGAGAATATAATGTCCTGTGCAGGTTGCTTATAGTCCTATTAATGCGTCAAACAGTTATGTCGATATGATTTGATTCTTAAGCAGAAGGCTAAGCTGCGAGTGGTTGCCGAGGCACTTTCTCACTTACGCAGTCCATAAGTGTTTCCACCAGGGAGCCCCAACCGAAACCCTTGACTCAAGAAAGCTGAAGTCCTTGCGCGCGCTTCGCATAACTCAGTAAAACTTCAGCCGCCTGTCACCTCACTTCACTGCACCGCGAGAGCAATAGTGAATAGCTTGCCAACATTAAGTATTTGTGAGAGTGGGTGTTTTGCGAGCGCTTTCGATCGTAGATTTGGACATTTCTGAATGACGCAATAGACTTACGATGAGCTCGCATGATTACAGCGATGACATATTCCCGAGCAGATAAATTTGATATTTCATGATTAAAGACTAATGATGCTGGGCATTTGATAGCTCATTTACGCAGCGCCGTTAGTTCTTCATTTCCTCCGTATGCATTTACATCTACATTGAGCGCTGTTACTGATAAATGTAGTTTTCTTTTGTATGTTTATAAGAGAAAGCGCTAAGGGATCATAGAAAATCATAGCGCAACCAGGTCAGAAACGCCGATGTGTGCATATGTTATGAGTTAGAGATTATAATGAGTTGAAGGGAATCGCGTGAGCAGCGTGGAAAAAACAAGGCGCTTATGGTGCTGAGCAGTCTATTTCGGTGTTCGAAATATTCAACGTAGTGCCAAGTTCTAAGTGAAATACGAGATTTACAAGCAGCTGAAAATGAGCGAAGAACACCACTTTTACCTGGGAAACGGTTTACGGATACCACTACTCGCAGTTCTTTTGGTACGTGCATTTATCGCAATAGAGAAATTCAGATGGCTTTTGACAACGAACATGGCGTTCATTAAGTAAACGTTTGCGGACAAGTTACCTCAGAAAATACTGCAAATGAAAGATACATATTTTAAATGAATAATTTTCCAAGATACCAAAACTCGTTCGTCAACTTCAAGTTGCATAGTTTTTCGCAGTCGACAAATGTGCTATTATGCTAAAGTAAATTCTAGAACTTGTTGATCTACATCAAAAATGCATTTTTGAAAATATCAAAGGCAGAAATTAATCAAACACTTGCTTTTGGGTCTTTGTTTTTCATCTCGCCTTTCTTTTATTACCAGAAGTCCTTTTTTTATAGCTGATGTCATTTCAAGGGTTTTCATATATAACTCATTTTGTAAAAAAACTCATACACCTAAATCATCTGTGTTCAAAATATACAAGCTGAGATGGAATCTAGTTTATGCAAGTTTCGATCTCCTAGTTATATTAATATTTATTTTGTTACCTAAGACACCAGAGAATTTTCCTGTTTTATTGAACGTTTCCTGAGATGCTTGGAGTGGTATTCAGTTCATATCGTGAAGGGAAGTAATCGTAGTTGAGAAAATGACATTTATTAATATATAAGATGAAATAAATCTTCCATAAATTTTTTTCATGAGATCAGGTAACATTACTGAATAAGCCCTGCGGCTCGAGCAGTTGTTTTAACCAGTTTTAGCACAATTTATTTCTTGATTGGTCAGCAGGTTAGAACAACGCATTACATTTTGAATGGCAGTGGATGAATAGCTGATTTCCTGTTAAGAACAATTAAACTGTTCTAGTTTTTTCGATAATTCAGCACAATTTGACTATGTATGCACTTAAACTTAGAGAAACTCATTCAAAACGGATCATTAGGCTTTCGGGAACAGCATTGATAAATATCTAATCGTTACGATACAGTCGCTACACCTACTGGAAGATTTACAATACTACCCTGCCCAACTTCAGCTCCCTAAACTGCGTCTAAGATCGCTGATTTCAAAAGATTCATGCAGCAGAATTACAATAATAAACACAGCGAAAACACTCATAAGCATAAAGAAGCACTCCACTCAGCAAGATCTCGCCCTCCAGTTTGTTGGAGGGGCATCCGTAACGCTGTGTCGTTTGTTGGAACCGTTATCATATTCCTTTTATTACCAGGAAGTTATTCTTTCATTGTTACCTTATAAGACGAACCCCCCGGAGCCATACACAGAGATTATCTAAGCATGTGTGGCATTGTTTGCACTGTAACAACATCCGCAAAGCTTAGGCGAAAGACCCGAAGGGGAGTCTATTGATGCTCATTCTGCAGTACATAGGCCAAACCAGCTTGTCTTACTCCAGGATTCCAACAACTCTGCTGATTAAATCAAAACAATCGTTGCCAGATCGTGCCCATGTTTAACAACAGATCCGCAGTGTTCAAGGGCACCAAGGACTTACTCTTTTGCTTCGTAACAAGATCGGAATTTTTTTCATTTCACTTTCCCTCTCGCTCCCAGCCGCTCCAGGGTCTCCTTGCCAACTTGTCATTTCTGCATTACTGAATAGTACCAGTTTGAACACGTTTTGCCTTCTCGGCAGACCTTTTATGCTCTGATTTAATATTGAATGTTCTTCTGTCAACCAGTCTATAGCAGTGGCTAAAAGGGTCGGTTAATGGTGAGCACCCCCTGCTCCCGACTCCAAGGCAGACGGGTGCCAAAGTGTCCCATTACTACGTGGCGTCTCTACATGATATCATTCTGCCATTAATGGATCGATGTGGGGTTAAACTATTCTCTTTGCAGCAGCAGCAGCTTATTGTAAGATTTTCTTCTGCGACCATTGGCCAGCCACTCGTTCGTCGTCATTCGAAAGGCGCACCGGAGCGTCGAAGCGTTCGGGCAACCAGGCACATTTGCATTACTCGAGCCGTTTAAAGTTGCTGCAAATTGCCCTTTGTGTCTGTCTGCGTACATCCGGAGAGGGATAAATATTGACTTATAGTAAGCCACTCGTCTGTGAGAATTGTATAATTATGATCTTTTTTCACCACTTAGTTATACCCAGATATGTTGATCCCAATTCGTTTTAATGTACGGGATTGATTGCAATGTCACATTTGACTTTGGACTCCGGTTGATAAAGATATTCTCGACGCAGTACCTTAACACACCAAGACTGCAAAGGTCTAAGTACATTGGCACTAAGCTTTTCGACTAAAGTACAAGCTTAATACAAGTATAGCTTTGCTTTTGCCACGAGCAGCTCAAAAGGTCAGCCCAAATGCTTCCTTCGTAGTTCTCGGTGGAGCTGACACCTTTTGCAGCCGAATCAACGACAACTATTATAAAAAAAAAAAGTAATGCTGCGCTAACATCTGAATTGTAGAGATACAAAGCTAATTTCTGAACATAAAATGAAGTAAAAAGAAAATGGAAATTAGCAAAGAAAAAATAAATGGAATACTTTCTTATAAAGTTATACGAGGAAAAGCATAGAAAAGATAACTAAAAAGAGGTGTTTGTAACGTCAAAATTGAACGACTTAGACTACTTAGATATAAGAACTAATAGGATTTAAGTTTTGGTTCAGGTGTCTGAAGACACGAAAAGTGAGTGAGCTCTCCCTTAAGACACACACACAGACTAAAGTGATAGCTAGTATCTACTTGCCTGTCAATGTAAGTCCGCTAGCTAGATAACTACTACTAACGAGCTTGGAAGTTGTGAACTGCAGTAAGCTCTTTCCAAGAAACGTTATCGTAACGTCAGCCAATCGCAGTTATGTCCATCTCAGCAGCATGTAGCACTGCCACGAACGTCAGTATTCTTTTAATTTAGGCATATTTAATGGCTATTCCCGTTTTGCGCTTTCAAAAGACATTGCCGAAGCAATTATAGCCATTTATTTGAAGCTAGCGCGTTATAGAGTTTAGTTTACCACGTGAACTGTCACACCCTACGGAGGACGTCACCGCCTTGAAAGCTTCATCGACAAATGGCGGCTACACATAAAACGTTCCTCTCAGGAAAACGAGTAAGTTCAATAGTGGCTTCTGAAGAACCTAGACAAGGTTAGGATGTTTTCGAATAGCTTTTAACCGGCGTACGTAAATGTTAAGTTTTATTACCCGAGCATAGAGTTAGCAGACGGCTATGCTGAGCACAATGAAAGCAAGTTTTGACTGGCTATAAGCACAGTCACGGCTAATTTATTCCGGTTTTCTCTGATATGGGTTCTCTATGCAGTCTCATAATAGATTATCTGCGCATGGCTTAAAATAGATATGGCGGAGATCAGCTATTTAATGCCTATTTCCGCTATACGATCGCTGTTTGATTCAACGACAGTTGGCTTTATGGTCTTGTCTAACAACTTAATTGTTTAAATGGGTGTATTACGTATAAAAAAGAAATCTAGATATTCTCATATGTTCATTATTGTATACGCGTATGATGGATAGGGTTGAAAGATGTTCCAGCGGAGTCGCTTTAGTAGAAATTGAAATGGAGCCACTATTTTACTATGCTACTTTCAACGCTGGAAACTTTTACAATGAAATAGCAAGCATTTTTAAATAAAACAAAAAGTATAAGAATGACAGTCTTTCATAAATAGCTAATAAGGCAACAAAACGCGAAGATACGTAGTTTGGTGGGACGCTCAAGTATTAATACTTATCAGTTTTGGACGTTTCATTTAGCAAACCCTGCAATCGATCATTAGTACATCTTGAGGGTTTTCTCGTCTACGGGTAGACCCCTGACCGAGCCTGACTGTAAATAGAGAAAGTTTATTCTAGGGCGGCCTCGTTCAAAAGCTAAAATTTAAGCTATCTTCACGAGTGTTACCTTTAGCGGGTATGTCTACTAGAGTTACTTATTAAATTGTTATGGCTTTAAAAATAGGCGAGAAGATCGTTGACAACACGGGCTCTGACGAGATTGACCAAACCGGCTATACGGATTGCGTAGAGTTGTTCCCCTGTGTAATCTAGGTTTTGGCAAAAGCAGCCTTTTCTCTTCCACTAGCCATTTGTAATATAATGGCAAAGTTGTTGTGTGATTGTGTATCGTTAATTCTCCCAATTTTGTCACCTCAGTTTATCGACATAGACATGGTTCAGCCGTTCCAGCTTGTATTCTAGCTTTCTTTGAAAAGTTAAACATAGAATAAGGCAGCTGCCATTGTTATCCGCGTTATTGTTCGAGTCGCTATAATTTTTACTTGTGACCAATAGCCGACCGTCGATAGATCAATCTCCGGTAGTAAGTAAATCCTTGCTGTCAATACGACATCGGTATATGTGGAGATTGGACAGGGCCTTTGTTGAAGTGTTATCGCTTTTATAGATCGCTTATATTTTATAGATCGCTTAGATTTTATCTTTTACTACGTTTTTCACAATGTTGTTGCCATACCATTTCTCGCGGTTCGATATATTCGTGCTTTCCCACTATCTATTACGGCAGCTACTCCACAAGCGGTTATGATTATTATGATATCTGGCATGGCCACTTTATGTAGTAGTCTTGCATGTCTTGAAACATACGTCATTGGCTATGTATCGATTACCGTTTCCTGTCATTATTAGATGGTCAAATAAATGAAGCGGAGATGTGGAATGAGTTGCCTATTGACTAGTAAGAGGAAATATCACGCGTTCTGATACTGTGTATAGAACTAAGTAGAGTTGTCGCGTATGTGCCTGGAAGGTGATTTGCCTTCTTTAAATGCTGCCAGGCTTTCGAACGGATCATCAAAAATTTGGATCTATAAGTGATCTGTGTATTCGGATGTCTGGCCGATAGCAGCTATTGCTACATATGTATGCTTAACTGATTTATTCGTGTCGTTTCGGCTAATACCTATGGGAAACCGATCAGTTTTTGATATAAGCTAGTTGTCGTACACGCACTGCATCTAAGATATACTATAAATATCTATTCTATATACTATCTGAATAATGCAATATTGCAGTGCCGCATAGTCCAGCACAGCAAAATTCCTGAAAACCTGAATAAGCATTCTATTGATTTGATTGTACACATTTATATTGGATGAAATTCTTGAAAACATTTTATTCATATAATGTTTGTTTAGCGGAATTCCCTATAAGGTTCAGTTTGTTGCCAAAAAGCGACGAAGTATTCTAGCCCGTTAGACCCGAAGGGGTTGCTAGGCTCAAGCCAAAAACGTCTGCGATTTCGGTTCAGTTAAATCTCTACAGGCGACGAAAGCGCAGGACCCTGCGACAATAGAAAACAGCTTTGCCTTAGTTAATGGAACGCGTTTCAGGCTCATCCCAGGCGTGGAAGGTCAGTTGTTGGAAAAAGTACCAAAGTGACCTGTATTGCGAATTTTTCTAAAATAAACCCTCTAAATTAATGTGCCTACCGGAATAAAGTGCTGTATGCTACCACTATATATTTATGAGAGCAGTATTTTAAGCTGCACTATACGCTGATATCAGTACTTTTTCTAATTTCAAAATTTTCACATCAATTTAAAAACAGACTCAATCTCGAAAATGTGAGGTAGAATGGCATCGAAGTTCCACTGGGGCAATTTTGCACTTTTCCACAATCGACATGCCGCGCTTGCGCTCGCTACGCGCAACAGACAAGCCAAACAAAAATCACAAAAATTTGACAGCATGCATGACCGTGAAAAAAATGCATGTATATACACGTATATATATATACTTGCCCGTATAATCTGACCTGTAGATGTGTGAAAATTTAAAGCTCAACTTATGTTGCTATAACGTTGGTTAGTGTGTGGCAAGCGACAGTATGTTTTGAGGATGAACGAAATGAACATGACCTGGTGAATAAAATTGGTTAAAGAGCAACTTTAACTGGGTCGTTTCATTTGGCTTCGGTGAGATGAAACCGTTGGAAGATGTGTCCATCATTATCATATGCATCAGCTATTAGCCTCATTCCATAATTTTTGAATACCAACGAAGCTAAACAGTGATAGACTTCACTGGTTGGCCTTTTCGTCATTCTGCTAATCAACAATGCTCAGAAAAAGTTCAACCACAAATAAATCACTATGACCAGTCACAAAAGATGATAGCTACAAGTTGAAAGACCAACCATTCGATGCTACAATAGAAGTTGTGTAAGTTGCAGCGCAGATGGAGGGACCAAAAAAAAAGCTTTAGGGCGATAAAAACAGGCCGCTCCGCGGAAAATGCATTTCACGACATTGTGCGTTAATCTTTCAGGTGGGCTTTCCCCACAGGCGCGAACTTCTGCCCTATCCTTTGCGTGCCTCTACGCTTCAAATTTTACGTCCCGTATCGCCGTTAGACTTTCCATCAGACGGCTGGCTTCCAGCACAAACGCAAACCGTGTGTCTATGCCTGGGTTCGAATTTAGACCACAACTTGGGCCTAAGATTAGCATGCAAGTTGTTACCCAATAAGCTGTTACGGGAACTAAACTGCACCTAGCCCCACACTATAGGGGGTTCAAACTGGCTGCGTATTTTTTAGCAAATTTCTGCCTTGATAGTTTGTTCTGATATTAATTCACCCATTTGATAACGAAAATGATGAGTGCTGAGGTGAGGATCGTAATGAAGCAAACGTATTTATCCTACTATGTGTCATCATCGTCCTACTCATGGCGGAAGCTCTCTCCGAGAAAGCCATTGCCTTACTGTAGCAAGCAGTGATCAGTCCTACGGAAACGCTCAAGGGAGAAGGTGCTACGAGACGAGCACGCATTGACTTAGCTAATTTTCAAAAATAAGATGAGATTCTTCAAGGAATTTCATATGTTTGGGGGATGATATAGGTAAAACGAGCATCAACCAGGATGGGACAGCATTAAGCACAGGGCAAAATGTGAGCTAATGTTACCATTGGCTCAATAATTATGCATATTGCTTAAATGCACGGGGAACAAAAATCTGGGTGCACAAAAATTTCAGTTCAGCCGATTTCAATATCATCGGCTTTATCTAGAGTAGTCGTCTTGATTCCAGTATAGTGGTGACGTGTTGGTTTACTAAACTTACTAACTACTACTTGGGCTAGGTTCATAGGCGGGGCAGACAGAAAGGAGCCGCCGGCCTTCTAAAACAATCCTTAACAGAAGTGCGGGACGTAAAACTTGAGACAGTCATAGACCCAGCGCGTCAGCCGTAGGTCTATGAGTTTAAGAGCTTGCTGTGGTTCACTCGCGTTACTACACTTTTGTTTTCTTTCATTCATTACATGTTATTTTGTGCTAATACACCGCTCGGTCGGACATCGAACAGGCGCACCTAATGGTTTCCTATAGTAGTATACAACAGAGTTCAGAGCTGGAAAGCTGTGAGGCATTCCAGGACAAGTGTCAGCCAAGAAAACCCTACTTAATACACCCTATCGTTTTCGTATCTATAGATAACATTGTATATTGTTTGGATGATTTGAGGAACTCATAACCTTGCATTGGCCTGTCACAACTTCCAGATTATGGTGAAGGTTTCAAGCAGCGACATACTAGATGAGTTAGACCTCCTTGAAAGCGATGATATCGCTCTTGTAGAGGAACTGTTGGACTCCACCATTGAAAAGGGGGCCCCGCTTAGTTTAAAATATCGACCAAGGGAAGGAAGAGGTAATTTTTTTTATAATTAAAAAATAAAAGGCATTTTCTATAATGGTGATTTTGCTGTTTTAATTACGAAAAAAAAAAGAGAAAGATTCATGACCTACAACTAAACAATTTTATTAAACAATTTAAAAACGAGTTCTTGTATAGTATTGAATTAATAGTAGACTTTTTACGTTTTAGCGATTTGAAAGTTTTTCAATGAACTAAGGTAATTCTTGTTCGTTTAAATATGAAAGGCTATTTCACAGCAAATCGCCGAGAGCATACGCCCTCGGTGGGGCAAAAATTTCTCAGTGAACTACACGCTTCGACGTATACAGCGCCAGTTACTCTTGGAAATGTAGCCGAGAAATCGTTGCATGATGAATCAGTAAAGCGCGAAACTATCGACGAGGGCAAAAATGCTGCTCCGAAAGTCACAGCTCAAAGGAATAAGCCGTTCTCACAGCCTCTTTACGGGAGAACTCATCACCAACTTCATTCACTCCAAACGAGGACTTCTTCTAAAGTAAAGACGCCAGGCAAGACGAAAGACATAAACGTGGGCATCCAGACCTTATCGGCAATCGTTGACAGTCTCGCGAAGAACAATATGCCAAAGCTGAGACAGGAACAGCAAGACGATAAAGACTTGTTAGAAAATCACAAGGATACTGCCTCAACCTCGGTTACTCAATCTTATGCACTACCATACCCCAATACAAATGCTTCCGAAAGCTCTCGAAGTAAAGCACACATTTTTAAACAGGTACGAATGCAGAGCAGAGATAAAAGGCATTGGGATGAATGCTAGTAAGTGCTAATTAATCTTAAAAAATAGTTTATCGCTATTTGTAGTGTTAAGAAAATCAATAAAATTCTAGCCATCCTGGGTAAAACTCGCTTGAACGTTGTAATAGACAAATGCGGTGTGTCATATCAAAATCAACGTAATTTTAGGAACCAAGGTGTACTGATTATACTGTCGAGAATACTTAATTATTGTACTTTGCGTATTATCCAGCAGGAAGTTCTCACTAACGAAAACGACGGAAGACATAATTCTTCTATTCACGGAATGCCTCTTCAACCAGCCTCTGCAGGATATAGCGAGATGCCACCTGCTAGCTCGAACGAGAGTCGTCGGCGCTCGCAACATTCTACTCGTCATCAGTCACACGGGATTCAACAAGAATTAGTCAAAACACACGTTCCAAATTATGACTCCAGTTCTCCTGGTCAATACGGTTTCGTTCAGGAGAATTCTATCGCTAACGGAGCAGCATCTGGGCAAAAAAAAACTAAAAATTTCAGTAACCCTATGTACGTCGAGCATGAGGCAAATGGCTTCCCACTGCAGGGTCTTCCAGCTGTGCGGCCAATATCACCCGAAGGAACTTTTCAAGACACATTCTTCGATACATACGCAGCAAGTCCCGGCTCGCTGTATGTGCCAGAGGCGCCACAAATACGTACGTACAAAAGTGCTCACGCTGTGCTTCAATCCCAACGAGAAAAGGTCCGAATAATTTTGACTATGGCATATCTTACAGGATGGAACGCCGACACCTGAAATAAACTCTGCTTTTTTTAAGGCGTTTGCGTGTTCTTACAATTTAGTCTTAACTATGGAGTTTCATTATTGTAAAGCTATCGGATCAGAGTTGCAGTAAAAATTCTGTACCGGAACATTGAGCTAAATAATCGTTTGTCCTGACAGCTAAAGGAATAACCATATAAGGACAATTCGGTGTATGATTAAATAAATAAACCTAAATATTCACCTTAATATTTAGAGACACATACACAAGTAGCTATTTTTTTATTTCACAGAAAGTAACGCCTTTTCGATCAGCTCAATTGGCCAAGGAGGTTACAGACAACGATTTGTAGGAAACTTGTATAGTGGAGCCGAATCCAGTTACGGGTAAGACAATGCTTATCTTCGTTTGATCATTTTTGCTTGGAAGATTTCCTGGTATCTAGTGCCTGTAAGCTTAGTGGTGACCATTCGATTTCGACGTCAGCAGCAATACTTGCGACAGGTTGTAGCGCTGAACAAAGATGTATAGCTAGGTATAATCGACTAACCACTGCATTATTGCTATTGATAAAACTGAATAAATAAAAAAAGTTTTTTGATATTATCACTACATTTCGGGATGAACGTAAATCTATTAGATCTGTGAAAATTGCGGACGCATAAAAATCTTTGGTTTAATGATAAACGTCCGGTGATTGATCAATAATCAGTAATTAACTAATTAGAAAAGTACAAACACTGCAGGTTGAAAACGGACAAAACTAATAAAACTATCAGCTAAAAAGAAAAGAGAAAACTTACCAAAAATTTTTATTCACGCATTTACCAAGCCAGTTTTGGAATTAGGCTGTTGTTAGTTTCTGGATCCAAAAATACCTCATTCGATCATACCAGTTTCCCAAAATTATTTACGCCGTTGATTTTAAGTAATTTTGAGACTGGTTTTTGAGGCTATTGTTATTTTTACGACGATCTTGATCAGAAGTAAAAGATCCGGTCGACAATATCCAAGGTGCGCGGTATTCCATCATTCAAACATCAAATAGGCCTCAGATCTAAAATGGGTGTAACGCGATTCGCAAAAACGTTGCCTTTGCTGAACAACTATTGTTCTGCAATGATGGGGCATTTCAGAAGGATGTTTGGTCAGCCGGTTCCGAATTTCGGATTGTCCACTCATGCAGACACCGGTAACTCAGGACTTTTTCCAGCTCAACAAAACGATCCTGTTCCAGGCAGAATCTACAATCCCTCAATCAAACAGAGTTTCGATGATTACAGCGAGAACTTCTATTTCAACAGTCACAATTTGAACTTCGCTACTGGAGAAAATGGTATTTTTAAGATGTATACGCCCGTTGATGGTTGGCCTTTATTAGATAAAGCACCTAGATATATTCATTCCACGCACTCAGCTCTGATTCTCGTCTGTCGGATTAAACAGCTAGAACACGTAAGTGTTATTTTTTCGTCGGTGTGGAACAACAAAGCAAACGGAAAAATTCACAGAGACATATGAGGTAAAAAAATTCGAAGTGACTAGGAAATGGTCAACACCTCTTTAGACGGTTGGTTAAATGAACCTGCACGAAATAAAAATATTCTTTCTACAAGATGAACATAGAATGCAGTTGCTTACTTGACCTAACATGTTACAACACCCCATAATAATAATAATAATGGTCTGGATTCATCAGCTGTGACAAGCGCATTTCTCATTCACACGCAGCAGCTAGCCGTCTGATGTTCTACTTGCTTACCATATTACGAAACATCAACTGCAAGCTATATAAAATATGACGGCACGTTTCGATTATTTTTTTGCTCGCTAATTTAATGGTTCCATGTTCTTCAGAATTCGCCGGTCTTGAAGGAAAACGTCAATATTTGTCCGCCAGTCTATCAGCCAACAGCGACTTGGAATTGCCATTCCGAGGAAGCTTCCATAATGGCCAAACGGACCATAGGTAAAAGTCTGCGCTATATCCAGATTAAATATGAGCACCCATATATATCATAGATGCTATATTCCCCTTGAGTCATCCCACGCGCCACGCGTCCTGACGGCTCACTGCATATATCAAATGACCGTAACAAAATTACTAGCATATATAGTCGAGTAAGTGGAATAAGTATGGGTATCATAAGACGATGAATCATTAAACCAGTAGTTGTTACATCAACGAATTGGATCGATCGTGGTTTCAATATGTAAGCTTGTAGTATCGTCGTAACTGTCGTGGTGTAACTCAGCATCGGTCATTACGGCGACTCTGGTCACAAGCCCACTGATGCATCCCCATTTCGTTTCATCTACAAGATATTTCTACAGCAGATTTAATGGTCTCACTGATGCTCCGCTTCGTGGGCGGTGAAGCTGATTGAAGGCGAAGCTCACACGAGAGTAACGTTCGTCGTGTTTGTCGATTCTGTAGCGGCGATGACAGCCAATTTATGTATGGAGCAACTCTTATATCGACCCTAATACTACAATATGCATAGAGGATAAATACAGGAACGTTTCCGTTTTTGTTTGAGATTTGTTAAGATCGTTATTATAATGCTCACCGCTACTCAGTTTTCAGTGTGAAAATATTGAAAGAGGGTGAATGCCATGGAGTGATCTCAGCTAGCATCCGTATAGCAATACTTCCGTACGATTTACGAACCATAGTTGTTGTTTATTTTGTGAAGTTTGCTTGTGATACCAGATTTTAAACGCAAATATACTGCGAAGCAAAGTGGCTCGCGAGAGCAATCGCGATCATGAGGTTCATAGATTGTTGTCTACAGGAATGCTCGCAAATGTATATATGTATATAATCACACAACACCAACGTTTGTTATCATATATACGAAAACATTCTGCTCTCATCTCGACATGCGCTGATAGTACATCAATCTGATTTTGAAAATATGACCTTCTAGGACAAATCTGCCCGGAAATGCATTCGAGTATAACGGGGTAGGCAATAACGATCTCGGACTCCATGAAATCAGTGTACCATTTGCTGGCTCACAGGTAAATCAGTTGCCGCATATTGTAATAGCTGCAATGTGCTATTATATGGCACCCCTCTGACCAACAAATCGTACTTATTATAAACTACTTTTGAAGCTATAACATGTATAGTTAAATGTAAAGTATCTTGTTCCTGGTAGAGGAAGGCTGGATGCGCAGCTAAATACAACAACGATTTTAACTACTACTAACTATTACCCGCCACAAAACCGTCGTTGCTAAAAGCGAATCAAGTGTTTTCTTTCTATCAACACTAAGCAAGCGAAAATGAACACAGGAAAGTCATAGCTCAAAAATGTGAGTGAGTGAGTTCAACCGTATTCATCTAAATAACAATAATAATAACGACGACAACAAACAATGATTATAAAAGGATTGAAAGACTAAGACAACAGTGATGTTCTATGTCTGTAATTCCAAATCTCCACATGTGCTTTTAACCGATTCCCTCTTTTTATACCTATATAAGAGCAAGTGGAAGAGATGGCATCGCTGGCAGAATGGAAAATTTTCCGCAATGAGCGAATTACATGCAGGCAGGCCGTAGTCCCCCTGTACGATCACTTTATTGTATTGTGTTTTATAATAATAATCATGACATGGTTCCATATCAGACAAAAATTTCTATGAACTCCTCTGAGTTTCCTAAACCCGTAAGAATCAGTGTACACGCCCTTAGCTTAGGCAAAATGATTAAGGACTGACTAGACAAAAATGCTCCAGTTCGTAATTAATTGTCAAGACAAATTTCTGACAGTGAATGCCTTTATGGTCCTTTATTTTTGGTGTCAAAACGACCCTAACAACCTACAATCTCTTGCAGCACGGTGCCATTCAAATATCGCCTAATAAAGTGGGCCACTTGTCTGTGGTCCAAAACAGTCAGAGAGATTCTCGGCCATACGCCATTTTGCCCGGTGGCAACTTTCACCCTGCGCAAACAGCGTCTACAAAAACTCCCCCAGTTCCGGATCTCAAGTATCATGAGCAGCACCAACAGGTTAGGCCGATTTAAATTGTAATGCTGTTTTGTACTGCATTTTATTTATATGGGGCTAAAATTCCTGTCGAGTTATGGCAGAATGGCTAAGTTCGGTAGGCATTTGTGATAACAGACCGGGCACTATGTGCGTTTCCTATGCAAAACGCATTGCAAGTTGTCGAATACTTCCGAGAACAAGACGATCCTGTAGTTAATTCTTCCTTGTCGTTCTTGTTTCAGCATCCACAATGCGCGGCTGCATCCGATATGAAGTCTCATAATGCGACGTATTGTACGGAAGACGTTAACTACCCAAGGTTAGCATTGACCGATTGCCTCCAAGGCTACAATTAGATTTGAAATAATACCATCGAATGAAGTAAATTAAACAACCGGTTTGGCTCGATCTAGCCGTTGTTAGTGCCTGATATTGTAGACATGATGGACAAACCTGCCCAGTGTTGCCTATCTCGAAAATATTATGATTGCGTGATGAATCTTTGTTCAATGACCAGTTGACTAAAGTTTGAGATATTTGATGGCATGAAATTTGTTTGGTAAATATTTCATGCAAGCAGTTCAACGAAAATGCCGCACCTCTGGATATTTCAAATTAGTCATTTCTCATACATTTACGCATTATTTATGCTATTATCATATTACTTTTGGCAAATTCATCTGACTAAGTTCTTTATTTATTTACCTGTTCAATTAACGTGCGTTGCATCATTAGGAGATTATAAGAAAATGGCGTTTCTTACAGGGACTCCGTCATGCAAAGCGCATTTCTCGACCCATTAACGGCACGTCGTCTGGTGCCACATATTCCAGATGAACAATTGGTTTTTGCGGAACCCTACGATACTTTTGCAACGGATTTGATGGAGCCGCAGGAGAGTGTGGCTGGCGAGTCGAATAAGAAGTACGACGGACCTGATAAGACAAGCGAAGACAAGGATTCGGCTGCTAAAAGCGAACTTCGAAAAGCATGCAGGTCACAGGTCGGTAGTGCGCTTAAAATTTATTAACCATACTCAATGTACAGTTATACTGTTGATCGTAAAGCCAGCAAAGACAACTCAACAAAACTTGGACTCTATAGTAAACTGAGAAAAATAGAGCGACTATAATATGTTGTTCTAAGTACCTCTACTACGGAAAACAGCGACGAAATACTCAAACAAAAAAGAAGCAATGCACCATAACACAGAAATAGCATTTATGGTAACATTCTGAACAGAAAAACAGTTCCACATATCGGTGAGTGTGTGTGTTGACCAATTCCAAGAAACGACTAGCTTTCAACAGGCAACAGGTTATTTTGATTTTATGAGAACCCGTTCAAATGTCTAGCATAAGCAAAAAGGCGGTATTACCCATTTTTTTCCGATTCTGCCCGTGCAGGTGGCAACAATACGACCTTTACGAGCCCAAAATACACAGAACCAGTGGAAGGTTATCGTGAACGTGGACACACCGCGCAATGGCCAGAAGTATGAACAGCTTGTGCGGATAGAAACTTGCAGGTAAGCTTTAAAGTGTTCCGGTGATAATAAAATTTTAACGTTTTTGCTTAAACTCACTTAAAAACTTAAGGACACTTGATGAACAAGTTTAAGTTCGAAACCGCCGTACTTGGGAATCAGTTGTCTGAAGTAATATGTATCGTCAGTAAGGGGCGTGACATTCGTAACATTTATTTATTTAGATTTCTTAGAAAATCTCTATTTCTAGTGAAACTGCCTTGATGAAATAAAGCCACCCAAACCATGGCCCATATTAAAACCGTACAATACTCGATAAATACCACAGTAAATTAGTAAAAATCCGCAATTCTTTCTCCATCGCTTATTCATGGTATAGTTGTTGAAGACCACTATTAGCCCTTGAATTTTAATTGTTTTTTTTATACTTACATGAGCATAAATATGAATATCGTTACACTTGACTGTTGTCTAAAGAGACCATATATCTAATTAGATGTCCTACACATCGGGAATAAAAAAAATAGTAAAAAACAAAGTACTCGTGCTTTTCAATCATAATTAGTAAAGTTCACTGATTATGCGAAGTATTCGTTGTTTTATCAGAATCATTCTTGTTCCGTTCTTCTTTTTGGCCTTATGCAGATGGCCATCAATGTCCTGCTCCCACGTGTCCTCATCGGTCCAGAAATCGGTGTGCTCACAGGAGTTGACTACACATCGATTGGCTGCTTGGTCACTTGAAGAAGGACTTCATATGGATACATTCCATTTCCCGGTGGCCTGCTCATGCCTTGTCGAAACCGAAAAGTAGCAGAGAAACCTATGCTACATAAAACAACTGCAAGATCTTTTGAAGATCTTCCCAAATTACATTTTCTGCCAAGCATCATATGTATGTCGTATGACTTGAGCATGGAATATACATGAGTTAACTCTAGTTGGTCTGGGAAATGTGTCATACAGGCTAGTTAGCAACAGGTCATGTAAAGAGTTTGATTTTGTTGTAACAGCAAGAAGCTGTGAATCATAAATGCATCATACTGGACCAGAACAGAGACGAATGTTTGTTAAAATATGAATTATATATAATAAATAAAGCTAAGTATGTGCAACCTGTAAGTACGTGTTTCATTCAATTGTTAACCGAATATCTGCTGTTTTAGCTGAGCAACGCTGAAAAATTGCAATAATCTTGCCAAATAAATTCTTTATGGGTCAAGAAATAAAAAACAATGAGGGAACCGGGTTTCTTTCCGAAACCAACAGGCAAAAGCTCTGTATGAAAAAAGAATGTATTTTTTCTAACCTATTAATATAGCGTTATGGTAACTAGGAAAAAAAACGCGTTATGATCAGCAAAAACAACGATAGAATCTGTTAAGCCACTATCATGCAAAGCTGCCTTAAGTGCAAGCTGAGGTCTGAAGAAAGCGTACTTAAAGCTGGGCGTGAATTATTGACGGCCCGGATCTCTGTCTAATACCAATATTGCGTAGTGAAATTAGCTGCGAAATGTTCTATTACAGGTAACAGTAATTACTGTTTGAGGTGGAAAGTAAACTCATAACTAAACCGCGAATAAGAACCTCAAACAAGATTTTTTGAACACGCTTGTACAAACGGGCTTATTATGATCACTATGAGATATTGTGAAAAGTACGATCTGACATTGAAGAAAAAATGAAAATTCAATCAGAGTACAAACTATAGAAAAATTTATTTTCAAGATTTGACTTTAACAAGAGAACGATCGTGCCTGCATACCCACTGTTAGGTTTTGCTCTGAGAAGCATTTTTGTATCTAGCAAAGTTGGTAAGCTGTGGAATACGCAGCATAACTCATGCATAGATAACATGTACAGCTCGAATTCAGATGTCATTTTTGTCACTGTCGAATAATATTTGCGCAGAAAATGACAATAGGATAAAACAGTTACAGCTGTAAACAAGATGGCCAGCACAATTCAAACGTTATTTCTACTTATATAAACACTATAAATCTCGAAACGCTGAAAAACTTTGCAAAAAACCCACTCGCTCGCGGCGGTCGCAGAGCTAGCTTTCTTGTTACCTTTCGAAGTTTATTCCAGAGCTGTACTTTTTGAGCCGAAACTTCATGAATAAAGGGGGTAATTATCAACGCTACAATATAAATACATCAAATAAAAATCAGCGATCTTTAGACTATTCAAGTTAAACAAGAAACGGTAAAGAAACTTTGGAAAATTCTGTTCTCGCCCTTTCAAAGCATAACCAACTACTAAACATCAAATATATATTTTGCAACCGGTTCTATTTTCACGGAAGGTATCACATAATATTCTATGCAACATCTTAGTTATCCGCACTATACTAGATATAGTAAAGAAGTATTTTCTTTCCCTGATCGCATATAAGATGCAAGTATGAATAAGACGCGGATAAGCTAAGTCTATCCTGTATGATACATCACAGCAGGTTTGTTCATCAATGCATACCCGTAATAATCCAGTAGTAACTATTTATTTACTGAAGGGACATGTGAAGTTTTTTGATTTAAAATTGAGCTTAAAGATTTTTAATTTCGCACCCGGACTCCACTACAGAAATGCTTCATTAAGTCAATAACACCGAACATTAAACTCGAGCCACTTACTTGGGTCGTTGAATGCATGCTGGGCTATATCTTTTTATTAAACTTAAACCCACACCAGCTAAAAACTGCATCGCACGCTACACAAAATGAATCTTCGAACTTCATATTGGCTGGAACCCACTAAACTGCGCGCGCTCTCAGCAACCACAGGGACTGGCACCAGTTACCAGATACTGTTATTCCAAAATAGCATCGGTCTAGGATCAGCAGATAGTGCACTTCAACCGCAACAAAACCACGTCATTTGCAAAATCTAATAGCGGCTCCATCAAATATTACTCGCATCAGCTGCTCTTGGTGATGCGCTAGCGCCCAAGTTAAGACTTTCCATAAACACATAGTATCAGTCCACGGTTTAAACGGACATAGTGGCGGTGGTAGCAGTAGAAGACTGTAATATTATTCATCGGAATCGGTCAGTATTCTAAGGCGAGTGACATAGTTCACTTCTTCACCAGCAAAGAAGTCCGAGTGTTATTTCCGTTGCTTATCTCCATCGTCATTTCTGCCACATAAAATTCACAGTCCACTTAGAGCCAACCTATTTTTATGGGATAATTCATATTGACATTCAATTTCCTGGTGTAGTCCATCAAAGAATTAGAAAGTGTGTTATTGAGCAAATCATTAAATGATGCCAAAACCGTATGTTGTTTCAATGGCACAAGTTCTGTTGACTTATAAGTCAGAGAGGGAACTGGACAGTAATTCTGCTGCAAGTTACATGGTTTAATGCATGTGTTAAAAAAAAATATGACAATATTGTCCAGGATAGAAAGCTGTTCTGTACAGAAGTGCTTTGTTGTATTTATATATATATATATATATATATATATATATATAAATATATATTTGTTAATTGAGTATAACTTGCTCCTACGATTGTATTAATTAGTTTTAAGTAAGGACTGCGCCACCTATTTGGCGTTTCTATGTGAATAATTGAATTCGAATGAATCGTTGTCCTATAAGATCGCAATAGCAAGTACAGTTTATTTAATTTGTTAAAACGGTCCCGGTGGTAACTTGTGGGCAATGTGTTTGCCTACTTAATCTCAAAGACACATAGTGGTGTAAGGTCGAACCCGGGCAAAGAGGTATTGTTAAAGTACTTTTACCGCCTAGCAGCGGTGCCAGACGTAGAACTCAAACATTGAACACAATGAACTGTGCGGTTTTTCAAGTGATAAGCATACCAGATTCAGTTTAATTGGATTTAATAAGGTCGAAAACTGTAATGTAGGCAGTAAAATTAACTAAAAAAAATGATCAACAATTTAAAAAGCGGGACGTTAAACTGACCATCTTCGACGCGAGCATATGATTAACATTAATAAGAACGGATATGACTTCGTGTCAAACAGTATACGCTATGCGAGCTCCATGACTCTGACTGAACAAAAGCGACATAATGATTAGATTATATTTTGGGTGGAGTGCCCGACAGAGCTCCGTGCGAATAATAAGCGATGGTTGGTCCCTTATATAAGACGGATACAGTATACATTGGTCAGGTACGTTCGCAATTGAATCTGACGTTGCCGACTAGTGGGTAAGGAACAACAGGCTAAACGAAGACAGCAATAGATGAATGCCAGCGCGTATGGAAAGAATGGTCTAATAGAAAAAAAAGAAAGAAAACTAGCACTATACTTCACGTAGGCCTGTCATTAAATTAACTGTACGTTTTATAAGTACGGAATTGCCGGTAATGCCAGTACATAAGGTCTGAGTTAACATTGTTTAGAATTTCATTTAATAGTCAACTAATCAATTGTAATAACAACTGTAAATCACATCAGATTATTTATGCCCCAAAAGAATCGATCAGTATATTAAATATATAATTCTATCTGAGAAATCGATCTGGTTAAAATACATTTCTTCTAAGTCAGTTAATGACAGAGTGCTTGCACGTCCGGGCAGGAACGATGGAGGAATTATATCATCGCACGAGGCATGACATGGAGGAGGTGGATCGGGCCTTCCGAAGGTTTGATCAGGCTAAAGACGAGCAGGAGTTTGACACTCATGTCGATCAACTAATCGAAACGATATTCAACAAGTGCGAGCGGTGAGCAATAATACTGATAATAATAGTAATGTTTAGCTTTTTAACATATGTGGTAGACATATGCGCCTTAGCGGACTCGAACCAGCATCTTTTCTGGACTTAACATTCAAATATTGCCTCGGAGCTGACTAAGTCACGCCTGCTGCAACACGTATCGAAGTTGAACTTGCGTTACTATCCGCATGGTTTACATTTATATATATATATATATGCATATGAATATTAAGCACGCTTATATAAACATAATATGCCATATTTTGCTGGCTATATAACTTTCATAATCGGTTTTTATGTGCCAAGGAAACAAAATTTCGCTTAAGCAGCAATAAATAAGTTAAAAAGAGGACCATAGGTGGAAAAAACATTTGCAGCTATAAAAACCGTTTGGCTAGCGCATAGGTTTAAAAAAATCTACCTCGAAATTGAAACTGGAAATCTATACAATATCATATTGTTTGTAGCTGTTTAATGATCACTTTAAACAATATGGTTTTTGTTATATTTGGGTCCGTGAGAAGATCTCTCTTATTGCTGTAAACCCTAAGCTGTCTGTCCCGCAGCATTCAAATCTTTGATTATGACAGTTATGTAGCCTTTTTCCTGTAGAAGTTCTATGGAGCTAATTTCTTCCTTATTTTTGTTTCAGATTAAGTATATTAGTGCATAAGGAGCCAGCATCACGACGGCACCTTGCCATGCAGAAAGTCGACCAGTTGAAGTACGATGCGAGACACCTTAAAGCGGCACAAGAGAACCTCAAGCGAAAGCGGGACGAGCGACGCGCACACGAACGCAATAGAGAAGTATGCATAGCTTTAAACTCGAATTGTTTTGAAAAAAATATATATAAGTGTGAACGTATTGAAAAATCTGTTACCGAGTTTAATAACGACGCTTGTGCCATTTACGATCAAACAAAGAATATTTTTTCACATATCTAAAACTAAAATCTGCCAGTTTACTGCTCCTACCCAAAATGGGCTGATAAATTCAGCAATGAATCAACTATTATAGTACTTTATCAATGAATCTATTCAACCCTATACAGATTCTAGCAGATCCGTTTACGAAACATTCTGTTGGGGCAGCGACAGCCTCCATATGAATTAAGCGCATATTACCTACCTTTTTGATTTTTCCTCTGTCTGTTTCTTCGTTCTAGGAGCTTCTTCACCGAACGTTTCGTGCCAATGATACCTCGATCGATATGGACCACATGGTCGTATTTCACACAAAGGCGCAAGACGCCAATCGTAATGTGGACGATCTTATATCCCATGGCGGCTTGATTCTTGACAATCTGCGTGAACAGAAACGACGCCTAATGAATACACGGAAACGCATCTTCGACATTGTCAATCAGCTAGGAATGTCTAATACGCTTATGCGGCTGATTGAGAAACGTGGCGCCCAAGACAGATACGTTCTTTTTGGCGGAATGGCTGTCACGCTTTTTGTCATGTTCGTTATCGTAGTTTACTTTTATTAAGCAAAAAGACAGGAGGCAAAGCGTTTTGAGTGACAAGCTCAAGTGGACAAACATGACGGTATTTTCTCACGCGATTCACGCTTCTACCCAAAAGTCTAAGAAAAAAACGAATTTAAATGAATACTGTATTTTTAGGTGTGGCATTGTAATTACAATGCAACTGGAACGAAAGTATGAACTTGACGATGGGATAACAGCAACAATATATAACCATGTTGCTTGTTGCTACAATTTGCTATCAATGGTACTAATTATAGGTGAAATTGCTCTATGTGGATCATACTGAAAAAATATTATTTACGGTTAGGTACTGACACTGAGAGTATTTTGGTGATTCATTTAAAGAAAAAAGAATAGAACGCCTTCAAGATTTCAGATATTAAACAGCACCAGATTAAATAGATAATGTGAGATATAATAAAATACGGACGGATATATTGGATATATTAAAATAACTTGATATTTGACAAACTCAACGAAATGTATAGTACTTATTGTAGATAACAATACAAAAGCGGGTCAAGGTAGCGATAGCAGCGTTGTGCAAAGTTGTCAAAGTATATCGTGTAAGTTTTAATGCATTATAAACAAAAATAAAAATGTAATGAAGAAAACATAAAACAAAATTGTAGTGTTTTTACTTAGATGAGCTAGTACTAATGCGAAAACTGTAACTACAGGCAACTATTTCATCCGAAGTTCAGCATAATGATCAGCAAATTTATTCTGTAGATACAATGAGTACAGAGAAGTCACCGCACATCTGGAAGTCCTCACATAGGTTAAATAACACTGTTTTTCACCGGTCAAGTTCGTATCTAGTAAATAAGTTGAATCACTTTTTACTCCCAATTTGTAATTTGAAAGCAGATTTATGAAAAAGGATCGTAAGCAGAAACGCTATTCATGTTGATAATCACCTTTACGCAATACGATTGGATCTCGGAAGATATTAGCATTTCAAAATAAGGTCAACCAGTCAAAATAAAAGAAATTTTGAGATGGGCTACCGATTATGCTTTAGAACTATTATGTCCTTCTGGTATTCATTCGTTACCAAGCTTTCAGTTAAAGCTTGTGGGCATAAACAGCAATAAATGTGTTCTGGAGTTTTACTTGAAAATATAATTTTTCTCTTTAATAGTACGGCGGAGAGTAGCTTGCCTCTTCTGAACGCACTAAACAATAACCTTTAAGTTTACTGTAGGGGAACAATCCACCTCTATCCCGTGGTATTTAATATAGAAAATTAGCTTCACCATATTTCCAAGCTTCAAGTTAATACAAAGTCGACAAAGTTGATAATATCGTCAATGATTATAACTTAAAAAACTGATCAGTATATTCTCAATAAACCTAATGTAAATATTATAAGCCAATATACTATTTGAAAATTATTTACTCCTTAAAATAAGCAGGCAATATTAGGCTGATTAAAAAAATTTTATCCATTTTAGTTTATTGTAGTTTTCAAATTAGTAAACACATTCTAGTCAAGGTACAGTCTTTTGTTTCCTACGGCTTCTGCTCATTTTTTTCTAGCCAATATATCCCGCGAAGTGAAACAGCTTAGTCAGCGGAAGCGTCCAATTCGCCGACTAATTTGCGGACTCCGGCCTCGAATCTAAGTTGCCTTTTTCTGTTAATTTCGTGGCTGGAACGAATGAATAGATTTGAGTAACGGCCTCATCCCACCATATTCAGAAGTGCCACTTTTAACCGTAAATATTTCCTCGTAACATCGAGCTAAAAGGGTCTAACCCTTCTGGTTTATATTTACAAGTAACATGAATGACTAGTCTTTCATCAGTAGTAACGACCTTGTATAGAGATTATTCATTGTCGTGCAAGCAACAAAAAACGCCTTGTCAGGTGTTTCTTTTTTTTGTCATGTTTACGGAATCTATGTTGGTCCATTTTCTTTCTTTTTAAATTTTTCCTAATGCATGCAAACGATTAATAGTGATCTCCTGCGTCACTCGTAGCTGTGTAGAGAGCTCTCGCTGCCGACTCCGCCGCGCTTCGAGTAAGTCGTGCCTGCAGCTCATCGTCATTTGCTGCAACGTAATAATAAAGGTGATAAAAAATAATTCATTTCATATAGGGGCATACTCAATCGTAGTTACAAATGAAAATAATTCGCTTCAGCCTGTTCCAAATTGACCCACAAAATAAAATATGAGCAATCAGAACTTTCACTTTTTTCTTTACACTTGTCATACCTACACCGTCAATTCTAACAGTTCATTTTTCCTTGGCGCAGAGCCCCATCGTTAAAGGCTATCCCATGCCAGCGCCTTTGCTGTAAACACCAACCTCTTCAACAAGAGTGAGGGCAAACATCCGTTGTCAAATACGCGTGTAGCAAAAAACAAAGTTGCCGAATCACGGAGCAAACCAACAAGCTGACTAGCGTCTACCAAAGACACCACCTGAGCCAGGATTCTTAATTGGGACCCGAAATATTACCAGTCTTGATAGTGTGCTTCACTCTTTAACGCGAAATCATCTGCACTAAGCAGAGAAAGTCTAGCCTGTCTGTATGTATCTGTGATTGTTACTTTGTGACGAGTTACCCAGTCGTGCAAAGTCAGTGTTATCATTGCTATCTAGTTGGACTGAGCCCAGAAAGGTGCCCACAGTCTCAGGGTTTGGTTCGGGGTTTTGTTGACAACTCAAAGGATTTGGCATTATAGCCATAAGCGATGTCAGCGGTCGCAGCGATCGCCCCAATGGATTCTGTGTCAGCAGTCACTGATCCGGTAAATATCGGTGGTGGAGATGATGCTGAACTCGAGGACTATTACGTCCGTTATATGCGGCTGAAAAGGCAGCTTGAGTTCCTCGAGGTTCAAGAAGAATATATAAAGGATGAGCAGCGCAATCTCAAGAAGGAGTACCTGCATGCCCAGGAAGAAGTGAGGACAGAAAACGAGATTAGACGCAATAGAATGTTTTGCACCTAATTTTTTTTATGGAGAGGAGTCAGATTTATAGTATATGTTAATTCCCTACTGTATCGGTATGGTTACGAGTATTCTTGGTGAATCGTGCATAAATTGGAGCACGAAATTTTCATCTGAAACGGATACAGCAAGAAAAACATTAATATGAACGAACAAGGTTATTTTTTTGGGGTTGAAGATAAAGTATTTTTTAAAAAATTGACACTTTAGTGCTTATAAACTATAGAAAATTGAAAGAAAATACTACGTTGTTTAGTACACCGCCTGACACAGTTAAACTTGTTTAGAATTCCGAAATTACTTTTTCTTCATTTCAAGTTCTGTTTATTTTCAACCGAAGTGTGCATTATTATTATCTATGTCGTTTGGATGGCAACTCATTTATATTATTGCTGTCGAAGCCTTGGGTAAGAGAGTCTGTGAAATGTTGAAAGGCATTTCGATCACGTTAAAATGAATAATAATTATTGATTGAGATTTGGCTAATACATGTGTTTATTTACATAGCAGCACTTATGTTTAGCATGTTGGAGCGCACGGGAAACATCAAAACTTAAATATCTGAAAGGCTGTTACTGTTAGATTTCCTATTCTTAACTGGTTCCTATTCTTTGAAATTCGTTTCTCTGATGGACAGTCAGACAAGGTTTGAGATGAGATCTGTATTCGAAATCGGGCGTACTCATACTTAATTTCGTCCTTGAAGGGGTCGCCAGTTGCCTGCCACTGCAATACTTAACTAGCCTGTAAAATGGGAGTAAAGCTCAAAATATTTACCTAGGCATAGAGTTAAGGATGTAGCCAAACAAGACACCAACAAATTCTGTTTCTCGACGAAGCCGAGTACACTATACGGATAGTGTTCTCTACGTTCGATTAACGACAAAGGAGATGTACGCATTATTAATGGGGGTTACAAAAAGCGTACTCTATTTTCTCTTACGTATCCTATCAAAAAATGACAAATTAATAATTTTGAATTAAAAGAACTTTTAAAAGTTTCGTCTACAAAACAAATGTGCTAATTATTATTATTTAAGACTGGCATCTTAGTCAAGTTGCACGCAACATTTTCTGTTGTTGTTAAAAGCAAACGAAAACTATCTTTTTAATAAGTTTACAGTTAGCTGAAACAGATTGCAACCAGTCGTCGAATAACCCACTTGTCAGAAAACCACGGGTACAATTTCGTATTCTTCCTACCCCTTCAGCAAAAACAATATCTTCATGATTTCAACTACCGTTAATTTCTGCTTATTTTTCTGATTTTTAACCGCGATCTACCAGGTGAAACGTATCCAAAGTGTACCCTTGGTTATCGGGCAGTTTCTTGAGGCGGTGGATCAAAACACCGGAATTGTTGGATCGACAACCGGATCAAACTACTATGTCCGTATCCTGTCCACAATCGATCGTGAACTTCTTAAACCATCGGCTTCTGTGGCGCTTCACAAGCACTCCAACGCCCTCGTTGATGTTCTACCTCCTGAGGCAGATAGCTCAATCGCGATGCTTCGACCAGATGAGAAACCCGATGTAAGCCGGCTTTTATTAAAACAACAGTAGTATATATGTTCTTATCTATGTTTTAGACAAGGAAACCATATGTAAAGTTGATCTTGATTTGAGCGTATTTATTACCTCATATTCTTAATTCTAGTAATGATGTAGGAAAAAGATATGGCCTTTTTATTGAGAAAATATTAGTTTAAAATTTGTTACTACCACGTTATGAAGAATGTATTGAGGTTTCGCTAATACCGCGTTTGAGGCTGGCTGTAGTCTCACGTCCTTTGGTTTGATGTGTTCTTCTGTTTGATTTCTTCATTCAGGTATCGTATGCAGACATCGGGGGTCTGGACATCCAGAAACAGGAGATGCGAGAAGCTGTCGAGCTTCCGTTGACGCACTTTGAGCTGTACAAACAGATCGGTATTGACCCCCCAAGAGGTGTTCTCATGTACGGACCACCTGGCTGCGGCAAGACCATGCTCGCGAAGGCCGTTGCTCATCACACAACCGCCAGCTTCATTCGTGTCGTAAGTAGAGATGACGGTCACTTTTTTAGGTGGTAGAATATCTGTAAGTTTTTTCCCCGACTTCAAGATTTCTTCATCATGCTATGCGTCGACCTTACCAAAAACGGTTAGAATATTGGCCTAAGCTAGAAATTGAACCTGGTAGTACTATAAATAAGAATAATGTAATAAAGATGTTCCTGGCAAAAACAAAATGAGATACCTCAGCCTGCGTAAACAAAATGCGGAATTTCGTCTTATAATACAATTTATAGAACCAACGCATTATCTGATTCGATAAATTGATAATTGAGGTAAGGTGGAAATAAATCAAACCGTTGAAAAAAATTAGTGCCAAAAAAAATAATACCATGTACCTATTTTTTTCATTTTGCATCACTATACGGTTACGCCATTTCTTTGCTACACCTACTTGGTGACAGGTTGGTTCAGAATTTGTGCAGAAGTACTTGGGTGAAGGCCCTCGTATGGTTCGAGACGTATTTCGTTTGGCGCGTGAAAATTCGCCTGCGATTATCTTTATTGATGAAATTGATGCTATCGCCACAAAGCGTTTTGATGCACAAACCGGCGCCGATAGAGAGGTGCAGCGTATTCTGCTTGAACTACTTAATCAGATGGACGGATTCGACCAGACGACCAACGTTAAGGTATGCCTGGATTTCTTCTTATAACTTTTGGTTCTATATACAAACCCAGAACATCCATACTCTGGAGTTGTTAGTAGTAAGATTTGAAACTTTATCCTTTTAACTAATAGGTCGATAAAGCGTTTTATGCTATCGGTTATTGCCAGTCTCGTACTTTAAAATTTATTATTCAGGTTGAAGAGTTATGCCCGTATTTCATATTGCAGTAACCAAAGCAGTGAAATTAATATTTTAAATTATTTTAGGTTATTATGGCTACAAATCGTGCCGATACTCTCGATCCAGCACTTCTTCGACCTGGTCGTCTCGATCGTAAAATCGAGTTCCCTTTGCCCGATAGGCGTCAGAAACGGCTTATCTTCTCAACGATCACAGCTAAGATGAACCTCAGCGATGAGGTCGACCTTGAGGATTACGTCGCTAGACCGGACAGGGTTTCCGGCGCTGATATTAATGCTATCTGCCAGGTAAGACTTGGTTAATAACTGCTGTTATATATATAGGAGTGCGAGGCGCCCTTTAGCACACAGCATAATGATCTAATACTCCAGTTCTGTCATTAATGGGACCCGAACCATACCGGCAATGTACCTGATGATGACTGTGACTATTTAACAGACGTAATATAATCTTTCAATGTTATTTTTCCCCGCTACTAATTTCTTAGCTGTATCGTGTTTATTAATCAAACACTCTACCATGCCTGTTCCTTTTATTTTTTTGGCAGGAAAGCGGAATGCACGCTGTTCGAGAAAACCGGTACGTTGTACTGCCGAAGGACTTTGAAAAGGCTTACAAGAATAACACGAAAAAAGATGAAAGCGAACATGAATTTTACAAATAAGATCAGCAACAACAACAAAGTAACGTGTTTCAACAATTCCATTATACTAGCCCCTTATCAAAAACCACCACAACATTAAACAGTGACAGAAGAACCTGTCAAACATAGCAAAGATACTAAGGAATAAATATATAGTCAATAAAAGGAATAAAATGTGAGGTCTACAACACACTGACGGACTGACTGGATTTTAATTGAATGCTAAATCAATTTACAAAGAGCTGAATATGTGAGAGGGAAGCGTGTTGTTAAGGGCAATGACGACAAAAAATAAAAGATTAATTAATAAGAATAATTAACGCAGAAGAAATAAGCATATTCTGCTCTATTACAGACCACCTATCACCTTCAGGTAAACACCGGGCACAAGGGCACAAATATGAAAAACTTGTATTCGATATTTGTCAAAAATAAATTTGACCAGAGAATACGACTGAAATATGAATCACGTACCATTGGTCCAGAATATGTCCGATTATATTTATGAGGCTTCTTTGTCAATAATGCGAAAACGCGGAGTAAAGCGGTTAACGTTCAAACTGGAAGGTCGCAACATATTTTTGAAGCTGGTTTTGTGAAAATGTTTGAATTGCTTATTGACTGCGTCTGGCAGTCCTAGTTCGGTTGAGGGACCTTTCACTCCGTTTCTGTAAGGTCGGTAATAAATCTACACTTTCCGAAATACTTAGGAAAAATCATGTTTGATTAGACAAGCAAGATAGTTTTTTTGGTATCTTCTATCGTACCTTCAACTGCTTCATTAGAAATCGTTTGCTTTTTGCTCTGATAATTTAACATGATATTATTACAAGCTGCGGTCAAAAACAGTGTCATTTTAGTAACTTCGCATTTTCTTAAGAACATGAATCAGCTTGTTAATTTAGGGATTTGCATGTAAGCATACCTAGACGATTTTTAAACAAACAGAGATAATCATCACACTTGACGGCTTAGACCAAGGGTTTCGGTTTTTTTGGAATCACACACCTGTTGTAGATCCAAATTATCATTGGGTCGTCTAACAAATGCTCAATAACGTACCTTTCTTTTTTAATTTATTTAGTAATTAATGTTATAACTAATCCTTAATAATTAGCCGAGATATGTAGCCAATAATTGCAGCCTATGTAAGCAATGGGTAGTTTACGCCATATCAATAGTGGGCTCACCTTAAACACGGTTGATTCAAGAAAATAGTACTTCATTCAAAAGGTATCCCGTAGTATAGAACTCGCAGCATTTGTTAACTCAATCTGCTGGGATATATTGGATTTGAGAGTATGAAACGAAGACAATACTATGTGGCAGTTTTTATACAGTTCATTAGCTTGTTGTATTTATTAGTTTATTATTAGATTACGTTATCAACCATTTTTATTATTTAAATCATATTTGCTAATAACTTTTAAAATGTATTTCTTCTCTCTTACTTGTTTTGGAAAATCTGTAGTTTATAGACATCTTTTGAAAACATCCTGCCTTAATGTACTTTGAAAATCAGTTAAATTTAATGGCGTAGTATTAGTATGTAGGACGTGTCAAAAAGGCGAACGTTGACCATCAAGCCTCGATTTATAATAGTTCCAGCTTTTTTTTTTAACTAAAATCGTGGTGCCTTATGGTATCTAGAAGAAAAAAGCCATCAGAGTTGAACTTTGGTCATATTACTATATTTGAAGCCGAAATGACCGTTAGACCTTTCTGCTAAGCACTATCGTCGTGGAATTTTCAGTTACTCTTATGTACCTTTTGTAGTGCACTCTCGAGTGCTGCAATTAAATCTCAAGGTACTATGGGCACCTATGGACTCAGCTTTTATATGATGTATCTATACCCGACATGATGGAAACAACCCAGTGAAGTTTATATATATATATATATATATAGGTTACTCTTTTTATTTTTATTCAAAGTTTATGAATATATTTTATCGTCAGTTTTTCCTTTCTTTCTATTTCTATTAAAAAGAAAAAAAGATGGAAAGCAATTACATTTCATCATCATGAATATTTTTTAGTTTATTTTTTCGTTCATTCCTCGGCTATTTTTATTTCATATAAAATTTCTAGTAATTGTAATATTATCCGTTTATTTTAGTTGCATTTTCCTGTGTCATCATATGTTGTGTGTTTTCTCATCGCATATATATTCTGCCATCACAGCTATTTATCATTTGTCCTCGGCGCTCCTTTATCGCCGCCAGAGAGCAGACAGCGTGCTAACATAAGCATGACATTAATAGTTATATCTTTGATATCTATATTGTATGCAAAAGTATATATAATATATGTGAATATCGTGGGAGTAGAGATAGTAATGTCGAAAAGTCTTCCACTTGAATCATTCCTAATAGCCTAATTTTTAATTTTATGTCTAGCATTGCGTTTGTAATGCATCCGGAGGCTGATGAAGCAACAAGAAACAAACATGTTCTTTTAGTAATTCGAATTAAGAATTCATATAAGATACGTAGGCAGACATGTGGACACTGCATAATCATGGTGGACTGCCATTAAAGGTTCTCGCCCCCTAGCCTTTTGTAATAGGTAAGCTTGCAGCAGGGAACTCGCGGTGGCGCATTCCTAACAGAATTAGACCGAAAGTTTCCAGAGCTTACTACCATGAATTTATGTTGCAGTTAGTATAAGAGCTCATTATTTGCCGCCACAATCGCGGACTACAAGAACGACACGTTCGGATCAACAAATCACGTTTAGTAACATAAGTCCATAAAATATTTGAAAATTCATTAAAAATTCACGGTGCCTAAACTATGCCACGGGCAGTAAGTGAAATGATCATTCTGCTATAATATTAGAGCGGCTGAAAATTTCTGGTGTACTATCAGCTGTGTAGGTACAGGTGAGGTCAACATTTTCTCACGAGTTTGCCTAACTTCCATTAAATTTCATATTTCGTCACCGCTTAGTAACTCTTGAGTTTCTTCGTTGCGCGCAATCGGTCACTGTTTGTATATGGGTACATATAGCTGCAGATACAACGCCTTCCAACGCTGCACGTAGATATTCGTCTATTGGGCAGCTCATCTCCAAGATACCCAAGTGTGATCTGCTTTTGTTGTTGATTTTGTAACAATGATTTCTGAGGATTTTTTTTTTGATCATTCAGTCGTCTCCCTTTCTCTGGACGTCCCACTCACACATACTCTAACATGTATTCTATGTGAATAACTATCGCTATCATTTCGAATATAAATAATAGTCCAGATATATCTTTAATATAGGCAACTATGTGTGGTAAGTCACAAATAATTATGCTATAGTGCGAATTCTATCATACTTATCTCTATCAATAATACGCACGCTACCCTCCAGTTCTCTACTGTAAGCTACTGTGGCTTCATCTTCTGTTATTACTACTTAAATTTTATTTGCTGCAGCACGCGCTGTTCAGCACCGCAATAAATAGTAAATAGCTGTGAAAAACCGTATTATGGCTTCAAATTTCACTTTACATACCGGGTTGCAAGTTCTTGTGTAGATGGCAGCAACCGATGATAGTCGACCACCATTTGGACAAAAGTATAGTGCAGATTTATATATGTATATAGCCTACATGCCTCCGTGTCAATTGTGCTAAAATTGCCGTGTGTTTTCGTATATAATGTCAGCTATGCTAAAATCTCCGCACGATTTTTAGATATTTAGGTTCAATATATTGTATAATGTGTTCCGTATAATGTTTACCGATGTCAATGAATTCTTCGTGCTCTTTGGTTACCTGATTTTATCTGAACCTTCCATTTCAATATTAGTGAATATTATCTTGTAGATATTTGACAGTACGAAGATAATAAATGACCTGACGTAGATGAAATAAATTATGTAAGTGAGACTAAAACGAAAGGTTTAACAAACGTCTCCAAAGACCACGGCCCAGAGAGTATCCATTCATTCTGCATCTTTCTTTATGTATTGGGTGACTAATCTTGCCGGTCAACTTTTTCGACTAACACTTAAATAACCTGCTTAGCTTAAAAGTTCATCGTGAAATCCTTTTTTACTAATAATTACGCTATTACATATACTTGCTAGACAGAAAGTTAAACGCCTCCACATTACAGCGAACGCTTGTAACGAGTTCTATGATATAGATGTCGAAACACTAGCTCACATAATCGGTCTAGCATTGCGTCCAAGTGAACGTTTACCTTGGTATATAATCGAATGAGCAATATTGATTACCACGAAATTCGCGGCAGAACATCCTACGCTTATAGAGAATTAACCATCATTACCACTAGAATATTCAAGCTTTTAACACTCGTATGACGACCTAGCTATACTACACATGATGCGATTCGATTTGACCTTAGCATCCATTGTTTTTATTCAATAGGGTGAACAGCGCTCTACTCGAGACAACTGTTGCATTTGTACATGACTGATGAATTGGTTGAACCTTAAGAAATTATGTCAACGCGATAACTGGCCTTCGTCCCTCTTTCGTATAAAGACATTGTTGTCATTTGCAGAAACTGAGAAGACATCTATTGAACATCTACTGAGGACATTTATCTCTAGTGAAAAAGAAGTCTATTGAATATTCGCGTCCAGCTTAATTTTGTTAGTGGTTTTATCCTTTTGCGTGACCAAGTGCTGTTAATAACCTCTCCGTTGTGTGCGTTAACAAGATTTCGTGAAGCACGAACGCCGTAGTTTTGATCGCAGAGACTATTTTCAAGAAGTGTCCCGCTACTCACACAGGAATTTGCTGTGGAATATTTGTGGAAAGATTAAGACAATGATAACTAACAATTTTACGGAGTCACGCGAACCTCGTTGCATTTTTCCACTTCTCGTCTTTTTTAGTATCAATGGCATAAAAATTTTTTCACTAAACATGTTGGACCTCACAACTAGCGACTAACTGATTCTATTTAAGTATCTGTTAAATTAAAACCGAATAAAAATCTAGTGAATTTTTATCTCAAGACCATGTATTGTTTATATTGAGGTTTAATCTGTCGCTCACGAGACCCTGAGTTTGGACAGGACAACAAACGATTCATCTTGTCGTAGATTTTCCCACGAACAATATTATTATTCACTTGACAGGTATTATTTCTGATCTAACTTACAGTAACGTGCTGATAGAGTTTGCACATACAATAATATTACAGCATTATCGCTGCTATTTAGCCCCCACCTGTATGCTAGTTTTTCTTTCTACAATTCACTTTCCGCGCATCGCCCGAAATATAATCATTTGTCTTTCTCCTAAAACAGCAACATTTTGTACACGTTATATTTAGCGGCGATTGTGTGTCGTGTTTGCTTGTCTGTGCAGACGCTTTGGTGCATCTTCTCATTACTGCAACTATTAATTATTTAGAGTGCTTTTTCAATAGCTTTTTGAAAATGCCCGTAGCGTTTTCGTTGATCGCCAAACGATATCTGCAGGCAACATTTCTCTCCTTCCTTGTTTTACGGAGTAGTAACTGTATTAAATTTAGCAAATTTCGGCTTCATAAACAATGAACGAAGAAACCAAATCCATCGGTACACGGGCCCGTCGGCGGAGGGAAGACAGTCGGATTATTTCTATCGATGTTTGTCTCATCATTTGCAATAGGCCGTGCCAACAAGATTCCTTTCCTATTTTACATGTGAACAATCCTCTCCCCACGATCTGTGGATTGGATTGAACCCATCTCTACGTTCTGGCGATTCGCTATGATTCATTCTATAACGACGACTTGTGTGCTGACATCATTTCTAGTTATGTCTGTCTCGCACGTTATTGGTCTTGTTGAACATAGGGCAAAAACTAAAACGGTGCTTTAACGCCTGTGTCCCCGTGAAGTACCTCCACAGACAGATGGGTACGCATACCAGACGCGATAGTTTTCCTTTTATCGATGATATTCTCTTGCTCTGTTCGAGTCCTCAGGTACGAGGAATTTCAATTACGTAAACCCCGCCAATAGCGTTGTCGCCTATGCCCTTTAACGCACGCGTAATGATCATAAATATGACCGTCATAGCGGGTGGTACCAATGTTCGTAATGAGGAAGAATAACGTATCGTAAACCCATAAAAAAAGGGGTCAAATATAAATGAAATAAAAGTGAATATCTTATTCCATTACTACTGGTTTTGGTACATGGTAACAAAGAATAATTCGTTGCATTTGTTTTGAAAATCTGTATTCGATGTTTTTCACCAAGACAAAACAAGAGCATTAGGACTGCTGCTTAACGAAGGAGTTCGTTCCAAACAAATTCTTGCTTCATATATGACGTTGATGTACGTTGCTCAGTACAATATATTCTGAATTCTGATTCTAGTCAATGTTTTTTTTTGTTGACTGTGGTGAACGGCATGCACTGTGTTCTTCTGATTGCCGAATTGCCGGCAGATTCGCTAACTTCACGATGCTTAATTAGTCCCGCTCTACCACGCTCATTTACGTCATCAGGCGCTGTTCTACTTGCGTACCATCTCAATGTGCCTGCGCTGCCCATATTTTTTTCGCTGTTCACACTTTTGTCTTTTATTTCTTTCTGTCGTTTAAGAGATATTTATACTTGTCTTTTATTTCTTTCTGTCGTTAAGAGATATTTATACTTTGCAGTCTGCAAGAATCGGCGGTATGGCCTTTTTTGTTTGTATATATATATATATATATATATATATATATATATATATATTATATATATATGTATATATATATATATATATATACATATATATATATACATATATATATGTTGAGTACTTTTATCGCTTTTGTTTCTGCTGTTTCTAATAATCATACAAACTTCATAGCATAAGAGTAATGATAATGCAAATACGATAACGAATACGACAAATCATATTATTCATCCATGTCAATGTCATCATCACCGTCTTTCATGTTTCCCATCCTTTCACGCATTTTTCGGACGGCCTCAAACTCGTTGTAGTGTTTGCGGCGTTTCTCCTCAAAGGACTTTCTTCGAATCTGCAATAGAAAGAAAATACGGTAAGTTAGTGCGATTATTATTACCATTCGATGGGACTAAGCAGGTTAAACACACGATAAATACCTAGTGCGTCCAAGCCCTTCACATTCATCATGCAAGTGCAGAGGTGTTAGAAAATAAATCCAAGCCCTTCATATTCATCATACAAGTGCAGAGGTGTTAAAAATAAATTTAACTATTGTCTGGGTTTTTATACCAATGGTAGGATTTGTAAATAATCCTCGAATCTTCCCTGCACTCTCAGTATAAATGAATTCCGTTGAAAGCTAACCGTTTTAAAGTGACCTTCCCTTAAAGTGATCGCGCTGGTTATTAAATGTAAAAAAAACAATCAGAATACTAATAATTGACGCATTTAATCTCATATGTACAGCTCAAGACCGTTCGTAAAGAACGCATTTAAGTTAAATGTGGTACCTTCTAAGTCGCATATGCACAACATTGCAATTAAATTTTACATTTAGTAATAGTTAAGCATTGCGTGTCAGACCGCTGGGCTCTTCAAGCACGAAACCAAGAATCTACGTCCGGTTCCAAACCAGACCCGAAACCGGATGTTTAGTAGCCAAACGCGTCGATACTCTGTCATTACGCGAATGCTCACAACAAAATTGTCCTCAAAATGCTTAGCCTTGGCGGAAACAACGAGAAGGGAAAAAAAATCAAAAGTACTTACACGCTCCGCTTCGGTGAGCATTTCGTCTGGCGTGTCCCGGTCAATGGGCGAGCGGGGTCGTTCAGCATCGCCCAACTTTTCCGCCAACTCCTGCAAGAAATTATGTGTTACCAAAAATTGGATGTCGTTACCATTACGAATATCTGATGCTTGAGTTAAGTTAATTATGATCCAAATTGCATACTCCTATAAATAATAATAATAATAGGTTCTCAGGTTCATAGTACCACCGCTCAAGACATATAGAATAGAAAAGCGATAAATGCAAAAATTGTAATTGCTCACAAAGCGAGTTCGCGGAACGCTCCCATTGGTACTCATGAATAAAGGTCAAGCTTGTCCACGATATGTCTTTAATCGAATGCCTTTGTCTTTCGCTTATCAGTCCGACCTATAAGACACATGCCTCTGCCCCATAAGCAACGGAGACGCGGCGACGGTTGGTCGTTATCGCAAACTATGCATTTTATTCATACGGCCACTAACGGCCTTTACGCTTCAGCTAGAAAATACCTCGTTATTTTTTGGTAACGCTCAGTAAATATACGCTTTGAGGCCAGATTGGTCGTGCTTCACCTTTCCGTTCGGATCCAGAATTTATTAGTTGTGAGGTTTTCAGCCGATAGATACCGCTGATATAAAAGGTTACGACTTTTTTCTTTTGCTTTGTTTTCTTGATTTGAAAACACGGACCGATAATTTGTTGAAATAAAACACCATTTTTATCTTAATGGTTATGTAGGTGAAAACAATGATTTTTATTGATAATAGAGTTTCTAAGAAAGAAATACGTTATCTGTTAAGCAGACAATAAGTAGTTACGTATTGCGATAATGTAAGAATATATAGACAATTATTGTATATATCATTTTTAGGTTAAATTATTATTTTATTTGTTAGAATGTAAATATACACCTTAAACGTCTTAAATATTTTGCATGAAGTTTTACGTCGGATTCCGGCGTTAAACTTAGCTTTATATCAATGTCAAACTCTAGTCCACACAACGTTGTTTACAACGTTGCCTGACTGACCTACAATCTATATAACGTGTGCCCGTGATCTGTCGACTATGATCACCTAGTATGCACGAAAAAATGACAGCATATCGATATGGGGAAGTGAACTACAGTGAACAGATTAAGCATCTTTCTTATTGCATCCTTTCCAGTGTATTCGAAACGCCACCGATATCAAGGAAAATGAACGAAAGGAAGACTAATATAACAAATGACAATATGTCCTTGCCCTCACGTTGACCTTGCCCCTCTAGTATCTCGTGCCAACTCCGCTGGTAAGCGAGTTATCACTATCAGACAAGTCCACTCTTGAAGTTACTACTTGTTTTTGTATTCTTAGCCTTGACAGCTCTCTCAAAGTATTACTGCGACAGCTATTTCCACAGTCCCTTCTGACTACGTTGCACGATAGATATTGACCTTACGGCAGGTCAATATCGGCCTATCGCTATTGAATCTCCTGTTATCCCTCTATCGTCTAAATGGCACGCCAGCCTTCACTGAACACCGTGACTCTGCTACGGCTAGCACTGCTGCTATTGTTAGTGTAGTCTTTGATGCTATTGGTGTCTAAATAACCTACAGGGCACTCAAGCTGCGCCATCAGGTAACTGGTCCGTGCTCCTCCGTTCGAGATCGCTTCGAAGCCTACTTGAAGCTGCCCGCTAAGGATGATGTCACATCTCGGGTTACGCCGGTTAATTCACTTCCGTCCGAAACCGCTGGAAGATGCTGCAACCGCTAAGCTACTGCTAATCATAGGTAACCATGACTAGCCATTGATAGCTGGCCATCTTGCCTACAACGTATTCAAAGTAGCTGGCAACTTGCACGATCACACATCGACCATATATTGTTCGGACGCAAGGACATGTACATACAAGGATGATCCACTATGGCCTATGATCAACAGCCATAATGATTCACCGTTCCCTAGTGACGGGGCAGAATTCGATGAACACGGACAGTTTTACATAAACAGTTGCCAGTGGTGATGCGTAGTAATGATAGAATTATGGCGGGAGTAATGACGGCAACAACTGTAGGAGGCGACTGCAGAGTTGAAGTTCGCCACGACAAAATAAAGCTAATGAGTTCGAATGAGAATGAGATCGAAGAAAGCGTTCAGTTTTTCGGTCGTTTATATTCTGCAGTATCTCTTGTTATACCTTACTTGTACGTGTACGAATTTAATGGATAACGAAATACGTATGAATATGTCAATACAAGAAGAAAAACGCGATTCCAGAATATGGTAGTGTGGTTCTTACTACCATACTGGTTATAACAGTAACCGATAATAGTATTATCGATTCCTCTCACTGTAAACTGCTGTCTCTCGGTAGCTATTATGTCGGTGATGACTAACTAAGTAGAGAATCCAAAATCACTAGTAAATGAAAAGATAAACATAGCACTTTATTATTGTTCCACGTGGGAAAAAACCCTTGCATTTCATAATGACAGAGCGGTGACATATTTTTGTTATGATTAAAGATGTGAGTAACCTATTGAGCTTGAATTGAAGCTCAAAAAAACAACTAACGATCGTCACGACCACTCGAGACTGATGTGGCACACGCGAGGGCTTCTTGTAACGAAACTGTCGTCAACCGTAGCGTGCCTGCCGATCCAGTAGCTGGTCGTCTGGGCTCTGGATTTTCATTGCCGTTTACGAAAGCATAATTTACGCAAACTGCTTAACAGGCTACATGTACAGTACCGAAGGCTGCAAAAGCAGTATAGCCAAATCTTTTTTATCTATGTAAAAACAACAAACTCGAAATAGAAGTCGATGCAATTGGCACTTCAGACAGAGTAGGTTAACCCAGCGAATGTTGGGAGTAGCCGGCGCATCCTTACCGGATTTCCCGAGTTTATGGCGAGAACGCACGTGTATTGATGCCGGACATGTACAGCTTTCGTAACTAAGATGAGAATCTAACGTATAAGGTTTGTGCCGGCACTAAAAAACAAACTATGACGCTGTATCGATCGATTCATATTGCATAAATGTCATAGCGAGTTGCTACGAAGTTCACCGCGGAGATCGAGGAAGAAATCTTATAGATACAATGACAGCTATAGACAACAGTTTCAAAAATATATCTTAAGGGTATGGCACGCGAGATGCCATCCAACGAGAGATACATAGCTTGTTAGTGATTTGGGCGCAGCAGCTGAAATGTAGCCGAGATCCTTAAGTCAGGAATTCCCTAAGCAGGTACAGCCGCTTTAGGAGTATCATACAATAAATAAGCAATTAAGAGCGGCTTAATTTCGTGAAAGGTCAGCATAGCAGCATAGTTCTAGCATAATAATAAAATCAAGCTTCCAAAGTGCAAACTCTTACAACGGTTTTAAAACTTTGACTCTGTTGTGTTTTTCAGAGAATCACAATAAACAAAAGACAATTTAGGAAAAATGAAAAAAACGTTAGCTTTCATTTCAAGCAGCATCCGTTTATAAAATTTTTCCGTATATAAAATTTTTGAAAACCCATTTGTTCTTTCCTAACTCGAGACTAATTAAAAGCTTGCATCTCAGTTTACTGCAGGCCTAATTTTGTCATCCCTTGCGCAAACACATTTAATAATTAGCAAAGTTAAATGTCAATTAAATGTGCCCTATAAATAAGGCTCATGGACTTTATCGGGTGTTTACGTTCCTCTGAATCAATTCCAAGGTTATTTATCACCTTCAAGGGTATCTAAAAGCCCTTTGCTATTTAAATCAAATGAAACGTAACGAACAATTACAAAATGCTTGAAGCATGATCATCATAACCAACCCAAGACCTATGTACACGTCTTATCATGCGTCTCTGGCTTGCTAGAGCCTTCAGCCTATGTCGATTAGCAGATTAGTTTCGACTCTTCCTGGCAGGCCTCCCTGGCGGTCAAATAAAGACGTGCAAACTACGATGGCACCACAGTTCAATAAAAAAGGTTCGTCTATTTTGCAAAAGTATAATGCTCAAGCCTTCATAAGTCTTCAGCGACTCGTGGTAAGGCGAAGAGAAACCACCAAATGAGATCTGATTGAAGGTACCGTGGTGAATCATGACATTTACCAAAAACTAACTCGGCAGTTGATAAAAAGTGATCGCAGTCTGAGAGATCTGCCGAATTCGAGTTCTTTATGCCTCTCAAAGCATTTATTTTCATTCGACATTTTTCTATTTTTGTCTTTTTTTTTTCTCTTTTTTTCTTTATAAAAGTAACAATTATTTTGTGATCAGTTGAGTTTTTTTAAATTCTACCACTGAAAATTAAAACGTTCGGTTGCTTTTGTGCTGGTGCGTGTCTGTCATCGCTGCGAGGGTAATGCCGGCATGATGAAGCCGTCGAGATTTTTTTGTGTTTCACGGACGATTACCTACCTCAAGCCCGGCTAGGGACGCTCTCTGTTTTGAACCAACTGACACTAAATTAATCTGCAAATATTTTCGTTGAGTGTTCTGCTAAGAATTTAAGAGATGAAAATACTTTCTCTACAATAAATGCGACGGTTTGTCTCGACGAAAAAGAAATGACACTCATTAGATTAATGGTTCCCAACTGTGATCTTCCTAACTGCCGATACCAGGCAGTATTCTCAACCATACTGACGGCTCCGCATGATACTGCAGGAAAAAGTACATTCAAACCAGTTGGTGAAATTAACATTGTCATCACTGTTATTACACTAAGATCCAGAAGTTTGTCATTCTGCTTTAAAAATCGATTGTTACTTAGCTCCGGTTGTCAAGTTGGCTGGCTCATAAAAACAAACAAAACTGATCTACAGGCCGATGTTTCTATTTACCACAGCCTCTTTCTTGCCGGTTCAAACTCACTTGGCTCTCAGTTTTCAGTGTTCGTTCCATCCCGCGTCCACTCCCCATGCGCATCAATGTTCGATATGCGACAGTAAACCGTTATCCTTTACCAATATATAAATCGATTCTCGAAATAGTACGCTACCCGTAGGGACGGTCACCGCACTATTATTGCTATATACCTCTAGAGGGTGCTGTAAGATATTGCATCGTTTTGGCCAGGCAACATTTAGTTATTGCAGAAAGAAAGGCTTAACAGATGATCTCAGCCTTCTTTTCTGTGCTTGCTGGACTCCGATTTTTTCTATAGGTTCTGTGGGCCCTCCTGGGGCCTGCGTATTTTGCTATATCTTTCGTCGGAATCAGAGTAATGGTCGAAAAAAAAGCAACAACAACAACTGCACGATACCAATCAAGTGATGAACACACCTTGACAGAGAGTCCAAACCTGTAATATATTATACTGATTTAGTCTAGTTGACTATTTTCAACCGGTGGTTTTTTACTCTACCAATTTACACGACTAGCTCAGCAGTAACGGCATCGCCAATTATTTCTCAAGGTCTTTCCCGTTTAAGCGTCGTAGATGTTTATCGTTAGACGTCACCAGCCAACGCGCGGTATTGGCAACATGAGAGATAAACGGACGGCCTGTTTGTTTGTCTATGCGACACACTTGACGCTTGGAGACAACTGGACGAGAAAACGACTATAGCACTAAGAAAGCATCAGGTAGATTCCCGACGCGCCGGGTCTATGGCCGACATTTAGCAAAAACGTATCGTGCATCGAACTGGTTGACCATCTATTGATTAGAATAGCGGCTGTTTGCTTACAGCGCGTGCCGGATAACGTGAACTTTCTTCAACGTGTAGAGAGTAGAGTGTTTGCACGAGAACCGGCTCGTCGCAACATATATCCACTTATGTAAATCGGCCAGATCTAACAACTATCTCTGGAATGAAGTCTCAAGCACCATTGTTGGAAGTAGGAGAATAAACTTTGTGTCACATTTGTCATCTGGCTGATGTATTTCGTTGACGATGTTCACGAAGAAACAATTGCTCGTGATTGAATTTTTTGTTTTTCTTGTCTTTCATACGACTCTACTGCACCACACTAAACAATAGGAGGATTATATATTATAATATGTAATCCTCCAGGCACAGTCTTATCATTACAAGGTTGTGCCTGAGGTGCGAGAAATTTATAAAGGTTGGCGCAAGGAGATGTCTGCAGCAGGCTGTATTCTTCTGTTCGATTGTCTTACGCAAAAAAAATACGTATGAAGGGGAAGCGATGTTGAACTTATGGTAACATTGTATCATGGGGGAGAAACGAATTAGGAGAATTTTATTTTTTCTCGCGCTTTTGCAAAGAAGAAATGTGCTAAACCTGCTTTATTATTTAAAGCTAGGTGCACACTACTGTTTGGATACATTAAACGAAGGCTTTTGGTTGACTTAAAATTTTAAAAACAAGTTTAAAAGACTTACCTGAAGTTCACAAAAGCCAGCCTGTATAGTATTCTCTAAGTGGAGTGTTTTTTTTTTTCTATCTTTTAACAGGAAACATAGGCAAAAAAAGATACAAGCAATTAGACGGCTCAAGATTTTTCTCTTCCCAACAATTTACTCGACACAGCACAAACGCCTCCACTAAGACGTCAACGAGTTTCTACGACAACCAAACTGTCACTGTCGCCTGTTGTTAAGGCAGCCGTAGTTTCTGTTATTGTTGTCGAATAGTAATTTTTACTTGATATGCTTATTCATCGCCTTGTTTTTGTTGATTGATCATTAACGTGACGAATGACTTTTTAGCCTTGTTTCGTTTGAGACGACGTGCATAAGCTTTGTCGCTGCAAGGTCCATGGCGGCTGGTACACTTCGGATACACTTCAAAGGCAGACGCGAAGAATGCAATGATCAATGCGGTCAATATAATTGTGTACTGAGTGGATACGATAGGACCGAGAAAACACACTCACTAATGATACAGTACGTTGCAACAAATTAAAGGCAACTCTCAAAGAACTTCCCGTTGAGTTTTCACCTCCTCTCCTCCTCAGCGACATCGGTTGCGATGCGCGATACACATAAGTATTTGAGACATTTGCTGTCATGTGCGCATTTTGTATATTATAAAGGGACCTGGGATGCAATCAGCCAGATAAGGTTCCAGTTCGCGCATTACAAAGCAACTGCAAAACCCTGGATGCGATCAAGAACGTATGTAACGATTTAATTGTAATAAGCAAACAGTCAATAGTAGTTTAAGGCGGATAAGTAAACGACAGTAGCTTTTGATATTAGTACAGATCCTATTTTTGACTGTTTAATAAATGTTTTGACTTCTGTGGCAAAGACTGAGTCAGTTAACAGATATTCAGCACGAAATAAATGTAGGTATTCTAAGACTTGAAATCACCAATAACCATAGATACTTCTGAGGGTAGCAGACGAATACGAAGACTTCATTTCGAATTATACGTAATGTAATATTGGAAAAAGATATAAAATATCAGGTCTTCGAGACCAAGCGGTCATCCACGAAGTTAATTAAAAATTGTTAGGAGAATGCTATGCGATACTTTTTATGCTGCTTTAGAATAAAAACATATTAAGGCAAAAAATGAGTCCTTACAAAAAAAAATTACAAAAACTGAGTGTGCTTTCAGCCATGTACTGTATACCGACAGCATGACGCTCGAAAGGTTCTTAGAACTGTCACACGAAGCAGACACGTGGCTCAGCAAGGTTAGCCATGACACAAAATGGATGAAGGTGATATAAAAGTCCTTGGATAGCAGACGCCATTGTGAGATCATTCATCGGGTACGATAAAGACTGAGGGGTGCCGTTTTTGAACGACCAATTTCCAGGAGGGTGATGGCATAAAGGTGTGCCTATTGGTGCCCGTTCTACTTGAATCAACACATGATAAGATAGCGCTCGATGTTATTAGCAGTAATAAGTGCGTTCATCTGTAAAAATTAACATATGTGACAGGTATCTCGAAAAGCAAGGACAACTATTCAATTTGTTGAAATTTTATCGTGATCTAGATGCCACGTTTGCAAGAAGTGCTATCTTGAAGATCGACGATACAGGCATCCAGCGAGATGTCTCTTTTGGTTTGCGAAATGGAGATCTGTAATGATCGGCTTGACATTACTAAACACTATTTGTACAGCGTATACTTAAAAAGGCAAGTATTTTTTGAAAAAATAACTGTTTAAAATCCAAAAATGTCACTTTCCATTCCACAGGCATCGTTCGCGTCTCTAAAACGAAATGTTTCAAACACTCTGAATTCTTTTACCTTATCGTCTAATTATTGAAGCAACAAAATAGATAGTTTGCCTACCTCAAGATCGATGGCTTCATGTCTGGCAACAATCTCTTCATCAGTCTCATCCGCTTCGTACGAGTAGGGCGTTTTCGGCTCCTCGATCTTCATGTGACCGTAGTCTTTGTCAGCGGGGTGATACGTTGCTAAAATGTTCTGTTCATCCCATTTAATATCCTGCGTGCTCCTGTAGTAAAAATAGACAATCAAAATTACTACTTACATCCTTTGCTACTATAACCATAGCCATACATAGTTCCATTACGTACATTCCATACGCCCACGAGTGGCCTTAATCGACAAGTGGGCTTGCTTGTACTATCTGCTTTCTTTATTGTAGTGTACAAATTCATAACAGGTACCGTAGTTGGTGTTAATAATAATAATAAAGATTCGTGACATTTCTAAAAGTAGTGTAGGTTAAAACACATCTAATTAGCCAGACGGGTTGAGCTTGGGATGCCTTTGCTACTCCTTTATGAGTTTAATGTGCTAGATCCTTAGATATCCCTAGAGATAGAAGCCCGTCTTTCGTCATGGTTTCTTCTGTATTTTTTTTTTTTTTACAGTAAGACATGTTTGACTAAGAGTAACAGAGATGTGTACACAGCATTTGTTTGTACGAGCTATTAATTCATCAAACCCATCGCGTACCCCATCGGGAAGCATGTGCACCTCTACCAATTACTAATTAAACGGCACATACTATTCACTTCGCAACCGTTTCGTGTTGCCACACTGGGACGGCTCCGGTTTAGCGAATGCGCAATCATTTTACTGCTGCAAGTGTCACTCGCGGGAGCTGGCAGTTATCTCTTCTGCAACAGATGTGGATAACAAGTCGGAAGTTCGATTGCACATTACGCTACCATTCATTTTCTATTTACGACATATTCTAAAACTAGCAAAAGTACTTGATAATGGAAGTATTTTTCGGTCCGTAGCATGAAAAGAAAATGTAATTTCACGTTCGATTCCTTCCTCTAAGAACGCAATTGAGCAGGTTTCAGTTTAGTTACGTAGGACTAACGTCATCATGCCACGTTAAACGGCGGAGAGCGGAGCGGTACTGCCATTGTCAGCACATTAGCGCAGATAAACCTCAAGGCTTGCTTCCTGCAGGACCTATAGCGTGCTTAATAACGACAAATGCGAAGGAGCGCGGAAAAGGCGCAGCGGCTCTTTTTTTGAATGTTCCAATCATGGCTTACCAGGAAGAGTTTGCCAGCAGACGCACAAAGGGATTTGGCTCCCTGTCTATGGATGCGACCTTTGTAGATCGCTACTATTATGCTTTTATATATACGCTAATGTGACATAATAATAATAATGAAATTTGAATCGTAACCCTTAGTCCATGAGTTATAAGTCGCACATAATCATTGTACCAATTTACACAGGCAGGTATGTTTTCCTAAGCGTAAAGCCACTTTTATTGTTCTAGCGGATCGATTCTGCATTAAATATTCATTATCTACCATATGGTAATTATCAAACAATCAGTTAGCGAATTTACATTAACCAACTGGAGCTGTGTTTGTTGTCTCAGATGACATTGTTAAACAGCGCAACGAGAACTTGGTCTACCTAATGGGGGCACGCTCGCGGGGTAAATTTGTTCAGAGGTAGTACCCCCACAACAATTTAATCACATAAAAATGCGTATTTTTGGCTGACTTATTCAGACTAAGCAGACACATACATGAGATTTTTGTAAAATTCAGCTCAACGTGTACTACAACGAGAATCAAAATTGGTCATTTCTATACCTTTTTGAATGCTCTGTAGAAACGCATTCCGGATTGAACTTTATTTTCGTTTTTGACTTGCGGTTGACATTGTTGTTGATGACACTAAAACATTTTTTTCTTTACTTTTCATCAAGCGGTAAAACTATAAAAAAAAAAAAGGAAATATATTCCATTATATTTCATTTCTATGTTAAAAATATCATGATAGAGAACAATCTAGAAGCGTTTTACATAAAACCGAATGTTGATTAACGCTATGAGGTAGTTGTTCAGACGCAGTTGATCGTATCTGCAGGCCACATTCATTTTCTAGTTATTTTCTCCGACTGTCTGTAAACAAAACAGCCAGAGATTTTCAAAACAGTGGGATTATACATGATTTGACAGACCACTTCCTGAGTAGCTTGGGTACGTCGATCTCGGCTGTTAAGTAAACTGTAAAGTGCCAATCTCGCCCGGTTTACCATGCATGGTTTACGAAAAGAAGCGTGTCTGCGCTGTGTTACAGAGATAAAGAAAGGTAAGCTTTATGAACTTTCGCTTCGCATCCTTAATCGTAAACTGCGGATACAGTTAGAACCATTGTTTCGAGTCCAATACTGCCGCTAACATTGTCTCAGACGGCTACCTTTCAGTATGTGTTGTAATAAAAGAATATATCTGCCTGCACCTGGTTCCGAACTTAGGCCATCTTGAGTAGACAAACATGTTTCTAAACCACGTCACTACTTTAACACAGGGGCTACAGTAATATAAAGCAAGTCATGATCTTCAAGGGTCGTAGGCATCGGACGTAAAAAATAAAAAGTTTATATGAGACATATTATAGAGTAACTCATGATCTGTAGAATCATGGCAAATAATGCATTGTCATTCGGTCTCCTTCTGTATATATTATAGAAACATATGTATCCACTAGCATAATAATCTCATACGTGTATTATCGATTTATGTGCTGTTTACTAAAGGAACGGTGTTAATAAAAGTTTATATTTAAATATCGTTGTCTCACAGTAAATAATCTAGACGTCAAGGAAATGATTTCACAACTAAAATCAAGCGAACGACAAATCTAGAACAAATACCGAACGACAACGACCACTCACTTGACCCAATTTGTTGATCGGTCCTCATTATAATCCGCAATATTTGATAGGTCAACAAGGGTGGAATGGAAGATTAGTGGGTAAGTAACTCAGACTATACAAACGCCAGTTGATTATAAGATAGCTTGGTTTTTTTTATGTCATTTTCTAGGTGCCGCGTTTGGCTGAACCTAAAAACAACACAAAAGAATCGATATCATGTATTATAACGTATTATCAATATTTGCACCTATACAATGCATATTAACGTATAAGGCTGGATATCACTTGTTACAGCGCACAAATACTTTTTGTCTCTTCTCGACGATCGTTTTAATTATTCTTACTCACAATTATCGGAATACAACAAATGACTCCTTTGGTATCACGTATGTCGGAAGTCTTTTACTTATTTGCAGAGTCTGTGCATAAAGAGTGCATGAAAAAAATACGTTCTTACATGAGTAAAATACCGAGAAATTCACAGTGTGTTGGAACGCCACAAGCCTCGACAACTACCAACTGAAAATAGGAGAAGAACCTAGCCTATGGTTGGCCTCTCTATTAACGCGAACTTAGCGCACAGAAGACACTGATCATAACTGTTAGCTGTTTGACTTATAATAAGGCTCTATCCGCGATGAAAAATTAACAACAATAACCGCAACAATAAAGAAGGGCTGTAAATATTCATTTTAATAATAGAATGTGTAATAGCATAGGCACGATGCATTAGGCGCTCCATTAGCACACCAAAACGAATTCATGCCCACAGCGTGTTAAGTTCCCGTGGTGAAGGCGTAAGGGATAGTCATTGTATAATACATGTATAAATGTAGCCGTGTTGATGGATTAACACGTACTTGTTCACATCTGTATCGCGTTACCAATGTTCTTGTTGTTGTCAATGAAAACACAATGGAGCCAATGCCTAGTTAACAGTAAAGGGACAGATACACCTTGCTGCATCGTGTCATCTGCTAGCTGACGGTTTGGTACATCTTGACTGCGCTGTAGGGATCGTGGAAGGCTGAACTCAGACCTCGGATAAGCGCCTTTGTTTTTGTCTCAAGCTGTGAACTGCGCAGACATAACGTGTCCGCGCACGCGAAGGCAACTCGTGACAAACGATAAATAACGGTCAAACCATCAACCACAACGTGACAACATGGTCGCGGCTAGGAGAAATTATGCGGAATCGTCAACATGTCGCACTTAAAACGATGCAACTTAAAATGCGCGGGAACAACGAGACTATACCATAGCTCGTAAAAAGTTAGTTATAGCGAAAACATTGTAAACTTTCATATGATATCCATATCCGGAATATCATACGGAGGTACTTTATCCAGAGGTTTAGAAAAGAGTGTTTGCGTGTACGATACATTTGTTTTAAAGGTGCTTATGTGCGTTAAGCGTTCAACGTTTATGGGCTAAATGTGACAATAAATAAAATAAATGGTATGCCGTATGAAAGCTTTCTAGTCATGGTCTATTTACGTAGTAGGATAAAGATTATCATATAGAGTACGTTAGGAATAAAAGTTTCACTTGCTTTAAGTGAAAGAAATCTTTTTATTTTTAAGCTTCACTTCTTTCACTAAATTAGTATTAGAACATGACAAACAAAGGGTTTTTGAGACCCATCCAATCCGATGTCACCTATTCAACTTCCTACACCACGGGACTTAAAGATACCAAACGACTATTAATTATTATACATTCACTATCTTAAGTTTAGTTACTATTTCCTGTAGAAATGTGCACCATGACGCACAATTAAAATATGACATTATGCTCATTCACCCCGGTGCTGTATAGATCTGAGGTTATATATATATATGTATATGTCTGGCGAGTGAAATCAATGACTGAGCAGACCATTTGTGCCACCGTAATTTTTGTGGTGTGAGATACAGCGGTGTCGTGCAATAGGAATGGTCTACCTTTGCTTGTTAATCTTAATTACTCACTTATTTCCTTTAATTGTTGACAGTAGACCTCAACTATGATCGGTGAACTAGGAATCATGACGCTGTAGTGAATTACACCAACATTAGACTATTAAACGGAGATCATAAGCTTTTTGCAGTTGTACGTTTGCTTTACAATGATGTCACGCCGGTTCAGTTGCGTGCACACCCTCATTCGACCGTCTATAACTGTTGTAAAGGATCTATTATTTTTTTCACAGTTTATTGTTTAATAGGAGAATGAATCAGTGCTGTACTGTGAGAGAAAATAGGAAGTTTTTGGTTTTTGCTCATATCATGCGGCACCCATGTCTACTTTATTAAAGCTAGTAGAGGTATAGTATTTTTACATATACCAAACCAAGTCTTGAGATCGATCAATGATAAAAAAAAGTTCATCTTGTGTATTTACTTTGAGGTGAATCCTGCACTGGTGATACACTTCGTCGAAACACACATCGTTTATCGTTTAGAATTTGTCCAAATGTACGTAAAATTCGCGCGCATTCTCTCTAAGATAACGTAGTAGTGTTGTGACTTGCTATAAAGTCAAACTTTTAGAAACTCATTTTTGAGGTCAAAATTTCTTTCTCTGAATTTTTTGAACCAACTGCTCCCGATGTTTCTAGTAGCAAAATCTTCACGAAATACAAGGTTTATACGGCGGGCTGTTTCCGCCGTTGCAGTTTTCAAGATGGAGCTCATTCATAAAATAGTCGAATCTTCCCAGGCTCGCTACAGTTTGCCCACTAAAAGCCCGAGTCGCGCTATCCGAATAAACGGTGTCAGATTTGAAAGAATAGGAGTGACTGCCGCATCGTTATAAAATATTGTTATCTTAAGATATGGGATTAATTTTTATCATATGTACTTGATTTACTATCATTTCCACTTGCAGCCTTGTATCATTAGCGCACGCGTTGATACACAAACGATACATCATTATCTCTCTTATCGCCTTTAGCCCGCCCTCCATCCATCGCGGCTTTGAGCAGTGCCAACGAATCAAACAAAAGCTATCGGTTACAGTTGTTTCTGCATAGCGGACTCTTCAAAACAACGGTGGACAGACAGCTGCAGCATCTAGAAAAAAGAATTCGCCAGCTGAAAACGATTCAAGCACCACTCAGCAAAATTATCAACGCTACACGATTCACGAGTCGTCAATGCACTGCCTCCGTATTTTCCATCGATGATAATTCATGTTTACCAGCAGATACCTTGAACAACATTTATTCCGGCAATACCCAGCGGGTTTGGTGGTCAGAGCGAAATGCGGCCCGATCGTGGACCAGAGAAATGGATACGTTAACATCCGATACCCTTGTATTTGAATATAAGTTTGATTATGATTACCTTAAGTTAGTCCATTTTTAAATTTCACTACGTCTGCTATATTTTGATCATCAATTTCGTATAGTCAGACGCCCGCAGTCTGTAGTAGTAATCGCTGTGCAAGTATATGGCAGCAGAGGTAATAACAAAAAATACTACTAATTCAAACCATTTATCAACAGGTCATAGAACTGTCAGATATCAGATTCGTGTTACGTTGACGGTAATTGTCTTGTTATCAAAACGCTATTTTCATAAGTGACTTCTACTACTAGAATGGGTGATAGATCTCAATGTATGTCAACTCTTCTTGTGAGCATGTACACGTTGCCGTGTTCTACAATTCCTCAGATCAAGTTGTCAGATCAAGGTCCAGTGATGGTCTTTAAATTAGACTGAACGTCGAGATATTAGCACCCGTGTTCGCTGGCAAATCTCAGCGTTGGCAAAAGGTCACCAGATATTAATTATCAAGAGAATGCCATACCGTCTCCTTGGTCTATTCAAAAAAACCTCGGGAAAGTCCAGCAAAGCTCACTGGGGTTAGCCTCTTAATGGGGAACAAATCCTTAATGCTGTATTTGAAGACTTGCTCACACAAAACGTAAGTGAAAATAATATTAAAAAAGCATGTTTTTCGTTATGATGTTTTTCTTTTAGGGCAAAAAAATGGTGGAATACGCCATTATTTATTTTTTTAATGTGCGTTCCGTAATATTAAGGGTTTAAAGACTATAATTTATTGGTTGTGATATGAACGTGATAACGACGGCCTCACGAGCTACTGTTAAATATGACAAGTAATTTTACGATGACGAGACGTCCAAAAAACTACTAGTACGCTTCGTTTTTCGCTGCGCTTTAGATTGTGGATCGTAACATGTAATGGGAAGTGCCCAGCAATTGTTAGTTATTTATAATGACGAAACGATCGCAGAATTACACTGCGCAATTCGTAAATGTCGATAGGGGTTAACCTGCTATGAAACCACGTATTGGCCTTTTTGTAGTCATGATAATACTAATAATACCAGTAATACCGATAAAAACAGCAGCCCTTGTTCTAATTGTGATTTACTATGACTGGGCTATAGATAATTCGCGGAGAGAATAACAGTAGCTAAAATACGGGAGGAAAATGGCTCGTTTGTCGCGGAGGGAGCGTATAGGTCCGGTTGTGTATGAGATAGCGTTATGCCATCATCTTGGCTTCATAATAGAAAACATTCTCTGCATATGAATCAATTTAATATATTCGAAAGAAAACAACAAAATCAAATTGCGAAAAGCTTGCACATAATCTTACATGACGGTATCTACATAGGTCTCTATTACATGTCCAGAACCAACGAGTCTTGAAAAATAAAATATTCCTTGGTCACCGATGACAATAAATTACACTGCGATATTCCAGGTTCGAGATGCTTGGTTCGGTTTGCTTTTAGATGAAAAGAAAGGGTACATCCATTGTATCTGAAACAGGGCAGGGTACATATCGAAAGGATTAAGGCCTTAAAAACGCTAACCGTGTATCACTTCTCTAGTAACCGATAAAATAGGACGTATTTATTCTTACTTCTACACACGGCCGAAGCGTCTCAGTACCAAAACCCACGCTCAAGAACTATACGGTCCAATGTGTGGTGGGAACCGTATGCAATATACGGGCACGGCAGAACATTATGATATATATATAACCGTTAAAATGGCTGCTTTCTCGGATGTATGCTGGGCCAAGCTGAGGTCCACTGAGATATATGCCTGATATGTTCTTGAACATTCATACACGCAGCATAATTAGGCACCAACCTATTTTAACTCGTACCTAATTTTCCAATGTCCATGACCAACACAAACAACTTTCGACCATTAAATTGATTTCGGAACATCTTGGCGATCATTCAAAAAGATGAGGTAAATTTTTACTGTATTTTGAATCAAACCATGCGCTGCAAGAAATAACGAAATGAAACGCCAAATAGCAGGCGATTGATTGGAATAACGTAAAATGTTTGTTTGATTGAAATAATAATAAATAAACCCTTACCATTTTAACTTTATTTTTCGTACCTTCTTGGATGAACAAGAAAGGAAAATATTTCGATTAATGTCTTGGGACTATTCATCGAATGAAAAACCACAGTGCCGGTTCTAGGAACAATACAGGGAACAATATAAAACAAATTGAATATTCGTGTAATATCAAACTTCAATTTTTTCGACCTTTTTCAGAACATGTTGAAAGCACAAACTTGCATCTTTTTTTTGTGAAAAACAGAAATATATAGAACGAAGTGTGCTTGAAACCCTACCCATACAGAAAATCTCGAGTACGAAAACTCTTAGCCGATTTAAGTGTTCCCCTAGACGTTCCGTCAGATTGGCGATAAATAATGTTATTTTGCTTTGATTGTTCTTTTTATTTATTTATTGGTTCTGCTATTTATCCTGAGCGTTAAAAAGGTTTATGGAAAAGTTAATGGAAAAGCGCTTAAAAACCGAATCTACTGGCTCAATTCTTTGACAAAAAGAAAGAGGCTGTGAATTTCACCTGTTTCAATAGATCTGCTGATGGGAAGCAAACATATACTCATTCTCCGTTTGTTTACAAAATTTACAGTATTCTAGTAACTAGTTTCGAGAAAGTTGGGATTTTTGGCAAATGTTTGACCACAGTTATTTTGAAGCATATTCACCATGCAACTTTTGCTGTGACTGCTTTCGATAGCTTTTACTATAAATAACTAAAAAGCTACAGAAAGGCGTATCAAAGTGTTCCTCGGTTTTGCCTAGCTTAAATTGGTTTTTTTGGTGAAAAAATTTCTTTCTAATAGCTAATTTTCGTCAATATTCGCATAATCAAGTACTGTCCACGACATTTCATGAAAATAAGAACTCGAAATGTAATGTGCTATATACTCAGAAAAGGTTAGCATAACATAGTTATTTGGCATAGGAACCGAGATACGGCCGACACGAGAACCTCTAAAAGTAATTACTTAGTTAAAAACTATGACACATATAAACACTTCTACATACAGCGGTATTGATTTTTGGTCATATACAGGACGGGCAATGAAGGCTGCTATTGTGACCATCCTAGTGGTAAGCACGTTCAACATCAATACGTCAAATATTGGCAAAATTCTAAGAATCAAATCTGTTTGTCGAAAGTCTCTGGGTAGGTAAGAAGCTCCACAATGGTGCAGGCTACACATCGTTTGCCATAGGGAAAAAAATGATTACATTATGATAGCCGCCCAGAGGTAACTAAACTTAACACGATCTGGAACAACGGAAAAAGCATAAAACGTTGCATAATCATAAAACGTGGCACAACGCGGCAATAGGTAATGATTTTTATGTGGAATTTGTTCAGCGCCCTACTGTTATCCCAAAAACTTCACTCAGGTTAAAATCACTGTCAAAATGCGGCCATTCACTAGCAAAAGATAACAGTAAACGTTCGTGTATTAAAAATATTTTGAAAGCCCCTACAAAGCGATTGCTGAGGTGTCTAAAGTATGTGTAAAGTAGGTGAATAACGTAGCGTTACTTATAACAAGTGCTTGAGATTAATAAAACAAAGGCTAAAATAAGAGCAAGGTTGTATCCAGGACATTGAAAAATATCCAAAAAGGTGCAAGAACTGGCTTGAAGGGAACATATCTTATTAGTACATCTAAGTGATATTGCAGTGGTAACGTGTTTCCCTATGCGCTGCGGAGGTGGTCTAAGTCTAAATCTGGGCGTCGGCAACCTTGGAGACTCTCTATTTAGACAAGACTATCATAATGCTAAACGGGGGTACTGACGTCTGTCACAAAAAGGAAAGCTGAGTATCTCTGCTGTGGGAAAATTATGTGGTGATGAGTTGGGCTTCAAGCACAGCATTGTACATCATCTCCTTGGCATCGTGAACCGATGAATCTTGTTGTAGTTAACACGGTAGCATGTACCTTTTTGTGTAACCTCTATAATGTGGAAAAACGGATAGGATGCTTAGATTGTTGGAAATCAAAAGGAGGCAGCCAACAAAAGGATAATGGCTAGTTAACCGAGTTAATAAACGCACGAACCTCTAAATAATGAAATAAAATTTATTAAGTATCACATGATTTTAAAAAGTGAACATTCTGAATCTTGTTATGATGATAAGCAAACCAAAGCCTCAATTAAAATTGTCAAAAACACATAAATCATGGTTATTTGCCGGAGCAATAAATGATATTAAAATTGCAGATATCAGGCTCAACCCGAAGAAATATCGACTGGAATAGGAAGTTCAATGCTGAAGATAAGGTGTGTAATAAAGGATGAGAGCCTAAACGTAGTTATTTTAGTTGTCATAAAAAAGCTAATAGCTGAGGAAAACGTTCGGGGACACACACCGGTTTTGAAATTTGGAGGTCTGTCTACAGCACGCCTTAATTCATGATATGTAAATTTGATATCAATACCACTAGAACAACCTATATATGCATTTTAAACCTTTTTTTTTGTTATAATCCTTGGAATCTAGCAGAGTGGCAGAGTAATTATTCTGTATTTTTCCGTCAATCCATAGTTGTGTTACTAATTATCTCGTACTAAGTCCATAGTTGGACGCTGGTATATGCACAACGTAGTACGGTAATTTGATAATTCTTAAAAAAAATCACTCCAGTCGATATATTACTAGTAAATACGTACTGTCTTCGCTGATCGTGATATTCGAAACTTCCGCTCGCCTTAAGAATCCCCTTCATTGGCCGTTTGGCCACGCTGCTGTCAGCCATGCTGCCTCACGAACAAAGCGCGCACACCTCCTATTGACCGAATAGACCACAGACACTTTTCTAACGAACTCTCGATTTCTATCCTGCCTGGAGTCTCACTGGCCCTCACGGGTCCCACCGTCCCTTACGTAGCCGCCAATTCGCTTGTCCACTGTGTGCGTCTATATCTGCGGCAGCGGTCGGCTGCCGCGCTTCATCGAATTCGCACTGGTGCCCACCTTCCTCGATCGGCTTCACTTGAGTCGCGCAAATCTAACAAAGGCTTTGTTTCACACCGCAGTCACTATTCGTGCTGCTGCACGCGCTTGAGCTCTCTGACATCTACAAAGCACTCTAGCCGTCGTTGCCGTTGATGTGCTTTCTGATGAGCATACGATCTTCTACACAAGTAGAAAGATTACGGAGAACAAAATCAGAATGAGCTAGGATCTAAACTTTCGGGACTAATAAGACCTCTCCACTGTATGCCCCTGCTTTGAATGTTATCAACACTATTCGTAAGGTACCAGTTCGTTCGGACTTGGCTTTGCTTCGCTTGCAGTTCCTCGCAGATATATGATCGCATAAATACACAAAAAACAGAAATACCACAGAGTCACATTCACAGAGCACGCTACAACAGCCGTGGAAATCTTGACACAGCGTCGCTATTGCGAACAACTTCAATACAGCAGTTTGATTGTACGAAACGAACACAAGGAGGAGCTGCACGATAGTAGATTAACAAACCTATATGCTATTATTACACATGTATAGATGTTATTGGTTAGTGAAGAACACCACCTCATATTACGCCGACAGTAAAAATAATCTTCCCTACCGAAGTCGTAAACGAAAGAAGATAACTGCCTTATCACAGTCGAACAGACGGAGCCGTCAAGTCTTTCAACTTTGCCTTCCCTCCCAAATCGTTTCTAAAGACCAATAACGTCCGCTTCTGGGTTTCAATAATACTCACTTCGATTCACGCACGCGTTCTGCCCTGCAGAAAAGCATTCAGCAGCGGCAGCAGCAGCGAACTCTGGAACAAACCACAGACACATAAAAAGCACCTGACTGTAAGCAACAACAATGATTTTTGTTACAAAACACAAGCGATGCGCGAGCACCCGGTTAGGCAATGTAAATGACAGTTAGACTCTTTAACGAGCGTTACGAAATCCAGTAGGAGGTCTAGCTAGCAGCTGATGCGTGATCCACCTGACTCGCTTCTATCTCTACAATGCATAGGGCGTATAAACTTTTTTTTTTTACTACCACCGCGTACGATCGACTTCCACTGTTCTTGCTGTCGTCAAACAAGTCGTCACAATCGTTTGCTATACCGTACGGTATCACGTGCGAATATTCTTATTTAGTACGAGGCAAACTGACTGCTCTTGTTGATTAGCCGCTTGAGTACAATCCGCGTAATGTCCCTACTTGACACACAAACAGAACTGAACTCTACACTGTCAAGCAACCTGTATCGTCCAGCGATTGTTACCACAGCTGCTGAGCAGCATCTGCAGCAACCAACCTGAAGAAGGGGTTGTAAAGCGTTACGGCTAAACACACTCTTTTCTGCCCGTAATGTTCTTGGCGCAGTGTTTAAACGGCAAATGGCTGGTGGCAAAAAGACGGTCGTTGTTTCATCTAAGCTGCAATCATTTTTTGCTGTTCTTAGAGAAATAAGAAGAACCTCATTCACGTTCCGAAGCCGTACCCGACTTCGCTGATTCAGTAGTCTCAGCCAAGAACAGCATCAGTCTGTGTGTCTGCTTGTTCACTCGTGTGCGAATCTCTCTAATTTTTCGCTGGAGATCGCAACAAACTTTTCGTGTGCCTGTCCGTTCAACTGCCTCTGTTGAGGCTGAGTCCAAAAGCGACCACGACAGAGATCAAAACAAACAGTCGCACTGGTTATTTGCCCTATCGATAGCGAGAGACCTCTATACAAACGCAAACCCAAGTGCAGACGGCTAGTACGAGCGCCTTATTCAACCAGCCAGACACTACCACTGTAAACAACACGCACCGATAGTGCGATGCGACTGCTGCTGTTTGCTATGAAACGAAGCGACCTGGGTGCAATAAATACACAGGAGCAACACCGACATCAAATATACAGCGAACGAACAAACAGAAGCATAGAAGGCCGTCTGCTTTGCGACGAGCAAATAGCGATGGTAACTCAGCCTTTCGCCAAAACAGAGCTTCATAGAAGCTTTGCTCATAAAATAAAAACGGCTAAATCAGAGCAGACAAGCACGACTAAGCTATCTACAAATAATGTTCAAGCATGAACAGTATATATATGTAGATAGCCGAATTTTACCAGACATGAATTGGAGGTGAAGTCGGGTAGAATTCAAGCAACGTTAATGAAGATATTAACATGCGTTAATAAAGATATTAACATGGTAAAGGGAGTTAACGATGAGTATCGGGGTCAACTGGCTAGTAAATAGGGAAAAGGAATGACTTTTGGGCGAACAAACACTAGGTAGTTTCGTTCTTAAGATAAAAGTTACCTCTGCGTATGCGCATAGAAGAGCTGCATTCGTTAGTGAATTATTAGCAGGATTCTTTCTTATCAAGCCCATAGACGAATTGTTGCAGATGGTCCAGCGGAGATTCATCGTAGTTGTCAGTTGCTTCACCTAGCCTTCGATTACCTTCCCGCACGACCACCGAGTCTCGCCATAACGAACCAATTTAAAAACAGTTTAATCACTAACTTATAACGTCACATTGTGAGTAGATCGACCATCTACCTTTTTGGAAGTGTTAAGACTCTTGCAATAAATACCTGTAAAGATTCACTTGTCATTCTCGACGTTAAGCCTTCCTTGGAAGCCCGCTCAAGCTCAGCGGATGCGCTAGCAGACGACAGGCAAAAATGTCGTCTTCTCCCGTCCATCCGATTTAATCAGTAGGGCGGCAGTTTCGAAATTATTGCGGTTCTTTCTACCGCAAACCCTTCTCTCCAAGCTATCTTCCTAAATGAGCAATAGAGGACCGTGAGTGTATATCCCTACGAGATAATTCTATGGGTGATGTGTCGTCTATGTTATGCCTTCTCGTAGTGTTTGTTTTTCGTGGTTCGACTTCTATCGTACCCACCACCAGTGGCAGCACTAGCCACTACGAATAGTGCAAGTAGTGTTAAATTCGCCATTGCTCTCTGTGTCCAGAACGGAAAACATGTGTTGTCGATTTGTAATGTGATGAATTGCATTTCTTCATCTTGTAGAAAGCTACCCTGTATTATTCAAATAGCGAAGTAGTTGTTGCTGTTGTTCGTGCGATCGATGTCCATGATATCGCGGTGAACCTTTGCTCGAACCCGGCTACCAAAAAGATACTTGTGGCTATCTTCTGCCTTCGTGAAGTTCTAGCGTAGCAGCGATTGGATTGTTAGGAGCCGGTAGATACTTATGCTAATGAACACGCCGAGACAATTAGCCGTACTATATGATAGTGATAGAAGCCACCGCCTGTTTTAAGAAGTGCTAAGTCGAGTGCGTGACAGACAAACCGAGCGAGTCTCTTCTAACATTTAATTCGACATATACACAGATACGATCCGCATATTGTGGTCGTGTATTTGAACAGCACGGCCAGTATAACGGGAAAGAAGGGAGTGACCAACAGTCAGTGATCTTTTTGTTGTTCTGGAACAAAGTGAAAGGAACGAACAAAACACCTAATCACAGTTTCATTGCCGTGTCCTGGATTAGCTTGTCACCGTAGTTTCGTACGCTGATACCAGCGGCGGCAGTTATTCGCTGCAAATACTAACCAGTCTATGAGTATTAGATGTATTTACGTTAGCCGATGATAGCTGCTAGTTGCCCTTCGTCTTACAAGTGTCTTGCAGGTGTGCAATACGAGGAACATAACCACGAGACCAGCTGTTTCAACAACAACAAAAACAACAACAACAAGCAAGCAAGCAAGCACGTTAACGGCGGTGACAAGTATTTTTTATCTATTACCTTCTGACGGATAGCCGTCATAATAATATCGCAGGGAAAAGAAGAAGCGGGCCAATTAGCTAACAGATAGTTTTGTTGTTGTTGCCGTGGTTATTGTTATTCTTCCGTATAAGAACTGAACCGCATCGGGTGCTATGAGATCTTGATGTTATTGATATTAATGAGACTTGTTCCCATCCCCTAGGAATTCACAAAAGTTGTCCCATCACATAAGAGACGGGCTCTGTCAATTTATCTAAATGCGCGACCATTGTCCGGTCGAAAACAATCCTGAGTCCTGGCATGTGTGCGTGTATAGCTTCTGAGTTCTGATGGTTGTCAGTGCCGTAATGGCTGACGAAAGTGCTGTTGCTGATACTACTGTGGCGGATTATAACAGCAACCAGATTTGAGATTCTAACGTAGCAGTGCCACAGCGCGGTATCCCGATCTGTGCTGCAGGTGCTGGTAACGAAGCGGTGAAATCTTCTACGTAGACTAACGATCCTGTCTGCGGAAGCTCATGCTGCTCTTGCAGCTGTTGGTGCTCCTTAGACTGTTATTGTTGCTGGTGCAACTTGTAGATCGGTGTGGTGTTGATCTGCTATCGATTTTCAGCTTGTCATATGCGGGTGTACTGGTAGCTTTTAACGAAGTCGAACGGGAGGAAGCAAAAGGCAAAACTAGAAGAAGTTACAAGCAGGCAGTAGCAACAAACGTCTGTTTTGTTTTTATTGTTACTGCTGCTGGTTCCGTTGTCGTCTTAGTAGCTTGAAATAGTGAAACCGGCATTTAGGATGCTCCCACTTGGAGCATCTTTCAGGTAATCAACAAACTTGTGGTAGCAGTGACTGCAACATCGTAATTATTCGAAAATATTGAAACAAGCAGAAACGTGAAATCATCTAAAACAACGTTGCGGTGCTCTGATCGCTATTACCTAACTCTAAAAGGGTGTATAACACAACTAAATGCAAATGATGTCATCACAAAACATCATGGCAGTAATCGACTCTGCGAAACAACTCGTAACCAACCTCAAACAGGATGATGCCTCCCTCGATAAGCTTCATATCGATGTAGGTCCTTTTTATAAACAATAATAGTGTTAGTTGCTTTTTGAGAATTGCTCATATATATGCGTATATAGTATGCTTTATAGTATGAAAGGGGAACGAGAAGTCCTTAACTTCCTTGTCGTCGCTTTATATACGTGTGGGCTCAACGGTGAGCTTGCGTGATGTCAGTCACCCATTGGTACTCTTCAGTATCAATATGAATAGTTTTTAATAGTGAGAAACGAGCACGCCTTTGACTGCATGATAATAAAGAAACTCCAGATATTTATATTAGAAAAAATTGCTTTTAGAACAGCCTGTTGGAGTCAGAACAACTACTAATAATAGCGAGTAATTATTTCTAGGTGAGGAACATATGTGCAATTATATTAACTCATATAAATAAACTGCGTCATTGCTTAAGAGACCTTGAATTTCTTGGAGGGCTGATTAACAGCAAAGAACAATGTTTTCCTAAACTCTGCATATTTCTTATTACAATAATACCGCAAACCATGCCGCCCCTGTGCTCTACTAGAGTGCGCCAAACTTTACTCAACTCATAACCACATCAGCTCGCATAGATATCTCTTATTTCGGGTTTCATACCTTACACTAACGGCAAACAACATTGATTTGAGCCTTGGAAAATATATTGCTAAAGAACGCATCTACACGTGATTTCCACACAGTGCAATAATGGAACGCCAGCACTCCACGATATTTTTGACACATTAACCGAAAAGCCTTTCGGCTTAATCGTTACTATTTTTGATACACAATACGAAACTCGGATGTTCCTCCTATTGTGATACAAGCTGCTTTGTTAGTAACCTCAAACTAGTTACATCAGACCTAAAAAATATAGTGTGTTAAGACCAACTATATAACTTCTGAATGCACTTGCTGGGATTCAAGTTCAATAGACCGAAAAAGTCATTCAGTAAAGCAATAGCTATGTGTACAGCAAAGCACGATATAGTGCAGTGACGTAGTAACGCGACGGTGAATGTTATAATTGCAATCTTATAATATCGGAATTGATAAGGTGAAAATGTCAGCGGGCAGCGATATTGATTAGACCGATTCCTACTAAAGTCGATGATCACCTAATCTTAAATAGAGAAAGAGGTTCCCTCAAGGGAAACAAATTTAGGACCGCCTCCTTTTTGTAGTATCCATGATTCTGTACATGAATATTATTCTGTAATATTGCGAGCTCAACCCAGAACGAAATCAGGTTAAAAATATGAACGTTGAAACATATAATTTGAAAAACGGCCTGAATCATCTAACAGCTAATAAGCGCCTAAAGCTCAAGTTACACATAGAATAGTAGAGGTATTGTTAACAACTACGATGCGTATAAATATGTCAAGTAAACCCAAGCTATCAAATCTATGGAGAGTTCGCTGTTTTATTCCTGCACAAAATGATTATAATAACAATAAGAAAAATAAGACACCGCATGAAACAGAGGATTTACTGGGCTATCGGCTAAGCTGCAATAACTGTAACGCAGCATCGAATTAGTATTGTTTTTTCATTACACTGAACCACGGTCATTTTTAGCCAGGATCAGAATCGTATCGTAGGAGTGAAACTGGCGAGGACCGGATCACTGAAAAAAGCAGCTGTTCTCGATATAAAAGCAACTCAAAGGCCTGTGTGTTCATTTTGCAAATGCAGCAGTGATACATGAGACTGCATTGTCTAGCTGCGTGTAAATATTAAGTGTTTGCCTGTTCTTTTTTACACGCCGCGAACTATCTGCACGGAAGATCGACGTTAGTTATGTTGGATACGTCACCTTCACTACATAGTTGCTAATACAGTTTCTGCATAGTAGGACTGTTAGAATTTTTTTTCGGGTATATCCTAAATAGCACATAACCCCGTATCCTTAAATATCTATGTATTTTTTTGTATGCACTGATGAGTTCGCTTTGCGTTTTTTGTTTTGAAATGGCCGGCTAATTCGCTGTTGCTTCTTACAGGCGATGGCAATTCTACGTAAGTTAGAAGCAATGAAAGAATATAGTGATGAAGTATCGCATATCGAATCCGTTGTCAAACCGACGAATTCACGAGGAGCTCTCATCGCGGCCATCCAGCAGGAAAATCGCCAGATCAAGGTTGGGGACCATAAATATATATATCACCGAATTGCGTGGGACAAAAAAGTAAACTTCACCGGGCTGATCACACGGTTGGATAAGTCAGGGGGTTCCTTGACAATAAAGCACCTTGATAAGCCCGTTAACAGAATTAAGTACCGTTTTATAAAAAAAAAAAAATTCCTGTTTCATACAAAGGTAAGAAAGCTTAGATAGACGTCGTTTTTCAGCCCTCCTGTCCGCAGCAGATCCTTTCCAAATAAAGACTACGGGAAAATCGTCTTAACTGCTTAATGATTAGAATACTGTTACATAACATTATGCTCGAACGATGAGAAACTAAATAAAGACCGCGGTTACAAGAACCCTTACAAGGGTTTATTTATTTAATATTAGTTGTGTTTTATACCATTTAGTTAATAGTAATAATAATTATTACTATAAATTAAAATGCTATGTTGTTAAAAAATATTGTCATTAGCTAGTTAGACTCAGATTTCAGATACAGAAATCCTAACAATAAGCCTTTTTTTGTATGGTTCGTCACTTTTAATGCAACCTTGTCCGTGCTTTTATCTATCGTCTCACTCCCAGGATTTGAAACGGGAAAATATTGCACTGCTGGGCGCACTTGAAGAACACCAGAACACTCTACAAATGGTCATGACAAAATACAGGTCAGTTGTACACACAAACACATATATACACTTTCTTTAAAAAAAGTCTACATAATATGCCTTATGTGAAGCTGTTCCATGTTTATTATCACCGTAAATCACGAGACTGAAAATCAAACGATATTTATATGACATAGAAATATAATCCACCCACTGAAGTTACCATGTTTTTTTAAACATCACTCCATTTCTACATTACCTTTTAAAGTGTGTTTAATGACAGTCAAATTGATCCAACGTCTTTTACAGTAGATGTATTGTGAGTCCCAAATCAACTGGTTTATGTGAGGTCGACTAAATATCAAACATCTTTTTGGCTTCCGCACAACTTTTGAGGTCCGATCCACCGACACTGAACAAATGCTACCTACAATAATTGCCCTGCGAAAACATTCTTTGATATTCTGCCACGCGGACTTTGATGGAAGAAGTAGTCGAAGGTCACGTAACCGCTGTTGAGGAATATTACCAACGGTTCTACATAACCAGTCTTTGTTTCTTGTTAGAGATCGCATCGAGTGCCTTCTGATTCAAGCTAAGTTAACACTAAGAGTAGCAACTCTACTAGCAATAATTTGACTCGGTCAAGACGGAGGGTGCGCCCGCCAAATTTAGCGCGTTCTAATCAATTACATGATGCGATTCGTGGATGTGGTGCATGTTCTGATGAGGTGGTTTAATTCCCATTCATGTCCTTAATGTGCCTGAATCGGTCTAAATTGTTGATATTTTTTAGTGCATTACGACGTAAAACAAAAAAAACAGCTAGGTCAATTTTGGCGCGCATTAAAATATAGAGGATGGCTTGCGGCGAAAATCTTTGAAATAAAGCAGTGCTTAGGCAAAGCTGAGCTTGATACTTAATGGCGTCAAGAATACTACCTTGTTATTTTGACTGTCTTAGACTTCTGTTTTCAGCAGCATCAAATATCATTAGCGATGACGATACTCATTTGTATATTTATAGTTATTTCCGTAACTTAAGTGTATAAGACAAGTGTAAACGATCTATTTCGCTCAATACCCAGTAGTATACAAGTCAGAGAGTTCTCTTAGACCTTGAGTAAATTCGTTTATGGTCATGGTTATTTTACAAACTGAGTTTGTTCAGAAATATATCGCAGCCTAAAACGCTGTTCTTCCATTATGTTTAGAATAGGTAGTGCAATGCACGTAATGTGATCCAGCTTCAGCGTAATAATTCCATGTAGATATCATTACCAATTTACCATTACAATGTTATGTATTAAACTTCCTTAAAACACTTTTGTCGCCACGGATGTTACCAGTGGGTTCAGACCAAATCTGTAATATATCCCTGCTGCAACATAACATTCATTTATTCAGCATTTACAGAATGCTCGCCGTTATCGGATTTTATGGACTAGCAGACTTTAATTAGCAAAATCGCTGTGTGTCGCTTAAGTTATCAGTTTGTGAGATACCTTTCTCAAGAAGTAAGTCCTTGTTAATCCCAGGAAAATTTAACCATCTCCGTTTTGACACTGTTGAACATTTCTGAAATGTTGATATTGCAAATGTTTCGCTTTTCGACGCCCACCAATAAAAACATACATTTAATTTTTTTGCGGAGATGGTTCACCTCTTTTATGCCATGTTATATGCAAATTAGTAATGGTAAACATTAGCAGAACTACGCTGTGTGACACGAACGAATCAAATATAAATCATTCACAAAACGAGTGCAGGGTAAAGCCCATCGTTATGTCACGTTAAGAAAATAAAAACAATGATTTTTCTATGAACCAGCGCTGAGAGATACGTAATAGAAATTCAGTATGTTGCGGATTTGCCATTGAGCAAAAATGAATATGTACGAAACGCACTTTTGTACATAATATAGAATGATATCTCGAACTGTCTCGAATAGTCCGCTCGTTTTAGAGCAAATTTGTCCTCTCAGTTATTTTACGTGCTTTTTAGGCAGCTTATTCAAGTCGCCTGAAAAGTACAAATCGAACTTATTGTATGCACTATGTAACACGGTAGTAAATTGAAATTGAACTCGTATTTATTATGATTTTGTAGACCGACGTGTTTTTATGATCCTGTGTTAGAGGGTTTAACCACCATGTTTTTGGTAGAATATCTTTACTATCCAGTTGTTCCAGCTAGAATCTACATTTAATTTTTTAAGTGTACTTTGCCTCTACTGTTCAAAGCGCGAGTCAATTATATGCATTTTAGGGTTTATAAATGTGCAGAATTAATTGTATTGCTAATGATATTCATTTCTATTTGTCTCGCACTTTGGTTAGGTTTTCTTAAGCTTAAGAATTGTTAGGACTAGATCATAGCAGTTTTTACAGCTTTGTCCAAAATGAAAACCGTCTAATAAGCAGATCAGTTTATCCAACCTGCTTATTACGCATAATTAGAGGATTTAAAGTTAGCCACCCACTTAGTTTTAAGACTCTTCAAAGGCTCACGCCCTCTCTTTGTCAACGGTCAATGCGTCCGTTGCTACCAGATTAATAATTTACACTATACTAGTATTTAACACGAGTAATATTTATTCTGGTACCACTACGATATTACATAAAAAATACACTCAACTTGGAGTGCGCGGACGGTCCCACGTAGCGATGGCAGATGACTTGCGTTTAGCTCGTGTCAGTTCGCCGCACTAAAAATAATATTATTACAGGGAGAACGGGCCATGGTTGTTTATGAAACTGGTATATTACCATCACATGGCCCAAAGGACAAATCAGTTAGTGGACTACCGTCCCTTAGACCCTTCCAGTAATTTTCTGCTGCGGGTAAACTGCGCGAGCTTTTTTCTAGCCTCTTGCAATTCTTTTGTGTTGTAGTTCGAATTCACACGATTTTGTTTCAGGAGATATAAATTGGAGCGACAAAAGTAAACAATGGTGGTCGCAACTCGTACGTGATGTCATTTCGAACGCCATAAGTAGTTGGCCCTGAACGCTATCTAGAGCAAATTATTACAATAGGGTGTAGCTGGGCGTAATAGCAACGTGAAAACTGTTGCAAGCACAGTGTTGAACACAAAGTGCTTAATCCTGTTATAATCATGCAAGGAGAAATTTTCGGCTTCTGGTAAACAAGTTGAATGAATTGCAACAGTCACTGGAGGATGAAGTTAATTCTTACGACAACAACGAGAGATTTCCGTTAATACTGTCCCCTAAATCATCCGCTGATTACTTAGAACATTTTAATGTATTCGAAAGTTTATTGCAAAGAGTTTTGGCTCGTTAGCGCAATAACTACACGATTTGACGATTTTTAGTAACGATTGTAATAGCGGCTCGGGGCTTCTAACCGATTGCAGGCAACACGTCTTGGCGTTGACAAAAAACCGTGAAGTCGAACAAGCTTGCGCCCAGCAGCTTAGCTCTTCGCAGGTCAGTTTTTAAGAACGTGATTTTGTCCACTTACTTTGATCATAGATACTGCTTCAAAATTCGATAAATTTGTCACCACTAGCGTTGACACCGCCATCAGTAAGTGCTGGTGAGAGTGTTCATAAATATACCTATGGTTTTCTATTCCCTTTTTTCAAAAGGCTGTCCACCGTCTTGCGGATAAAATCTCTGAAATGGCTGGTATCATGCGATTGGCGGCCGATATTGACGAAAACAACTCGAACTGTACAGAGGAGCAACTTGCACGATTGCGAACGGAAAATGGGGTACGTACTGTAAGGAAATTGATACCGCAAAAGTTCCGGAATGTTTTTGTACATTCGATTCATTACACAGGTTTATTTTATGTGCACAATCACATAACACGATAAACTAAAGAATTTTTTTCTGAAGTCACTTTCGTACCCTGCAAGCGATTTCTAAAGCTAATATATGTTTAATCCAGGTCCTTCGCGAAATTCTCCAAATAGCTAGCAGTTGCGGATCCGTCAAAAATGAATCACTTCAGAACGGGTTTACGACGATTCGGAAAAACGACGGTTGTGCAAAGACTGCCTCATCAGAACCATCCGCTATCTCAGAGACGCCGATAACATCTTCAACCCCAACGTCAGCCACGACGAACTCTGCTCCCATCGAGAACAAAAACGCGACCTCCAGCAGATGTCCATCGAAAAGGATCGCAACTGAAAACAAATAGTGTAATGGTGAATGAAAGTGATGTAGAGGAGTGCTTTAGTAAAAAGCAGTACCGCGTGACCCTAATGGCCATCTGGCGGGCCATGGTTATTGTGCTTTTGGGTCCAGCAGCTCGAAGCTTAAATTGAAGAAATCGCAGGCATCTGAAGGGCGATTTAGACGATAAGAGCATTGGCCCTTCCATGTGTTGGCGTCGGAGCGCGACAAACCAGGGTGGGCCGAGTATAAGATGAATGTTGTGCGTGAACCCGTTTTAAATATGAATGAAACAAACGAAACGGACGGAAAAAATAAATATGACACAAAAAATAGATTTCAGTAACAAAAACGTGTTACAGCACCTGAGCGGGGCTTGGCTAGAGCGCTGCCGCTTGTAGATATAGGAATGGCTAGTTAGAAAACAGACGATACTTACAAGGAAAAGAGGAATTTAACAAATGAGCCACATCGAGACGACCACGTAACGTTGGGCTCTCTCCTTTATCTGTCGAAAGGATCTATTATAAAAAAAAAATGACTATTTATAGTGAGTTTTTGGTCTGATTGATTCTAGATATTACAAAAATTTTAATAATATGGAGTGCAGATTATCGGAAAGCTTTATCCTGAGGACCTTGTTGAAGTTCACAGCATCTGACACAAGCTGGGTGAGGCTTCTCGGCTCGGTTTTTGAATCAGGACTAGAATGGGGTTTTCGGAGTGATTTTGGTAAACTTGTCAATTATAAACGCGTATCATCTGATCTGCGAAAACATTTCTGTACGTGATCGCATAAGTCTGTCTGCTTCGAATGCTATAGCGGAAGATAAAATATTTGAGTACAATGGTTCTACATCGAATACATATGGAAAGCATTGTGGACTTTAATATATATTAATTTTTAAGGGTCTGTTAAGTAGTCTTCTTATTGAAAAGGACTAGTACGATCTTATAAGAAAAGACTATTATCGCATCACTCATACAATGTGCAGTAACTGCACCACGGGAAATTTTGTGAAAATAAAAAGAAGAAAATGGTAACATTTACTAGACCTAGCATTTGGTTAACAAAAGAGCATCTTGTAGGCTACATCTCACCGTCGCCATAGGATCGTCGATACGGAAGGGAGGTATTAGGGTGATCCGAATGTCCTATATCATATTTTAACACAGTATGTATTTATTATGCAGGTTATTAGATATTAGTTAGTGGTAGGTAGCGACATGCGATGTTCAGGTTCTTGACAGATAAGCTGGCGATTACCGACTAACAGCTGAAGGTGAGTAAGCATATGAGGCTTCAAGTACAAGTGTGCCTCGAGAATAATATATATATATATATATATATGCGAAAATAAAAAATGTGCGCATGACATAAAATAAAGTTTGTTCTGTGCTGGATGAGTAGTAATCAACAAATATATAAAAAAAAAATGATGAAGAAAAATTAACTTTTCCTTGGACCTCGGACAACGAAGGCACGTTCATAAATTAACCGAAGTTCTATTCACTTTGAAACAATTCCGGTCATCACAACAGGATCTGGTTGAAAGTGAGATTTCAACTCACAGAAATAATAAATGCTTTATTCCAAAGGTAGCATTCAGTAACGAAAGTAACACTATAAGTTCATGGAGAGGTAGCCATAAGCCATAGTGTAGCAGGCGTAGTCAAATATGGATATATTCTACATAATCATGAGATGTGAAATAAAAGATTTTTTTGTGTGGAGTTTTTATTAAATCCGAAAAGTCGTTTCCTTTCCATGCATATATTGTATGTAGTTTCGTGCGGACGAATATACTTCATGATATGTACACGTATGCAGTACACCGATATTTAACAGAACAAAAGAACACTTTTGTATTGTACAACAATTCTTCCAGACAATAAATAACTTGGACTCGTGTTACAAGTGCCCGGTGTTCATTGTGATTACTTTGATTTTGTCCGACAACAAATCATGGTCGTGAAATTGGCCTTAAAAACTCAGCATCAGTCCGTGGCTGCTAATTCGTTCAGAGAATTATTTTTATTCTAAATACTTGATACTGGTGAATTTATTGAGAAGTGCTAGTTGTAAAACATCTCGAACAAAGACATATAACAAGAGAAACAAATTTTGTATATTTTAAATGCATTACAGACAGCATAATTTTAAAATTACGTATGCTATTTGATTGTTTTCATAAAAAAAATCAGTGAAGCCTTTCCACGCTTGTGCTTTGTATACATATATATCTAGTTTTGTTGCAGTTCACAGTTTCCGCAGTCTTTGCTCATCCAAAGGTTCAGCCATCCAAGCCAATGCGTTAAAATATGGTGCAACACACACATATATATCTATAATATATCTATGATGATTATAAATATTCAATTGGTTACGAGAGTAGAAATGGGTTATTGCCAAACTGATTTCAACTCGCCGTCCACTATTCACTGTATTTGTTTCGCCTGCTTGTCTATCTATCAGTACCCGTTTCGCGTCCACGAGGTCTACGAAACTCACACGATGTTTTAATATATTCAACTATAACAAACAGAAGCCTGTTTTGGCCTACTACTCCACCTTTTTTTTCATTGTTATGACATTACTTCCGCTTTGTCAAACGAGTTAAATATATTCAGCGAGTCAAGCCCAGTCGAATCAGGATCAGCCCTATTCTTGTTCAGTTAAAAAAACTGCGTTACTGTAACCTGTGTACGTCGCTCGATGCTGAATAGGACGAACTCCGCAAACGGCAGTCAAAACGCTAGACGGCTCTCTGAGTCACGGAGCCACCACTGTATGACAACATACTGTCTCTGTTTCAAACGCACGTCACAAAAAGGCCTATCGTTGATTACTGCACAACATTTGCACGTAAAAGGACGGCAGCAGTCGAAAACAACATTTCCGTCGCGCAGCGGGCTTCGGTTAGTGAGTCTCCTTCAGATAATAACATAAGTACAACGCCATATCTATTAAAACCCATTTAAGCATCTGACAAAACTGTAGTTATCTTCATATAGACATTTTTTCCGAAAGTAAACGGGTTGACTTCCATTGCAGTCGATACAAAATATAGAAAAAAAAGTTCGTTTTCCAGTAGCATTCCACCTGCGACAGATTTATGTACAAAACATTCTACGATGAGAAAAATTACAACCGTTTCAGTCAGCATTAACCGCCAATGATCTTTTGCCTGCCGGCATTAGATACTAGCTGTTTCTATACGCAACTAATACAAATGACGGTCCCAAAGCCTCTTACTAAAATTATCGGTCCTAGACGAATACGTTTGATTTTGATTATAGCAATTTGTCTAAAATCTAAAAGTGGCCAGCAGAACGGCAAACGAACGCAAGTAGTAGCGTCAACAAACGCAACTCATGCAGCAGCATAAATGTTGAGTGGATAGTTGTCATGATTGTGTTATGTATAGGTAGAGCGGCATGGTGTACCTGTGCATAAAGAAAGTCAACATAAGGGGTAGACGGCTTAGTATGCTGTTGAAAATTTCATCTTTTAGTTTGGCGGTATCAGAAATAGCAGAACTGCCATTTCGAACGCTTTAGCCTCTGTGGCGGACCATCGGAAAGACCACGGGAGTTCACCGTTCATATTCGTATTACCGTCAGTCGCGGCCATCGATGCAGCCCTGATCGCCTGCGACAACGGACTCCCCACCATTATCGTCATTACCCCTTTTTGTTAACTAAATATGTTTGTGTACAAAACAACAATTGTATAGGAAGAATGTTCGAAGTAAATACTAATAATGCTTATGCACCGCTATTTGTGAAGAATCTAAGACGCCGATTCGTACTCTTCGCTACTGAAGTTCATTATACGAACGGTACGAAGATCAATCTAGATCTTCATAGCACAAGGGCGATGACTAACGAATCTTTAAGAGTGGCCCACAAAACTAACCGTCACGCCTTTCCCATGCGTATACGTATTACATCACATCTTATGTGGTACACGGATTTTCATTTGCTCGACGCAAGTCCGTGTGTACAAGATGTGATGGAGTGTGCCTTGGTACTATACGGTGTCACACATTTCAGTACCTTTGCTAACGGTTCCTTCTGGACGGGCACTTTATGATTTTTTTATTGATATTTTGAAATTGTTTAAATATTAATTTCAACCGCAAAAAATCCAGAAACGAAATTGACTAAAATAGTGAGAAATAGCAAGAAAGAAATGCAGATCGCTGGATATCTAAATTTACGGAGGCAAAGGCGAACAAAAGAGACAGGAAGATCGGTGAGGGGTGATGCGCTGAACACTTCGAGTTACATAAGAATAAAAAGGACAAACTTAATTGAGGCAGCATCGGACATCAAATTCGAAATATTTAAATGGGCAATAGAAATTGCTGGCCTCGCGGGAAAGCCAGAAAGCGAGTTACCAGTAACGATGTAAAGTTATCGCAGCTCTAACTTTATCCGATGTTGCTTCTAATCTTACCTCTGTAGCAGCTGTGTAGATGTGGTGTCTTTCGGTAGCGTCGCGAACGTGAATATAGATGAAGCCTTAACCCAGCGGCTCGACACGCCAATTCTGCTGCTATAAAGGGGTCATCGGGCGAGTGAGTTGGTAAATAGCTGTATATTCTATGTTCGCATGTTTCTGTGTTCGTTTGAGTGGATGGCCGGATAACGCTAAAAATACTGATAGAGTTGATGGTGGATGACATCGCCAGAGACGGATCACTAGCGTAAAATTGGGTTGCCACTTATAGCGAAGACAACGAACGCCTTAGCTATAACATGAACTATGGCAAACAACCTCATTATTTTGGCTGAAGAATCGTGTGCTCATTCAGCGAATGAAGGGATTTTGTGGGTAAATATGAATAAAAAATTAGCAACTGGAAAGGTATTGGCTAAAAAGAAAGATACTAAATACTTATTCGTGATCCGTTTTCGGTGTGATTTTTGCAGTTCAGTTGTTTAGGTTCGTCTAGATTTTTCAGGCATGTGAGAAAATCGGAAGTAGTGGTAAATCTATATAAAAAAAACCTTAATTCACAAATTAAATCGTATAGTGTCTACTGGTCGGTGATGGAGCTTAGAGTGGCAGCAGCTCCTAAAAAGTAATTTCGCCGTTTGAGCCAAGCATGCACGTGGAATTTCAAGAGGCAGCTTTAGCAGGTTTACATTGATCGTAACGACCATTTTTAATCATTCCGCGTCGATTATGCGAAAATTCGTTCAAACAATACCACTCCAAAGAAATTAAGGAAGAAATGCATACCGAGTAGAACATTTCTGGTGAGTGATGAGATCCATACTGCTACCGGTCGCTGCTATAGTCTCTATAATATACCAATGCATAGTCCTCATCTCCTATGTCCACATAAAATTCTAGTGGAATGCCTTGTTGTCTGGATAAAGGTTAAATAAAGTAGAGAAGCTTAAAGTTGTTTATTTTACGTATTTTCCACCATTTCTAATGGTCATTATATATTGGTGCAAAATGGCTACTGTGTATGGCAAAATGGCCACCTTAGTTCGGTGTGGTATTATATAAAGAGGGCCGTGCAACATACTGAACAGTTGTTCTTGAGATTACTATTTTGTTTTTCTACTGGAAATTTGTATAAAGTCATGTTTTGCTAAACAAAACAAGACACAAATAACAAATGCGAGAAAAAGAGACTTTTGAAAAACAAACACTCAATTCGTCAAAACCTTGAAGTTCTCTTGAGATCTTAAGGTGGAGTTCTGTCTGGTTCCTTTTTCCTCGTTTCCAAAAAGACACTGGTACCTAATATAAGTTTACAGGAAAACTATTTTTCCTAAATTCCTGAACAGGTAAACAGAATAATGTAGCAAAAATTTCCATAGAATATTATGTTTAAAAGCGCCCAACCTTGGTTGTTCCGACCTGCCTCCTAACTAAATAGCTTCGGAACACTCCGTACCTTGTTAAGTACAGGAAACAGGGACGGACTATATGTTCAGCCATTGGTTCTTGCAACAGCTTGGGTGTAAATTGCCGGTTGAAGTTACCCTAAATTAAAGTCAAACTCTTCGCCCAGTATGTCGTTTCTTTAGTAGCATCTGCTCTGCCTAGGGACGTTAGGTTTAATGGAATTATTAAATCCACGCCATTATTTATTTAAGATCACCTAGACAGGTCTCCATGGGACAACACGAGTGTAAAGATTTAACCATAAATTGAAAAAAATACTGTAAAAAAACAATACTTGAAGGACAGTACTTGAGGAAACGGGTCATCCGTGACTAAACCACCTTCACCGATGACGTGGGTGTGATCTGCGTGATATTGACCGTATCAGCAGTGACCCAGAACCAGGCCTTGATTAGAACAGTTGTTCGATCAAAATCGTCAATAGATGAGTCAACGCCACCGAAGCGTATCAAGCTGGCTCGTTCATTAAAGACGTGTCTGATGCCAATGGTATAATGCTTTCGGGACACGTTTATTTTTATAGCAACAATTAGCTACATTAGATATTGAGGATAGTCTATTTTGATGTTTAACGATAGCAAACTATTAGTTTGAGGAAAATAAAATCATCTGTAGCTTTTTAGAAGAAAAACTAAAAAATTCACTTTTTCAGCCTTTTAATAGATCGTGAAAGTACTCGTGTATTTCTGTCCTAAGTAACTGTGAAAAATTCACCAGCTGCTTAACGAATGATCTATCTGTTGGTTAGTGTAGTTCTCTACGTAGAAAGGGTAATGTCATGGAAGATGACTATATCAAAATATGAAATCTTCCATCAAAAATTAAAGCTTGCTGAACTGAATGGAGAATTTCGTCATATATTTAAAAAAAATGAGCAAATTCATCATAAAAAACATAAAACATCACCGATAAATTCAGACCTTCACGAATTACACAAACGAATGAGAAGAACGAATTATTGCATTTTCCGTATCTGAGAACCCTCTCCGGCCTCAAAATAGGTTGTTTAGAATCGAAGCGTATTACCTTTATCACGGTACGAGGTTTGTTTCGTACTTAGCCGTACGCTCATCATACAATATAAAACATTTCCTCGTATCGATTACGTACGACTAACATCAAAATGATAATAAGCGAAACCCACTCTCATCAATATATATATATCTCTATGAGGGTCTTTGTGCATCATCACTGCGCTTGGTTTTTCTTGAAAGATCTTTAGGCTTTCCTAAAAAAGTTCTCCTTAGCTGCTTATTCTTTGTCTATTGAAAAGTACGTCCTACAACATCTTTATGACTCACCCGTTCTGAATGATGACGCTTATAATGAACATCAAAGTAATCTTGCTGAATCGGCTATCTACAGGTATCTGTAGTGTACTTTGTATACTGCGTGGCGTATTTCCGTGTTGTGGTTTAGCCACACCATAGCGCGCGTCGTTGTCGGTCTCGTTGTTGTCTGTACTATTGTCGCCAGCGTTCTGACGCATATACACGACGACGATATATACGCGTCAAGGTAGGTGCTGTTGCCACGATTATCGGGGTTCTTGTGAGTTCCAGCCACTATACGGAAGCTGTTTGCAGCATTTATTAAGATACTAACATAAAAAAGTAGCAACGGCGTCGAATTAAATGCGCTTGCCTCGACCCTCTGTATTTCGAATTTTACGTCCGGTATCCCCATTCAGCATACCATCCCCATAACCTTAATCAGCATCGCCCTCTAGATACGATAACAATATGGCGACAGATGAACAGCGAACTAGTAATAAACGTACGCTACGCGCCTTTCGGGCGCTAGTTCAGTACACTTGACGATGTCACCTAACGCACCTATAATGATCTAGTCTACTCTCAGTCTCTGGTTCATGTTCCCTTGCTTCTCTATTTGTGCTAAAAAGAGACAGTGAACAAAAACACATCAATAATGTCAAAATACAAATAGATATATACGTACAGGCGCATAGTTAGTGCAGCCTTTCATT